GAAAATTTTTTTATTTATAACGAATTTTCTGAACAAAATGAATTGACGTGAAATGCCACAGATGGCATATAGTAATCGAATTAAAAGTTCAATATTTTCGTCAATTTTGCTCAGATTGGGCTGAAATTTTCACAGAATACTCTTGAAAGTATAAACAATCAAATAAAACAATAAAAAAAAAAATCAAAATTTTTCGAGGTCAGGACCATACCCCCCCCTTAAGTTACAAAGTGACTTTTATGTATTACGTTGTTACATTTCATGTTGTAACCTTTCACTATAAAAATTAATGAGAAAAAGCAAACAAATCAGCGAAATTGACTCGCGAGCAGGCACACATCGGATTAATTGTACTAGCATCTCACTATGGACATTTTCATTACACGCGTAGCTAGTGAAACAATGTCGAATAAATCGGTTTATATTGCCGATAAATGTACACATGCAAGTGTTGAATGAATGAATAAAGAGGTGTTAATTAAACCATCGCGAGCTCACGACGACTCCACGTCATCATGAGACCACGGCAGCGCGAGATAATAGCGCAGAATGAATCGGGTATATAACCCGGCGCTTAAGACCATTCGCCACTTACAAGAACAGCCACATCAAAAAATGTATACGATTTTCAAGTTCTAGAGAGAAATGAAAGTTTTTATACAAATTTATTGACCCGAGTAGCCGTATATACCTGCTCGGGTTTCGTAATCTTGCAGGATCAGATTTTGAGTCTTCCTCGGCATCTGTGCTAGATTGTTAACTGTACGTCATTCGTTATGAAGAATAAAGTTAACGAATCAACCAAAAGAAAATCTAAATATCAATAAGCAACTTAAATTTAATGGTGAAAACATTAATTACTAAAAACAATAAAGAGCAGAGCAAGAAACGCGGTTGAAAGTGACATCTGAACGAAAATTCCAACAGAAAACAATGTTAAAAGCAAATTAAATAAAATAAAAAAATACAGTTATATTTTCCATGGTCAAAATTTTATTATTCATGTTAATTTATTGTATAATTAATTAGTTGTACTTTTTATATAGTACGATATATTTACAATATAAGAGACTTCATTACTTTTGAGAATAAAAATATTGTAACTAACCGTACGAGAATAAGTTCATTTTGCATATATTTTAAAAGAAATACAAGTCAAAAGAGAATACAGGAGTCCCTCGTTATACGCGGGTTTATTATCCGCGGAATTCGTTATCCGCGGTTAGTCGATTTGCGCCCATCCCTTCGTATCCGCGGGTCGAGTCTTGTTATCCGCGGATCGAAGATCGTGATTTTTTTCTCGGACGTATCTATATTCAGTTTGAATTTGGTTAGTGTAGCCGCGTAAATCGAAATTGTCAATTAACCTAAATTTGTTGAAAATTTATAAATTTATTTAAGTATGGCTTCATCTAAAACTCCGTCGAAAACTGCCTCAAAACCCACTGGCAGATCAGACTGATGATGCACCTGAACCGATTTTTGATTCAAAACTGATTGTCGAAGTTATGGATCTAGTTATTCAAGCAGGTGAATTAGCAATGACTGATGATCCAATAATGACGCGTAGCTCGACTTTCAAACACTACTGTGATTTAGCTGCACAAATTTATGAAGAAATGCACAAAGATATTTTGAGACGAGCAAAGCAGAAAAAATTAACCGATTACTTTAAAAATTAAACATAGAATTGCATATGTTACCGGCAAAACCCGCTTTTAGGCAAAAGTGACTTTTGCCTAGGCAAAAACAAAAATGCCTAAAATTTTAGGCAAAACCCGCAGAAATATATGAACTTCCTAAATCTTAGGCATTACTCGAAATGCCTACAATTTTTTAGGCAAAACCCGCAATGCCTAAAATTTTTTAGGCATTACTGTAAGCTAATAATTTTAAGTAAAAATTAATGTAAAGTGAAAAAATACGCATTTATTCAAGTACAAAAGTACAAGCTCACTTTAATTTAAGCTTTGTCAAATCAGTTCAATAATTTGTTATTATTTGTTACAGCAACTTAAACTATTGTGGCATTTGGAATTGTATAAAACGTTAGTTTTTCGGCACATGCATATCTTTGTCTTGCAAGCGGTTTTGCAAGTACATTTGAAGAAGCCTTGTCCTCCACTCGTAGATTGCTTATTCGCAATCGTACGCAAGGATAAAATTTCTTGTAGTGGTACTTCAGATTTAGCCAAAAAATTTTTTCGGCACACATCGAATTCAGATCTACGAATAAAAAAAAAGTTAATGAAATGAAGCAATTACGGACGGACGTAGTACGTTTTACCTGCAAAATTGTTGCATGTCTTTAATAATTTCTTCTATCTCTGCCATTGAAAGAACTTTATAATGCTCTTTTTTTCGAGCCTCGGCGAGGAACTGCTCTTTCCAATCATTGGTTTCAGTTTCCATTTTTTCTTTCAACTAGTGAGAGTATGGGCTTGTATCCGTATTGGGTTAGAACCAAAACAAAACTAACAAATACGTCCGGCTTAGATGCTGACTAGTCGTATACTAACGTGTTTACAGTAATGCCTAAAATTATTTAGGCATTGCGGGTTTTGCCTAAAATTGCTTAGGCATTGCGGGTTTTGCCTAAGAAATTTAGGAATTTCCTATACTTTTTTAGGCATTGCGGGTTTTGCCTAAAATTTTAGGCATTTTTGTTTTTGCCTAGGCAAAAGTCACTTTTGCCTAAAAGCGGGTTTTGCCGGTAACACATATATATGTTGTAAATATAAATAAACATATATAAATAGATAAACTATTCAACAAATACGTTTATTTGTAGGTAAAATATACATATAAACTGTGCTTTCTCGAGGTTGAGGAACGTAACCCTCCCTGGTAGAAAATTAAGCATTTAAAATGCTCAGATGAGCAGAAACTAGTCAGTACAACTGGTCAGTTTTAGCTCATAAATTAGCCGTTAAAATGGTCAGAAACTGGCCATTGAAAATGATCAAGGCAAAATCGAATATTTAGGTTAACTGTAGTAAACGTAAACAAAGAGTGTTATACCACGTTTAAGACACTTTTATGTTACGTGCATAAGATAAAAAGATCAGGGAATTGCTAAAATAAGAAACGATGTTGAAAATAATGGGAAGACACTTACTTCCTAACTTCCCTAAATGTTCAAAAACATTTTTAAAAACGTCAACAAATATTGAAATAATTTTAAACATCCTTATTACTGACGATTCTGATAGTAAATTCACGTACATATGACTTGCTTCTCCTTTCAAATCAAGTAAATCAATAAATATTTCATTAATGAGATAAATCGGCGTTCTAACGGAATTTTAACAAAGAACAAATACTACACAGCATATACAATTTTTCGTTTGCGATACACCAGCTAGGAATAAAGGTTCAAGTTTCATTCGATGCATGTGAACGTTGTCAAGTTGACTTGACTGATAATTCTTATTAATTATACTAAATGTTTAATCGATTATGTCGTGAACATTTGCCGAATGTTTACAAAAAAGTTTAAGCGAGGTTAGGTAGGGTGTAAATATAGTGCCGACGAGCGGCCAGCTGACGACCGCGCACGGACTTGAGCAGTTCTTAACCATTTTAAATGACTCAAAACCCTATCAAAATTAAGCATTTTCTGACCAGTTTGAGCGCCAATATCATGTCGTTTTTAGCAAGGTTTATGGCGAAGTTGGGCAGTAACTGACTTATAAACTGACCAGTTCGATTTTACTTGAGCATTAACTGGTCAGTAAATGCTGATGATTTCTACCAGGGCTCTCTTTCCCATAAGAGTAAGGTCTTATTATCCGCGGTTTTGTTATACGCGGTACTTTTGAGGAACGTAACCCCCGCGTATAACGAGGGTCTCCTAAATAATCAAAGGAAAAATGTAAAAATTTAACATCCACGTACTGCTAAGATATAATTTTGCGTTATTTCAGTCACTGAATCAGTGCGGAGTAGAAGCTAGGTTTGTTTTGCGTAATTTCAAACTTTTTGAAAAATAATTAATTAGAGTTCAAATATTTGATATCAAAATGAGTAGATCATTCCTTCGAATCATTCATATTTTATCATAAATCGCAATGTGTATGATCTTAAAACTAGAGGAATTTTAGGATCATATCGCCTGCTTACGAATTGAAAAACAGATAAATTTTTTGAATCCGTAGTTTTTGATTTTTCAATAAACTGTATTTAAGATTTTTTTTAAAGGCTGATTGTGATTGTAAGCTTTTCCATATTCTTTGCACATGTGCTCTCCGCGTTTCAAATAAACTATATCTATGTGCTGCATCGGATAACTCTCTCGTCCGAGCTACTTGTCACACTGAACCATTTATAGTCATTAATTTTTTCATGAACGGTGTTTATACATTCAAGTCGCGTTGATGATTGAAAGCTTTACCGCATGTATCGCACACGAGCTGCACCTATGTGCTTCGTCAGATCACTTTAATAACCAAAAAAACTTCCCACACGCATAGCATTAGTAATTTTTGATATTTTAATGGACTGTGTTAATATGTTTATCTAAGTTACTTTTTTCACCAAAAGATGTCCCACATTCCTCGCACGTGTGTTCTTTAAGTTTCAAATACATCTATGTGCTGCATTAAATGATTCTTTTGTCCAAAAGACTTGCCGCACTCAAAGCATTTTTGATCTTTAATTTTTTTATGAATTGAAATGATGTGGTTCATCAGGTGAATTTTTTGTCTTAATTATTTTTTTGTAAGTTAGACTTTTTTGTCAGTAAAATTTATATTTTTATCTTTTTTGAAAATCAAAACACTTCACACTGTCAATGAAAAATGGTTTATATTATATATTTTGAAAAAAATACAAGTCAAAATAGAGAAAATCTTGATAATCATAATATGAAGAATCAGAAATGCGGATTACAATAATATACTTTGGTGTTCTTTAAGTAGCTGAATTGACTTTAAGAAGGTTGAATTTTTTGTCATTTTCAAGCTATTAAAATATAATTAATAAGAGGTAAAAATATTAAGTATCGAAACGAATGAATCATTCACGAAAATTAATCGTTTCTCAAAACACTGGCACTTCCGGTATATGTACAAAATGCAAGAGAATCGAAAAACATTGTGAGTAATTATTGATTTTTCGATTTACTGCATCTATGTGTCTTTTCAAATCCTTATGTCAACTATGAGCTTTTCCACAATCTTTACAAATGTATTGTTTTATTATTGCATCATTGTGCTTTCTAAGCCCAAATGACTTGCCACATTCTTTGCATAAGTGTTCTTTAATTTCAAATGAATAACATCTATGTGTCTAAGCAAATGAATTTTTTGTGCAAAAAATTTGCCACACTCGAAGCATTTGGATCTTGTATTTTTTCATGCACAGAGGTAACGTGTCTATTCAAAGCACTTTTTGCACCAAAAGACTTTTCACATTTCCCGCACTTGTGTTTTTTGAGTTCCAAATGAACTATATCTATATGCAGTAGTAACCGATCCTTTCGTCCAAAAAGTTTACCACACTCTTCGCACTTGTGTTCTTTAAGTTTCAAATGAACTGCATCTATGTGCTGCATTAAATGACCCTTATATCCGAATGACTTGTCGCACTCTCCACATTTGTGATCTTTAATTTTTTTATGAACTGTGGTAATATGTTGATCTAAGTTACTTTTTCTACAGAAAGATTTGCCACATTCCTTACACACGTGTTCCTTGAGCTTCAAATGAACTACATCTATATGCTCCATAAGATTACTTTTTCGACCAAAAGAAATGCCACACTCAAAACATTTTTGATCTTTAACTTTTTTATGAACTGAATTGATGTGGTTCATCAGGTGAATTTTTTGTCCAAAAAACTTGCCACATTCTTCACACTTGTGTTCTTTGATTTTTTCATGGACTATACTCATATGTCTATCTAGGTCTTTTTTATAACTAAAAGACTTTTCACATTCTCCGCACTGTTCTCTAAGTTGCAAATGAACTACATTTATGTGCCTCATCAGATTCACTCTATATCCAAACGACCTGCCGCACTCTTCACACATATGTTCTTTGAGTTCCAGATGAACTGCATCAATGTGCTGCATTAAATTAGGCTTTTTTCCAAAAGACTTGCCGCACTCTTTGCATTTGTGATCTTTGATTTTTTCATGAACTGTTGCAATGTGCTCAGCCAAGCTTCTCTTATAACCAAAAACTTTTCCACACATGTCGCACGAGTAATTTTTGATTCTTTGATGGACATTCATAACGTGTCTATTCAAACGTTGTTGTGTAACAAAAGACTGTTCACAATTATCGCAAACAAATTTCCTTAGTTTCAAATGAACTCCATTCACGTGATTGTTCAAATTTTGTTTAGTTGATAAAATTTTACTGCAATAATTGCAATTGAGACGTATTTTGGTATTCGGACGTTCAAATTTATGCTCATCCGCAGCTAACATTTTCAAAATCACACGACTTTTCACCTCGTAGTTATATTATTTATCTACTGATACTACTATTTCTCTACTGTTCTCATTTCGAATATAATGTTTACTTTGAACTGTGAAATTTTCCGTTAAATTTTGTTGACGTCGGAACAAATGTATCGATTCATAAAATTACGAAAATCGATTTGTATTTATTATAGTACTATAATAATATCACGTAAAATGCAGGAATTGCGAATTTTTTGCCATTGATCTTGACAAGCAAAATAACAATAGCAATTCTTATTCTAGACAAAAACATCTGAACGCAAATTATTGGGCCATATTAAATTGTATCTTTGTACGAAAGTCTCATGTTAATTAATGCGAATTGCATAATGTTTCACGGCTCTTGAAAGTTAGTTTTTTGTGACCGCGTAACCGAGTAATTTCAAATTTTTAACTATTGGGTTGCCAAATAACGTGTTAAAAAATGTATTAGTTTCACATATTCCTCTGTATATTTTTTTCAATAGAATGATATCTCGTTTAGAGTTATTCGATGAAGTTTATGTTACTGTTTTGGCCTGCAACTCAATAATTTTTCTGATATGGACACGACGCGTATTTTTAAGCATCCCCTACTGCAGGCATCCGAAACGACTCTGTAGAGAATCCACGCAGATTTCTATATGGAATCAGAGTCGATTTCACAATGAAACTTTGATGATTTTAAACTGATTCCACACTGAAAATTAGTCTCAATTATTAACGCCGATTCTGCGTGGAATCAATTATGATTTTGTTGCGAATCTATATTGAATCAGCGTCGAAAAAATGTAAAATTTTCTCAGCATGAAATTTGAGCAATATTCCAACGCTGATTCTACTTTGAATTCATTTTGATTTTATTAGGAATCTGTATTGAATCAGCGTGGAATAAGTGTGAAATTTTTGCAGCAAAATTTTTGGAAACTTCGCAACGCTGATTTTACTTGGAACCCATGATGATTTCGTGTATAATTCGTAGAATATAAGTGTGGATATGATAATGAAAAGAAAGTAAAAGGATTTTAATACAAAAATTTTAAAACAAATTTTAATACAAAGATTTTAATACAAAAATGCTTCACTTATTTATTATTAAATATTATTAATAACGGTAAATATATTGTGGTATAATACATAATTTTTTATTAATCAACTTTATTAATAATAGCCACAATTCTATTTATTTTCTATTAAGGCGGTAAACCACCCTGAAATTTTTCAAAAATCAAAAATTTTTTTTTTTGCTTAAAGAGTCCTTTAACATCTCAAGAATATCCTGTAAAAATTTCAAATGTGGATCTAGTCTCTAAGTGCTCGAATTTTGAATGTAGCGCGGGCCTCGTCATGCGTAGGCGCGCCGCTCAGTCGTTCACACCGCGTACTAAGCGCATCGAGAAAGCGGAAAATTTGTTGTCTGAAGCCCTCAAAGAGGCAAGAATAATGTCAAGAAGTACCAGGAAGAACAAAATGGACGAGGACTTCAATCTGGAAGGCCAATTGTACGGTGCAGGAATTGCAGACTAAAAATATTTCATATTTATCTTTCCTTTCTTCTACTCTAAACTTTAAACGCCTTTTTCTCGAATTCACCTTTTCAAAGTCGGGCGGTAAGATATCTCGAACAATTTTCATCCGATCGACTTGAAATTTTAACTGTCTATTCTTGATTACTTTATCTACAGAAGTACCTGGGGGTTTTGTAAAATATTAATTTTTTCAAAAGTTATTAACAATTTTTTCGGGAATTTGTAGTGTTTTTTCATACTTTTTGTTAAAAATGACGCCATTTTGTAAAAAAACGATTAAAAAACAAAAGCCCAGGTACTTCTGTTGCTGTTCATGTATACTTTCGAAATTTTCGTGTCTAATGTTCATAACTTTAAAATAACAGGTAAAACGCTACCGCCCCCGAAGCGTTCCAAAATAAAGACGACGCAGGGACTATGCTGCCAAGCTGCCATTTTTTTTATTATGGCTACTATAAATGTTGAAAAACATCGTTCAAATGTTGTATAAACAAGAGCTTTTTACCGAATTTGAATATCTAGTATAGTTTTTTTAATATCCGATCCCGAAAATTTCATGAATTTTTTGGTGTTCAGGGTGGTTTACCGCCTTAATAGCACAACTTCTATTTTTATATGAAATAACTGTTGAGAATATATATAGTCAGCAATATGACTCTTTGGAAATGATTGGAATTCTAATTACTTATAATTAAATTGTATAGAAAAAGTAATCAATCCTTTTTGATAGACAACGAAAAATTAATTTGAAAAATAATATAAAGAAACTAATTTTCTGCGTATACGAGCGAATCTTCCTCATATATCAATGAATCATCAGATTCATCCCCATCGTAAGGCTCCTGAACACACATAGGTGTTTTAGCTGTTCTTCCTGCTTTAAAGTTTTTTATCTGAGTTCCAATCTCTTCACTGAGAATTGAAGTGATTTCAGACAACACTGTCGCCATGTATTCTCTTTCTCCCACAAGAGAAGGCTTGATATTTGTAAGGAAAGCGTGATAACAGTCTGAAAATTAATTTTTATTTTTTATTAATTGTAGTAGATTATTTACTGCAAGAAAGAATGAATTAATTTTAAATAAAACACCTGTAACTTACGTTTAAGTACCTTCATCTTCTTAGGTGTCAATTGCTTTCTTAGTGAGTCTCTGGTAACTTTCTGGCACTTTGAACTGTAGTCCACGCTGCGATTGGCCAATCGTTCGGGCCCCAAAAGGTTACGGCTCATTTTCTTGACGAATATTGATCGTGTTTTTGATCGTGCTGTTGTTATTCTCCAATTCTGTAGTGGGATCGAAACACCTCTGGACATGGGCACCATTTCAATTGACTCCATCTGTAAAAGAATCGTGATGTAAGTATTATGACATCTACACTATTTTATTTTTTATAAATATAACAATATATTAAAATAATATACCTTTCCTTTGTGAGAAATTTTTTTCATCCAGATTTGACCATTTTTTCTACCTGTTGCACAGGAACCTTGTAGGTCAGACAAGTCTTTCGAATGAAGTTGATTTGATGTTGGGATGTTTTTAAAAGCTTCATCAATGCCTGCGAACAGAAAAAAATTAAATTGTTATTGAAAATAATTTAAGAATCAATGAAAAATTATTTAAAAAATAATAGTACTGTCGTCACTGCAATTGTCATTGTATTCAGGAATGTTGACAATTTTTTTCTTCGCAGACTTAACTGGCTTTTTCTTCTTTGGGGTGTTCATTGGTTCTTCATCACTCTCTTCACCATCCTTTCCACCTTCTATACCATCATCTAAATCATTCATTCCTTTCAAATTACCATCAGTTTTTGATTGTGCATCACGAGTAACAGTAGTCGGGCTGTCATGTAGCTCTCCATCACTATTATCATTATACATACCAGAGACATTTGCAATTGCATTTTGTAGAGCAGTTTGCAATTGTTCTTCAGCTGCTTCATAAGAATTTTTATTTTGAACTACAGAAACTTTCTTTTGGACGATGGACTTTTCCATGGATTTTTCTTTTTCTTCTTTTTTTTTTAAGAGTTGCTATGAAAAAATAATTCAACCAATTGTCAAAAATGTTATAAATAGTATTTGTTAGAAATTTTATTTATTGTACAAAACTATTTTACCATTTGCTTGGTTAAGTTTTTTTGTGCAGAACCACTTGTACAGGGGGGTGTAGGTATCTCACTCAAAGACTCGTCAGCGTCGCTGAATCCGAAGTGCAGGGTCAGTTTTTTGTGATTTTGAAGATTATGAAAAATAAATCATGAAAGTTAAAATATTAACAATGAAAATGAGTAGATCATTCACGGATATTAATTGTTTCCGAACAATAACAGCAACGCCCATAATCATCAACACTGTATCATTTCAGACATGTATAGACTGCGGAAGAAACTAAAAACTTTTATAACGTGATGTTCAATTGTCGTTTTGTGAAAACAGAATTTTCACAATCGTCGCAAACAAATTTCTTTAGTTTCAAATGAACTACAGCCACGTGATTGTTCAAATTTTGTTTAGTTGATAAAATCTTACCGCAATAATCGCATTTGTGACGTATTTTAGCATTTTGATTTTGAAGCTTATGTTTTTCCAAAGCTGACATTGTAAAAATCTCTCAACTTTTCACTTTTAAATCGATACATCTATCTACTGGTTCTATTAATTCTCTACTGTTCTCATTTCGAAATTGATATTTATTTTGAAATATGAGATTTTACCGTTGAAATTTTGTTGGCGCCGGAACTACTGTATCGATTTATAACATTACGAAAGTTAATTTGTGCTGATTAGAACTATAATATTGTCACGTAAGATAATAGCAAATAAAATCGCGTTGGCTGGACATGAAAATCGCATATGTACGCATTTCAATACGCATGATGTACGAGTTAGGACTTTAATGAATTTTCTTGGACAGTCGAACTTGGTTTGGAGTTGAGTCCGAGTCCGTCACTCTATGACTTGATTCGATTGCAACCCGATGAGGCGACAAAAATATTCAAATTAATACAAAGTTTAAGATAGTACCTCTCTCCAAGAGGTTTAATCAATTTTCCGAGCTGGGTATACCAACAGAGAAGTAAAAATCCGTTCACCATATCGTCGAAGAATAGTCATCGCTCATATCTCGAAAAATCGAATTTATTAGCTCGCGACACAACTGTATAATGTTTTTACTCGGGACTGGAACAACACAAGCATTCGGTGTATATAGTGCATAGCATGTAGTAACCATGTGAACGAGAGTAATTCATGCATACGACACTCCGAATGGGAGACCTACACACCGATGTCGTTCCCTTTTGAATATTTACTAATGCAATGCAAAGCAACAAACGTCAAGAGGCCCCGTGTAAGTGAACGTGGTAAGGAATGAAAATAAACCAATTTAATCATTCAAACTGAATGAAATTAATAAAGAATAAAAATTAAATTCTGACAAATTAAAATACCCTACGAAAAACCACTGGAATTAAAAAAATATATTTAAATTCAACGTTAAATTCATTAAAATTAGTAATTTAGCAATTTTACTAATACCCTACGAAAAACCACTGGAATTAAAAAAATATATTTAAATTCAACGTTAAATTCATTAAAATTAGTAATTTAGCAATTTTAGCAAGTAATTAGCAATTTTATTAATTCAAAAAGATGCAAGTGCATTTTTTTATTACAATCAAAATTGTATTATTTATAAATAATTATTGTACAATTTAAATAAGTAAGTTCTACTTTTTGGTTAGTAAAATCAGTATTTTTATCTTTTTTGAAAATCAAAACATTTCAAGTGTCACTGAAAAATGGTTTATATTATATATTTTGAAAAAAATACAAGTCAATAGAGGAAATATTGATAATCAAAATATGAAGAATCAGTAATTCGCGCACTACAATAGTATACTTTTGTGTTCTTCAAGTAGCTGAATCCAAATGCGAGGTTGAATTTGTCGTCATTTTCAAGCTATTAAAAATGATTTGGAAGAGGTAAAAATGTTAGGTAACAAAACGAATGAATCATTCACGCAAATTCATCTTTTCTCAAAACACTGGCAGTTTCGGTATATATATACAAAATGCAAGAGAATCGAAAAAGATTGTGAGTAATTATTGATTTTTCGATTTACTGCATCTATGTGTCTTTTCAAATCCTTATGACAACTATAAGCTTTTTAAAAATCTTTACAAATGTATTGTTTTATTATTGAAATGTGTTGTTTTATTATTGCTTCAATAAGCTTAATCACATCACTTCTAAGTCCAAATGACTTGCCACATTCTTTGAATTCGTGTTCTTTAATTTCAAATGAATAACATCTATGTATCTAAACAAATGAATTTTTTGTGCAAAAAATTTGCCACACTCTTCGCATTTGTAATCTTTGATTTTTTCATGAACTGAAGAAATGTGTCTATTCAAAGCATTTTTGTACCAAAAGAATTTTCACATTCTCCGCACTTGTGTTCTTTAAGTTTCAAATGAATTAAATCTATGTGCCTCATCAGATCACATTTTTCTCCAAACGACTTGCCACACTCATCGCATTAGTGATCTTTGATTTTTTCATGAACTGTGGCAATGTGTCTATTCAAGTTACTTTTTGCACCAAAAGATTGCCCACATTCCTCGCACGTGTGTTCTTTAAGTTTCAAATGAACTGCATCTATGTGCTGCATTAAATGACCCTTTTCTCTAAACGACTTGCCACACTCGAAGCATTTGTGATCTTTGATTTTTTCATGAACTGAAGAAATGTGTCTATTCAAAGCATTTTTTGTACTAAAAGACTTTTCACATTCTCCGCACTGTTCTCTAAGTTGCAAATGAACTACATCTATGTGCCTCATCAGATTCACTCTATATCCAAACGACCTGCCGCACTCATCACACATATGTTCTTTGAGTTCTAGATGAACTGCATCAATGTGCTTCATTAAAGTCTGCTTTTTTCCAAAAGACTTATCGCACTCTCCGCAATTGTGCTCTTTGATTTTTTTATGTACTGCAGCAATGTGTTTATGTAAGTTACTTTTGTGACCAAAAGACTTTCCACATTCCTCACACATGTGTTGTTTGAGTTCCAGATGAACTGTATCAATGTGCTTCATCAGATCATTTTTATAACCAAAAGACTTTCCACACTCTCCGCATTTTTGATCTTTTATTTTCAAATGAACTGTATCAATGTGATTCATTAAAGTCTGCTTTCGACCAAAAGACTTTCCACATTCCTCACACATGTGTTCTGTAAGTTCCAAATGAACTGTATCAATGTGCTTCATCAGATCATTTTTATAACCAAAAGACTTTCCACATTCCTCACACCTATGTTCTTTGAGTTTCAAATGAACTACATCGATGTGCCTCAAAAGATTACTTTTTTTTTTAAAAGACTCGGCACACTCATTGCATTTGTGATCTTTGATTTTCTCGTGTACTGCGCTAATATGTATATTCAAGTCACTTTCAGCACCAAAAGATTTACCGCATTCTTTACACATGTGTTCTCTAATATTTAAATGAACTACATCTGAGTGCTGTATCAAATGACCTTTTTGACCGAAATGTTTGCCACACTCTTTGCACTTGTGCTCTTTCAATTTTTCATGAACTGTGACAATGTGGCGATTCAAGTCGCCCTTGTGACCAAATGACTTTCCAAATTTCTCACACATGTGTTCTTTGAGTTCCAGATGAACTGTATCAATGTTCTTCATCAGATCCCTTTTATAACCAAAAAACTTTCCACACTCTCCGCATTTTTGATCTTTTATTTTCAAATGAACTGTTGCAATGTGCTCAGCCAAGTTTTTCTTATAACCAAAAACTTTTGCACATGTGTCGCACGAGTAATTTTTGATGCTTTGATGGACGTTCATAACGTGATCATTCAAATTTTTTTTCGTGACAAACGGCTGTCCACAATCATTGCAAACACATTTTCTTAGCTTCAAATGAACTGCATCCAAGTGACTGTCCAAATTACTTTTAGTTAGGAAAATTTTACCGCAATAATGGCATTTGTGACGTATTTTAGCATTTTTGTTTTTAAGCCTATTCTCTCCCGAAGTTAACATTGTAATAATCTTTCGACTTATCTTTTCTTAATTGAAACATCTATCTACTGGTACTATTATTTCTCTACTGTTCTCATCTCAAATCTTATGTTTATATTGAAATATGAGATTTTACCGTTGAAATTTTGTTGGCGCCGAAACTAATGTATCGATTTATAACATTACGAAAATTTATTTGTGTTTACTAGAACTCTAGTGAGATGATCTATGAATTACAGCTTTGATTTAGACTATATTATCATCGTACAAAAAAGACACGAACTGAGCTTGTTTTGGCTCTTGATCCTACTAAGTAATGTCACAACTGTAGCAAATAAAGTCGCAGTTGTTAATTCGGCATAAAAAAAATACAGGATGATCTATGCGTTACAACTTAATGAGAAAAAGCAAACAAATCAGCGAAAACTGACTCGCAAGCCGGCACACATTGGATTAATTGTACTAGTATCTCACTATGGACATTTTCATTACACGCGTAGCTAGTGAAACAATGTCGAATAAATCGGTTTATATTGCCGATAAATGTACACATGCAAGTGTTGAATGAATGAATAAAGAGGTGTTAATTAAACCATCGCGAGCTCACGACGACTCCACGTCATCGTGAGACCTTGGCAGCGCGAGATAATAGCGCAGAATGAATCGGGTATGTAACCCGGCGCTAAAGACAATTCACCACTTACAAGTATAGCCACATCAAAAAATGTATACGATTTTCAAGTTCTAGAGAGAACTGAAAGTTTTTCTACAAATTTATTGACCCGAGTAGGCGTATACCTCCTCGGGTTTCGTAAACTTGCAGGATCAGATTTTGAGTCTTCCTCGGCATCTGTGCTAGATTGTTAACGGTACGTCATTCGTTATGAAGAATAAAGTTATCGAATCAACCAAAAGAAAATCTAAATATCAATAAGCAACTTAAATTTAATGGTGAAAACATTAATTACTAAAAACAATAAAGAGCAGAGCAAGAAACGCGGTTGAAAGTGACATCTGAACGAAAATTCCAACAGAAAACAATGTTAAAAGCAAATTAAATAAAATCAAAAAAATAGTTATATTTTCCATGGTCAAAATTTTATTATTCATGTTAATTTATTGTATAATTAATTAGTTGTACTTTTTATATAGTACGATATATTTACAAAATAAGAGACTTCATTACTTTTGAGAATAAAAATATTGTAACTAACCGTACGAGAATAAGTTCATTTTGCATATATTTTAAAAGAAATACAAGTCAAAAGAGAATATAATCATAGGAAAAATGTAAAAATTTAACATTCACGTACTGCTAAGATATAATTTTGCGTTATTTCAGTCACTGAATCAGTGCGGAGTAGAAGCTAGGTTTGTTTTTCGTAATTTCAAACTTTTTGAAAAATAATTAATTAGAGTTCAAATATTTGATATCAAAATGAGTAGATCATTCCTTCAAATTATTCATTTTTTATCATAAATCGCAATGTGTACGATCTTGTCTGTGTATGATCTGTTAATATATTCAAGTCGCGTTGACGATTGAAAGCTTTTTCGCATGTATCGCACACGAGCTGCACCTATGTGCCTCGTCAGATCACTTTAATAACCAAAAAAACTTCCCACACGCATAGCATTAGTGATTTTTAATATTTTAATGGACTGTGGTAATATGTTTATCTAAGTTACTTTTTACAAAAAGCTTTTCCACATTACGTGTGTTCTTTAAGTTTCAAATGAACTACATCTATGTGCTGCATTTAATGATGCTTTTGTCCAAAAGACTTGCCGCACTCAAAGCATTTTTGATCTTTAATTTTTTTATGAACTGAATTGATGTGGTCATCAGGTGAATTTTTTGTCTTAATTATTTTTTTGTAAGTTATACTTTGTTGTTAGTAAAATTTATATTTTTATCTCTTTTGAAAATCAAAACATTTAAACTATCAATGAAAAAAGGTTTATATTATATATTTTGAAAAAAATACAAGTCAATAGAGAAAATATTGATAATCATAATATGAAGAATCAGAAATGTGCGGATTACAATAATATACTTTTGTGTTCTTCAAGTAGCTGAATCCAAATGCGAGGTTGAATTTTTCGTCATTTTCAAGCTATTAAAAATGATTAAGAAGCGGTAAAAATGTTAAGTATCAAAACGAATGAATCAAACACGCAGATTAATCGTTTCTCAAAACACTGGCACTTCCGGTTTATGTACAAAATGCAAGAGAATCGAAAAAAATTGTGAGTAATTATTGATTTTTTGTTTTACTGCATCTATGTGTCTTTTTAAATCCTTATGTCAACCGAGAGCTGTTCCGCAATCTTTACAAATGTATTGCTTTATTATTGCATCATTGTGCTTAATCACATCACTTCTAAGTCCAAATGACTTGCCACATTCTTTGCATTAGTTTTCTTTAATTTCAAATGAACTATATCGATGTGTTTCATAAGATTACTCTTTTCTCCAAACGACTTGCCACACTCGAAGCATTTGTGATCTTTTATTTTTTCATGAACAGAGGTAACGTGTCTATTCAAAGCACTTTTTGTACCAAAAGACTTCCCACATTTCTCACACTTGTGTTCTTTGAGTTCCAAATGAACTACATCTATATGCAGTAGTAACCGATCCTTTCGTCCAAAAAGTTTACCACACTCTTCGCATTTGTGATCTTTAATTTTTTTATGAACTGTGGCAATATGTTTATCTAAGTTACTTTTTTTACAGAAAGATTTTTCACATTCCTTACACACGTGTTCCTTGAGCTTCAAATGAACTATATCTATATGCTCCATAAGACTACTTTTTCGTCCAAAAGAAATGCCACACTCAAAGCATTTTTGATCTTTAACTTTTATATGAACTGAATTGATGTGGTTCATCAGGTGTATTTTTTGTCCAAAAAACTTGCCACATTTTACGCACTGGTGTTCTATGATTTTTTCATGGACAATACTTATATGTCTATTGAGGACTTTTTTATAACTAAAAGACTTTTCACATTCTCCGCACTTATGTTCTCTAAGTTGCAAATGAACTACATCTACGTGCCTCATCAGATTCACTCTATATCCAAACGACCTGCCGCACTCTTCACACATATGTTCTTTGAGTTCCAGATGAACTGCATCAATGTGCTTCATTAAAGTCTGCTTTTTTCCAAAAGACTTGCCGCACTCTTTGCATTTGTGATCTTTGATTTTTTCATGAACTGTTGCAATATGCTCAGCCAAGCTTCTCTTATAACCAAAAACCTTTCCACACGTGTCGCACGAGTAATTTTTGATTCTTTGATGGACATTTATAACGTGTGTATTCAAACGTTGTTGTGTAACAAAAGACTGTTCACAATTATCGCAAACAAATTTCCTTAGTTTCAAATGAACTGCATCCATGTGATTGTCCAAATTACTTTGAGTTAGAAAAATCTTACTGCAATAATCGCAATTGAGACGTATTTTGGTATTCGGACGTTCAAATTCATGCTCATCCGCAGCTAACATTTTTAAAATCACTCGACTTTTCACCTCGTAGTTATATTATTTATCTACTGATACTACTATTTCTCTACTGTTCTCATTTCGAATATAATGTTTACTTTAAACTATGAAATTTTCCGTCATATTTTGTTGACGTCGGAACTGATGTATCGATTCATAAAATTACGAAAATCGATTTGTGTTTATTATAGTTCTATAATAATATCACGTAAAATGCAGGAATTGCGAATTTTCTGCCATTGATCTTGACAACTAAAATAATAATAGCAATTCTTATTGTAGAAAAAAACATCTGAACGCAAATTATTGCGCCATATTAAATTGTATCTTTGTACGAAAGTCTCATGTTAATTAATGCGAATGGCATAATGTTTCACGGCTCTTGAAAGTTAGTTTTATGTGACCGCGTAACCAAGTAATTTCAAATTTTTAAGTATTGGGTATTGGGTTGTCAAATAACGTGTTGAAAAATGTATTAGTTTTACATATTGCTCTGTATATTTTTTTCAATAGAACGATATCTCGTTCAGAGTTATTCGATGAAGTTTATGTTACTGTTTTGGCCTGCAACTCAATAATTTTTCTGATATAGACACGACGCGTATTTTTAAGCATCCCCTACTGCAGGCATCCGAAACGACTCTGTAGAGAATCCACGCAGATTTCTATATGGAATCGGAGTCGATTTCACAATGAAACTTTGATGATTTTAAACTGATTCCACACTGAAAATTAGTCGCAATTATCAACGCCGATTCTGTGTCGAATCAACTATGATTTTGTTGCGAATCTGTATTGAATCAGCGTCGAAAAAATGTAAAATTTTCTCAGCATGAAATTTGAGCAATATTCCAACGCTGATTCTACTTTGAATTCATTTTGATTTTATTAGGAATCTGTATTGAATCAGCGTGAAATAAGTGTGAAATTTTTGCAGCAAAATTTGTGGAAACTTTGCAACGCTGATTCTACTTGGAACCTATGATGATTTCGGGTATAATTCGTAGAATATAAGTATGGATATGATAATAAAAAGAAAGTAAAAAGATTTTAATACAAAAATTTTAAAACAAATTTTAATACAAAGATTTTAATACAAAAATGCTTCACTTATTTATTATTAAACTAGCGGCGTTCCTCGCTCGCTAACGCTCGCTCGGTCTCAGATTGTTTCAAAGAAATTGTAAGAAATATTGGAGGAGTAAGAATATTATAAGACATATTTATGAAATATTTAAATTTTGAACAAATTTAGATGTTGAAACATAATAGAATATAATAGAATCATGTTTATCGATATATTATGTAATTGGTCATGATTCATTGAATACAAAATAACCCAAGAACTTGATAGATTTAACTTAACGAAACATCATCTCTCCTTCTCGTCTTAAATATAGTACAGTGACTTTCTAAAAGGGCATTAATTTGTACGTCGAAATAGGTCTATGAGAAATTTGGAGATTAGTAGATTTAAAAAATAACTAAATAAAAAATCTGCTACACTTGAGTGGAAAAGAATTTAATTATAAAAATTTTGAGACCTAAAGGATCATTGATTAAATATTGATTAAATATTATCAAAATCATCTTGACAAGGACTTAAAAATTACAAGTCAATATATATGTATCCTGGATGAATTTTAATAATAATAGGATCCACAGACATATTTTTTGTTGTACAAAAACCTGCAAAAACATATTTTATCTTCCGAAACAAAAAATTTTAATATTAATCCTTAATTTTCATGCTTTTGCATTTATAGGCATAAACACAGGTGTGTTTCCTTAAAGAAAGCAATCGTTTACGCTATAGTCGACATAATAAAGGTTTCTGATAAAAAATTTCCATGGCCTGAGAACAACAATCTTTATACTTTAATTTTCGATTCTTTTTTTATTATGAATTTTTTAATTTTCATTTTAGCGATGAAAATCTTTCACAGAATACAGACAAATACTAAAGATCATTGTACCCGTTCACTTGACTTATCTGTAATTATATACTTAAATAACTAACTTGTCTGCTTTTAATTCATAAACATTAATATCTTTTTCTTTTACATTACTTTAAGATAAATAATAATTTTCAAATGTACATTTTTTTCTTGGTCGAAAGTCTAGTTTGATATATTGTTTTCGAATATGGGATTAATGAATTTTTATTAGAATCAACAAATAAAAGAAAGTTCAAGTTCTTCGCCACAAACTCATCCGCGAGAACAGGAGAACCAAAAAATTCCCCGAAGAAGTTTCAACAGGTGCCAGAACGGGGACTCGGTGCACCAGGTCGACGCGTTCAAGATCTCCACCACAAACTCATCCGCGAGAACAGGAGAACAAAAAAATTCCCCGAAGAAGTTTCAACAGGTGCCAGAACGGGGACTCGGTGCACCAGGTCGACGCGTTCAAGATCTCCACCACAAACTCATCCGCGAGAACAGGAGAACAAAAAAATTCCCCGAAGAAGTTTCAACAGGGGCCAGAACGGGGACTCGGTGCACCAGGTCGACGCGTTCAAGATCTCCACCACAAACTCATCCGCGAGAACAGGAGAACAAAAAAATTCCCCGAAGAAGTTTCAACAGGGGCCAGAACGGGGACTCGGTGCACCAGGTCGACGCGTTCAAGTTCTCCACCACAAACTCATCCGCGAGAACAGGAGAACAAAAAAATTCCCCGAAGAAGTTTCAACAGGGGCCAGAACGGGGACTCGGTGCACCAGGTCGACGCGTTCAAGTTCTCCACCACAAACTCATCCGCGAGAACACGAGAACAAAAAAATTCCCCGAAGAAGTTTCAACAGGGGCCAGAACGGGGACTCGGTGCACCAGGTCGACGCGTTCAAGTTCTCCACCACAAACTCATCCGCGAGAACACGAGAACAAAAAAATTCCCCGAAGAAGTTTCAACAGGGGCCAGAACGGGGACTCGGTGCACCAGGTCGACGCGTTCAAGTTCTCCACCACAAACTCATCCGCGAGAACACGAGAACAAAAAAATTCCCCGAAGAAGTTTCAACAGGGGCCAGAACGGGGACTCGGTGCACCAGGTCGACGCGTTCAAGTTCTCCACCACAAACTCATCCGCGAGAACACGAGAACAAAAAAATTCCCCGAAGAAGTTTCAACAGGGGCCAGAACGGGCACTTGGTGCACGCCACAAAAGAAGAATGTGTAAAAAATGTAAAAAAAGGCTTAAAACGTGCGAAATCGTAAAAAACGACCATTTTTTTGGATATATATATATATATATAATATACATATGTATATATATGTATACATATGTATATATATATGTTACATATATATAATATATATGTTTTTTTTTTTTTTTTAGAAATCGATTTCGGAAATATTGGGGAAGCAAAAACGTTCCGTTGAAATTTCAACGAGTAATATATAGGATTCAACGAGTAATATATAGGATATTATTACTAACGGTACATATATTATGGTATGATACATAATTCTTTATTAATCAACTTTAATAATAATAGCCACTATTCTATTTATTTTTTATTAATAGCACAACTTCTATTTTCATATGAAATAACTCTTTGGAAATGATTGGAATTCTAATTACTTATAATTAAATTGTATAGAAAAAGTAATCAATCCTTTTTGATAGAAAACGAAAAATTAATTTGAAAAATAATATAAAGAAACTAATATTCTTCGTATACGAGCGAATCTTCCTCATATATCTATGAATCATCAGATTCATCTACGTCGTAAGGCTCCTCAACACACATCTAGGTGTTTTAGCTGTTCTTCCTGCTTTAAAATTTTTTATCTGAGTTCCAATCTCTTCACTGAGAATTGAAGTGATTGCAGACAACACTGTCGCCATGTCTTCTCTTTCTCCCACAAGAGAAGGCTTTAGATTTGTAAGGAAAGCATGATAGCAGTCTGAAAATTAATTTTCATTTTTTATTAATTGTAGTAGATTATTTACTGCAAGAAAGAATGAATTAATTTTAAATAAAACACTTGTTACTTACGTTTAAGTACCTTCATCTTCTTAGGTGTCAATTGCTTTCTTGGTGAGTCTCTGGTAACTTTCTGGCACTTTGAACTGTAGTCCACGCAGCGATTGGCCAATCGTTCGGGCCCCCAAAGGTTACGGCTCATTTTCTTGACGAATATTGATCGTGTTTTTGATCGTGCTGTTGTTATTCTCCAATTCTATAGTGGGATCGAAACACCTCTGGACATGGGCACCATTTCAATTGACTTCATCTGTAAAAGAATCGTGATGTAAGTATTATGACATATACACTATTTTATTTTTTACAAATAGAACAATATATTAAAATAATATACCTTTCCTTTGTGGGTAATTTTTTTCATCCAGATTTGACCATTTTTTCTACCTGTTGCACAGAAACCTTGTAGGTCAGACAAGTCTTTCAAATGAAGTTGATTTGATGTTGGGATGTTTTTAAAAGCTTCATCAATGCCGGCGAACAAAAAAAAATTAAATTGTTATTGAAAATAATTTAAGAATCAATGAAAAATTTAAAAAAAAATAATAGTTCTGTCGTCACTGCAATTGTCATTGTATTCAGGAGTGTTCACAATCTTTTTCTTCGCAGACTCAACTGGCTTTTTCTTCTTTGGGGTGTTCATCGGTTCTTCATCACTCGCTTCACCATCCTTTCCACCTTCTATACAATCATCCAAATCATTCATTCCTTTCAAATTACCATCAGTTTTTGATTGTGCATCACGAGAAACAGTAGTCGGGCTGTCATGTAGCTCTCCATCACTATTATCATTATACATATCAGAAACATTTGCAATTGCATTTTGTAGAGCAGTTTGCAATTGTTCTTCAGCTGCTTCATAAGAATTTTTATTTTGAACTGCAGAAACTTTCTTTTGGACGATGGACTTTTCCATGGATTTTTCTTTTTCTTCTTTTTTTTTAAGAGTTGCTATTAAAAAATAATTCAACCAATTATCAAAAATGTTATAAATAGTATTTGTTAGAAATTTTATTTATTGTACAAATATATTTTACCATTTGCTTGGTAAAGTTTTTTTGTGCAGAACCACTTGTACAGGGGGGTGTAGGTATCTCACTCAAAGACTCGTCAGCGTCGCTGAATACGAAGTGCAGGGTCAGTTTTTTGTGATTTTAAAGATTATGAAAAATAAATCATGAAAGTTAAAATATTAACAATGAAAATGAGTAGATCATTCACGGATATTAATTGTTCCCGAACAATAACAGCAACGCCCATGATCATCAACACTGTATCATTCCAGACATGTACAGACTGCGGAAGAAACTAAAAACAGAATGCGTTAATTAAAATCAGTCATTTGGAATTCATGTGTCTTTTCAAATCGTCATTGCGACAGTAAGCTATTCACATTACTAGAACGTGTCATCTACAAGTTTCAAATGAACTGCATCTATATAGTTTATCATATTAATTTTTTATCCAAAAAACTTGTCAAATTCTTAGCATCTCTGTTCATTGAGTTTCGAATGAACTACATCTATGTTACTCATTATATTACTTTTTTGTCCCAAAGACTTTCCACACTCTTTCATGAACTGTGTCAATGTGTCTATTCAAGTTTTGTTGACGATTGAAACCTTTTCGCATGTTTCGCACATGTTTTCTTTAATTTTCAAATGAACTTCACGTATGTGCTTCATAAAATTACTTTTATGTCCAAAAGACATGCCACACTCTAGGCATTTTTGATCTTTAACTTTTTTATGAACTGTGGATATGTGTCTATCTAAGTAAATTTTTCGACCAAAAGATTTTCCACATTCTTCACACATATATTCTTTGATTTCGAGATGGACTGAATCGATGTGGTTCATCAGGTGAGTTTTTTTTTCAAATAACTTCCCACATTCTTTACATTTGTGTTCTTTGAGTTCCAGGCGAACTGCGTCAATGTGTCGATTCAATTCTTGTTTAAAACCAAAAGACTTTCCACATTCTTTGCATATAAGTTCTTTGATTAATAGATGAACCACATCGATGTGTCGCATAAGATTACTCTTTTGTCCAAATGACTTGCCTCATTCTCCGCATTTGTGATCTTGTATTTTTTCATGAACTGCTGCAATATGCTCAGCCAAATGTTTCTTAAAACGAAAAACGTTTACGCACACGCCGCATGTGAAGTTTTTGGTTTTTTGATGGACATTTATAACGTGTTTGTTCAATTGTAGTTTCGTAAAAAAAGAATTTTCACAATCGTCGCAAACAAATTTCTTTAGTTTTAAATAAACTCCATTCACGTGACTGTTCAAATTTTGTTTAGTTGATAAAATTTTACTGCAATAATCGCATTTGTGACGTATTTTAGCATTTTGATTTTGAAGCTTATGTTTTTCTAAAGCTGACATTGTAAAAATCTCTCACCTTTTCATTTTTGAATTGAAACTTCTATCTACTCGTACTATCATTTCTCTACTGTTCTCATTTCAAATCTTGTATTTATTTTGAAGTATGAGATTTTCCCGTTGAAATTTTGTTGGCGCCGGAACTAATGTATCGATTCATAACATTACGAAAGTTAATTTATGCTTATAAGAACTATGATATTATCACGTACAACAATAGCACATAAAAACTCTCGCGTTGGCTGGGCATAAAAATCGCATATGTACGCATTTCAATACGCATGATGTACGAGTTAGGACTTTAATGAATTTTCTTGGACAGTCGAACTTGGTTTGGAGTTGAGTCCGAGTCCGTCACTCTATGACTTGATTCGATTGCAACCCGATGAGGCGGCAAAAATATTCAAATTAATACAATGTTTAAGATAGTACCTCTCTCCAAGAGGTTTAATCAATTTTCTGAGCTGGGTATACCAACAGAGGTGTAAGGATCCGCTCAGCATATCGTCGAAGCATAGTCATCGCTCACATCTCAAAAAATCGAATTTATTAGCTCGCGACACAATTGTATAATGTCTTTACTCGGGACTGCAACAACACACGCAGTTGCTATATATAGTGCATAGCATGTAGTAACCATGTGAACGAGAGTAATTCATGCATACGACACTCCGAATGGGGGACCTACACACCGATGTCGTTCCCTTGAATATTTACTAATGCAATGCAAAGCAACAAACGTCAAGAGGCTCTGTGTAAGTGAACGTGGTAAGGAATGAAAATAAACCAATTTAATCATTCAAACTGAATGAAATTAATGAAGAATAAAAATTAAATTCTGGCAAATTAAAATATCCGACGAAAACCACTGGAATTAAAAAATATATTTAAATTCAACTTTCAAATCATTAAAATTAGTGATTCAGCAATTTTGTTAATTCAAAAAGATGCAAGTGCATTTTTTTATTACAATCAAAATTGTATTATTCATAAATAATATTTGTACAATTTAAATACAATCAAATAATTATTCTTATGTGAGTTCCACTTTTTTGTTAGTAAAATCAATATTTTTAGCTTTTTTAAAAATCAAAACATTTCAACTGTCACTGAAAAATGGTTTATATTATATATTTTGAAAAAAATACAAGTCAATAGAGGAAATATTGATAATCAAAATATGAAGAATCAGTAATTCGCGGACTACAATAGTATACTTTTGTGTTCTTTAAGTAGCTAAATCCAAATGCGAGGTTGAATTTGTCGTCATTTTCAAGCTTTTAAAATATGATTAATAATAGGTAAAAATGTTAAGTATCAAAACGAATGAATCATTCACGCAAATTAATCATTTCTCATCAGAAACAGCAACGAATGTACTCTTCAAAACACTGGCACTTCCGGTACATATACAAAATGCAAGAGAATAGAAAAAAATTGTGAGTAATCATTGATTTTTCGATTTACTGCATCTATGTGTCTTTTCAAATCCTTATGACAACTATAAGCTTTTCCAAAATCTTTACAAATGTATTGTTTTATTATTGCTTCAATGAGCTTAATCACATCACTTCTAAGTCCAAACGACTTGCCACATTCTTTGCGTTAGTGTTCTTTAATTTCAAATGAATAACATCTATGTGTCTAAACAAATGAAATTTTTGTGCAAAAAATTTGCCACACTCCAAGCATTTGTAATCTTTGATTTTTTCATGAACTGAAGAAATGTGTCTATTCAAAACACTTTTTATACCAAAAGACTTTTCACATTTTCCGCACTTGTGTTTTTTGAGTTCCAAATGAACTACATCTATATGCAGTAGTAACTGATCCTTTCGTCCAAAAAGTTTACCACACTCTTCGCATTTGTGATCTTTAATTTTTTCATGAACTGTGGTAATATGTTTATGTAAGTTACTTTTTCTACCGAAAGATTTTCCACATTCCTTACACACGTGTTCCTTGAGCTTCAAATGAACTATATCTATATGCTCCATAAGACTACTTTTTCGTCCAAAAGAAATGCCACACTCAAAGCATTTTTGATCTTTTATTTTTTCATGAACTGTGGCAGTGTGTCTATTCAATTCACATTTATAACTGAATGACTTTCCACACTCTTCGCATTTGTGACCTTTGATTTTTTCATGGACTAAACTCATATGTCTATTCAAGTCTCTTTTATAACAAAATGACTTTTCACATTCTCCGCACTTATGTTCTCTAAGTTCCAAATGAACTACATTTATGTGCCTCATCAGATTCACTCTATATCCAAACGACCTGCCGCACACTTCACACATATGTTCTTTGAGTTCTAGATGAACTGCATCAATGTGCTTCATTAAATCATGCTTTTTTCCAAAGGACTTGTCGCACTCTCCGCATTTGTGATCTTTAATTTTTTCATGAACTGTGGTAATGTGTCTACGTAAGTTACTTGTTTGGCCAAAAGACTTTCCACATTCCTCACACATGTGTTCTTTGAGTTCCAGATGAACTGTATCAATGTGCTTCATTAGATCATTTTTACAACCAAAAAACTTTCCACACTCTCCGCATTTTTGATCTTTTATTTTCAAATGAACTGTATCAATGTGCTTCATTAAAGTCTGCTTTTTTCCAAAAGACTTGCCACACTCTCCGCATTTGTGATCTTTGATTTTTTCATGTACTGCGTCAATGTGTCGATTCAAGTCCTGTTTAAGACCAAAAGACTTTTCACATTCTTTGCATGTATGTTCTTTGATTAATAGATGAACCACATCGATGTGTCGGATAAGATTATTCTTTGTTCCAAAAACCTTGTCACACTCTCCGCATTCATGATCTTTGATTTTTTCATGAACTGTTGCAATGTGCTCAGCCAAGCTTCTCTTATAACCAAAAACTTTTCCACACGTGTCGCACGAGTAATTTTTGATTCTTCGATGGACATTCATAACGTGTCTATTCAAACGTTGTTGTGTAACAAAAGACTGTTCACAATTATCGCAAACAAATTTCCTTAGTTTCAAATGAACTGCATCCATGTGATTGTCCAAATTACTTTTAGTTAGAAAAATCTTACTGCAATAATCGCAATTGAGACGTATTTTGGTATTCGGACGTTCAAATTCATGCTCATCCGCAGCTAACATTTTCAAAATCACACGACTTTTCACCTCGTAGTTATATTATTTATCTACTGATACTACTATTTCTCTACTGTTCTCATTTCGAATATAATGTTTACCTTGAACTGTGAAATTTTCCGTTAAATTTTGTTGACGTCGGAACTGATGTATCGATTCATAAAATTACGAAAATCGATTTGTGTTTATTATAGTACTATAATAATATCACGTAAAATGCAGGAATTGTGAATTTTTTTGCCATCGATCTTTACAACCAAAATAACAATAGCAATTCTTATTCTAGAAAAAAACATCTGAACGCAAATTATTGTGCCATATTAAATTGTATCTTTGTACGAAAGGCTCATGTTAATTAATGCGAATGGCATATTGTTTCACGGCTCTTGAAAGTTAGTTTTTTGTGACCGCGTAACCGAGTAATTTAAAATTTTTAAGTATTGGGTTGCCAAATAACGTGATGAAAAATATCTATCATCCTCGTACCACAATCGTATAAGTAATCATTAAATATGAATGCAGGGTCAGTTTTTTTGGTAATTTTAAAGCTTTAACAAAATAAGCAAAAAAAGTTAAAATATTCAGCGTCAAATTAATACGAAATTATTTATTTCTTATCGTTAATCGCCATAAGCAACGCAACGCAGTGGTTTTTCAGGTGCATAAAATCTGCGTGAGAATAAAAGAACACGATACACTTTTTAAATCAGCCATTTTTCATTTTTTGATGGACTGCATGTATGTTTTTTCAAATACTCATTGTGACTGTGTGAGCCTTACCAAAATCTTCACGTGCGTGTTCTTTTAGTTTTATATGAACTTTATCTATGTGGTACCATCCGATTACTATTATATTTGAATGACTTCCTACATTTGTAGCACTCGTGATCTTTGATTTTTTCATGAACCCTGGCAATGTGTCTGTTCAAGTCACATTGATGTATGAAAAACTTTTCACATATTTCCCATAACCGCGTTCATGGAATCGTACAAGAATTGTATCTATGTGCTGCATCAGAGTACTCTTCATCTCTAAAGACTTGTCGCACGCCTCGCATTTTTGGTCTCTGATTTCTTATTGAACTGCGGCAATGTGTTTATTCAAGTTACCTCTTTAGCCAAATGATTTTCAACATTATTGGCAGAAGTGTTCTCTGATTTTCAAATTAACTATATTTATAAGCTTCGTTATATTATTGTTTTGTCCAAACGACTTGCCACACTCTTTGCATTTTTAATTTTTGATTTTTTTATGAACTGCATCAATGTGATATAGCAGATGACATTTATATCCAAAAGACTTTTCACATTCTCCGCACTTGTGTTCTTTAAGTTTCAGATGAACTATATCGATGTGCTTCATAAGATTACTCTTTTGTCCAAACGACTTGCCGCACTCGAAGCATTTGTGATCTTTGATTTTTTCATGAACTGCGGCAATGTGTCTATTCAAATCACAGTGACGATAGAAAGCTTTTCCACATGTTTCACACGTGTTTTCTTTGGTTTTCAAATGAACTATACGTATGTGCTTCGTCAGATAACTTTTGTGTCCGAAAGACTTGTCACACTCTTTGCATTTGTAATCTTTAATTTTTTCATGAACTGTGGCAATGTGTCGATCCAAGTCGCCCTTGAGACCAAAAGACTTTTTACATTCTTCACACGTTTGTTCTTTGAGTTTCAAATGAACTACATCTATGTGCTGCATTAAATGATACTTTTGTCCAAAAGACTTGCCGCACTCTAAACATTTGTAGTCTTTAACTTTTTTATGAACTGTGGTAATGTGTATAAGTAAGCTAGTTTTTTTAACAAATAACTTTTCACAGTCTTCGCACATATATTCTTTGATTCCGAGATGAACTGAATCTATGTGGTTCACGAGGTGAATTTTTTGCGAGAAGAACTTGCCGCATTCTTCGCATTTCTGTTCTTTGAGTTTCAAATGAACTTCATCTATGTGCTTCATCAAATAGCTCTTCCGAACAAAGCAATTGCCACACACGAAGCATTTGTGTTCTTTGATTTTTTCGTGAACTGTTGCAATATGCTCAGCCAAACTTTTCTTATAACCAAAAACTTTTCCACACACGTCGCATGTGAAGTTTTCGGTTCTTTGATGGACATTTATAATGTGTTTGTTCAATTGTCCTTTCGTTACAAAAGACTGTCTACAATTATCGCAAAGAAATTTCCTTAGTTTCAAATGAATTCCATCCACGTGATTGTTCAAGTTTTGTTCAGTTAAGAAAATCTTACCGCAATCATCGCATTTGTGACGTACTTTGCTATTTTTATTTTCGAATTTATGTTCTACCAAATCTGACATTGTAAAAATCTGACAACTTTTCACTTATAAATTAAAACATCTATCTACTGGTACTATTATTTCTCCACTGTTCTCATTTCAAATGTTTACTTTATATGAGTTATTGCCGTCGAAATTTTGTTGATGCCGAAACTAAACTAATGTGTACCGGTTCATTACATCATGAAAGTTAATTTATGTTTATTCGAACTTTCATTTTAAACCCAAAAGAGTAATTTTCGAACCTCAAAAGAGTAAACTGCGTTATTAACTCTTTTAAAAAGAGTAAAAGACTACCAAAGTAAAATGACTACCAAATGACTAGTAAATAACTAACAAAGTATAAGCAGGCCTAAATTTTGATCATCGGCCTACTTTCTCCTTTCACACTTCTGCTCAGGAAAGTTTAAAAAAATTAATAAATTCAAAAAATTACAGGTACATTTTTTGATTGCGATCAAAATTTTATTATTCGTATTTAATTATTCTATGATTGATATAGAATTTTACAATGTGTCAGAAAAACATAATTTTATTGTTGATAAGTTCTACTTTGTATGTGTAAATAATAGATGAACTATTTAAAATATAAGACTTATCATTATTTAAAAAAATGAAAACATTTTAACTACAGCTGAAAATGTAGTTTAATATAGCATATATTTTCGAAAAAAATATGAGTCAAAAGGAAAGATATTTATATAAGCAAACTGTAAAGAGCATCTGCAGACTGAAATAGTATACTAATATGAATATAAATATGTTCGAGTCACTGAATCCTTGTGCAGAGTCTGTTTTTTTATTTCACAAAATGAAGGAATAAGACTTAAAATATTCAGTATCAAAATGAGTAAAATCATTAATCCAAATTATCATTAATTTTTATCAAAAATCGCAAAGTATATGATCTTGAACACAGTGGCATTTCAGGAGTATACAAACTGCTTAAGATTGAAAAAACATGATACATTCTTTGGATCACCAGTTTAATGTGCTGCAATCGTGTATTTTTAAAATCCCTATTACGATTGTAAACTTTTCCACATTCTAAACGCATGACTTCTCTAAGTTACAAATAAACTGCATCTATGTGCCTCATCAGATTACATTTTTAACATTTTTATGAACTGTGTTAATATGTCTATTCAAGTTACTTATATGACCGAAAGATTTTCCACATTATCCACAAATGTGTTCTTTGAGGCTCACATAAACTGAATTTATGTGCTTCTTCAGATCGCTTTTTTATCCGAAAGACTTGCCTCGTACTTCGCATTTTTCATCTTTTACCTATTCATGAACTGAAGAATTGTGTCGATTCAAAATACTTTTTGTACTAAAAGACTTTTGACATTCTCCGCACTTGTGTTCTTTGAGTTTCAAATGAACTAAATCTATGTGCCTCATCAGATTACGCTTATATCCAAAAAACTTTTCGCACTCTCCACACTTGTGTTCTTTGATTTTTTCATGAACAGTAGCAATGTGTGTATGCAACTCTATTTTTTTAACATAAGACTTGCTACATTCATTGCATTTATGATTTTTGATTTTCAAATGAACTGTATCTACATGCTTCGTTAGATTATTTTTTCGTCCAAAAGACTTGCCGCATTCTTCACATTGGTGTTCTTTGAATTCCAGATGAATTGTATCAATGTGCTTCATTAGATAACTTTTATCACTAAAAAACTTTCCACACTCTTCACATTCATAATCTTTGATTTTCAAATGAACTGCATCTACATGCTTCGTTAGATTATTTTTTCGTCCAAACGACTTGCCACATTCTTCACATTTGTGTTCTTTTAATTCCAGATGAACTGTATCAATATGCTTCATTAAATCATGCTTCTTTCCAAAAGACTTGCCACACTCTCCGCATTGGTGATCTTTGATTTTTTCATGAACTATGGCAGTGTGTCTTTTCAATTCACATTTATAACTAAAAGACTTTCCACACTCTTCGCATCTGTGATCTTTGTTTTTTTCATGTACTGTGGTAATGTGTCTATGTAAGTTACTTTTTTGGCCAAAAGACTTTCCACATTCCTCACACATGTGTTCTTTGAGTTCTAGATGAACTGTATCAATGTGATTCATTAAATCATGCTTTTTTCCAAAGAACTTGCCACACTCTCCGCATTCATGATCTTTGATTTTTTCATGAACTAATGCAATATGCTCAGTCAAGCTTTTCTTATAACCAAAAACTTTTCCACACACGTCGCATGTGAAGTTTTCGGTTCTTTGATGGACATTTATAATGTGTTTGTTCAATTGTTCTTTCGTTACAAAAGACTGTCTACAATTATCGCAAAGAAATTTCCTTAGTTTCAAATGAATTCCATCCACGTGATTGTTCAAGTTTTGTTTAGTTAAGAAAATCTTACCGCAATCATCGCATTTGTGACGTACTTTGCTATTTTTATTTTCGAATTTATGTTCTATCAAATCTGACATTGTAGAAATCTGACAACTTTTCACTTATAAATTGAAACATCTATCTACGGGTACTATTATTTCTCTACTATTCTCATTTCAAATGTTTACTTTGTATGAGTTATTGCCGTCGAAATTTTGTTGATGCCGAAACTAATGTATCGGTTTATAACATCATGAAAATTAAATTGGCTTACTAGACTATATTAATATTGCAGCTGTGAATTTGTCTCTCATGGTCAATTAATCGGGACCAAAATTTCACAAAATGTGTGTATTGGTCAGCTGTGTTCGCATCGTACTCGCACTCACCTCACTCCACGTTACTTGAAAGTGAGACTTATGACTCGGTGAAGGGGGCATAAATGTGAAATTAATTTAGATTTTAAATATTGATTTAGGGCTCGAGCACAACGAGTCAGAAAATGTCCCTTACATCGTGAGTATCATAGTACACTATTTCATGGCAATATGTTAATGGCTTTTAAAATGTTGTCTCATCCAGTCCTAAGCTTGTATCGTTTATAGGAATAAAAGTTCTTTAGCAATAATACATTGGTTCAAATTCGAGTTTATATAAACCATAATCAATCAAAGTTAATTCAATCGGAGGTTTGAATTATAAAAACGCACTTTACTCTTGATGCTCAAAGTAAATGTAATAATCTTGATGCTTGAGTTGCGCTTGAAGATCCCGAGCCCAGAGCACATGCAGAGCAAACGTATTTCCTAGAAAGGGTTAGATTTTTTATTATCAAATAAGATTCGATAAGAATTTTTAAAAATAATCTCATACAATGATCTTCATTTTTTATCATGTTCACTGTTTAATGAAAATAAATTTCTGAAAAGAGTTTAAATGATCAAATAATCGCTAAAGCTACAAAATACGCAAAAGTTACCCACTAGTGCTCATGTGTGACTCGGTAAGATCTTGGAAATTATAATGCATCATGGCTCACGAAGTGAGATATTAAAATAAAGATAATATTTGACGCTCTCAGTAGTATACTTACTTACACCTGGCGTCATCAGAAAAGATCGTGCATATTCAGCATAAAGTGAATTTGTTAGCACAATAATATCAATTGCATGCGGTGTATTTAAAACGTCACTTGTTTTAAAAATCACGTTATTTACTATTGCCGCACAACTCAGATAAAATAATTTTCTCCTTTTAATTGTCACAATGAAAATGTAAAAATCATTTTGAATTAGCATTCCAAAAGTTAAGGGCCTCATTCAGTCTAAAATGAATACGTCATTAAAATGACAACAATCTTATTGGTCAACCCGTTCGAAAACCTTACCCTGCATATTTATTGAACTGGACAGTTGACTATAGACACACAAGAACGGCGGTTAGGAATGCAGCGACGGTTGGCGGTGCCGCCGGCCGCACGCGGCAGCCGCAGTACAGGCACAGCCACTAGCCAGCGACTAGCGAGTCGAGTCGTTTCGTGCAGGTCAGTACACGTTACGACGCCGCAGAGTGAAGCAAAAAAATACCGTTGTAGTCACATACGTGATTCAAGTGAGACTTATCAATTTTATAAATTTTTATTAGTGATTGTGTTTTGTGCGAGCGTGTAAAACAATTATAAGACCATCGAAAATGTTTAAAACAATGCGAGAAAAATTGATTGAAGGTTGGGAGAAAGAGGAAGATCGTTACAAATTTTTCAACAATTTTCTATCTTTGATCGATAATTGGAAAGTTCATCTTCCAAATCTTCGAGACGATCTTCGCACGGAAGAAATTGATTGGCTTCTGATCGAGGCCACAAAATATCAAAATAAAATGCCAGAAAAAAATCAAGGAAAACGAATAATCGAGTTCGTGGCAGCTAGCGGCTGCAAGGACGAGCCCGAGTTGGATGAAAACGGCAAGCCAATATTGCGTCGCACCACTGCGATACATTATGCGACTTCATTGGACTACCATTTGTTCAAAATATACAACAGATTCGACATCAACTCCGTCGACGAAGATGGATACACACATTTTCACGCGGCCTGCAAGTACAACCGTTACGACATAGTCGAGGAATTCCTGAATCTCGGGCAAGATCCCGATTGTCTCCCTCGGGAGCCGAATACGAACTCGGTAGATTCACCGCTGCATTTCGCCCTGAAGAGTAGCTACCTCGTGGGAGCCCAAAAAAAGGTGATCGAATTATTGCTCAAAAGTGGGGCCAACCCGAATTTGCCCGATAAGGAGGGATCGACACCTCTGCACGTCATTTACCATTGTAATCGTCGACTGATCAAGACTTTTTTCGAGATCATCTATCGATACAGATCGACGCAAAGGATAAGCTGGGTCGGACAGTGCTACATTTGGCTTTAGCCGATAAATGCGAAGAGACGGCCGAATTACTGCTGACAAGAGGCGCCGATTCGAATGCGGCGATGATGGACGAATCGACTCTGCTGCACATCATTTGTCAGCAACGTTACGACATTTACAGGGCCCGATTCTTTTTCAAGATCAGCGACGATAGAGGTCAGACGCTGCAAGTCAACGCCGTGAACGACTTGGGTCAGACACCACTACACTTGGCTGTTGAATACAACATCAGAAGCTTGACCAAAGTGTTGCTGAGAATAGGCGCCAATCCGAACTTGGCCGACGGAGACGGATCGACTCCTCTGCACGCGATTTGCAAAAAAGGTTGGGACGATCAATCGGCGACATTCTTGAAGATGTTTCTCAGGATCATCGATGCGATTCTGCAGACGCTACAGGTTGACCGCCGAGACAAGTGGGGTATGACGCCCCTTCAGTGGGCCGTGGCGTACATCTCGCCGAACACCGTTGACATTCTCCTCGATCGTGGCGCCGATCTGTCCAACTTCGTTTTTCCAACCGAGATTTACTTCGCTGCGAAATGGGACACCGGGGAAAGTAATTTGAATATAGGAACGTCTGGCGCCTTGGCCGTCGTTGAACATCTCGAGAAAAGAGGATACGAATTGGATCGAAGCGATGCCCTTACAATAATGAAAGTATTCTACAAGCACTGATCGTTGAATATCTTGGAAAATTTCGAAGAAATGCGCAACAACAAATGCTTCGTGGAAAGTGCCAAGGAATTGATGATCAAGCCGAGTAAAAGTCTGTCGCTCTACGACTTTATTCGGCTGCCACCCGAAGAGGCCATGCGAAGAAAACTAATCACGTACACAGACTACTTCGAGTTTGAAAGCTCGGATCTAATCAAGTCTTTATTTCTGAGGCGTGAGCTTAGCTCGTGCCTGCGCATTGCAGTGGCGGGACAATTCGTTCGTCAATGGGCACTGGAAATTTTCATGATGCTGACACGCTACCAGCTGCCGATTCTTTGCTGCGACAACATCATTGAGCAGCTGACAAACGCGGATTTGCTGAAAGTATGCGTGGCAACTGGAATCAATGCAAACGAACAGAACCAAAACATGAGATGTCCTTTCTTAATGGTATTTTCTATTTTTTATTATTGTAAATAATAGTTTATTTACCATTTTCTAACTTTCAATGGTTATTATTTCCAGACAGGGACGACGAGGGAATTCATGTTCTTCTTTCTTCAATTATAGTGTTAAAACATCATTGTGTATTAAATAAAAACTTGGATTTGACTTGTAACAAGTGTCTTCTTTGTCCGATTATCCTATTCAGATTAACTCGCGGAAGCAACCGCATTGAGTATAATGACATCCATTGATTTAAAAGTACGAGTGACAAATAGTCCAGGTGCTGATGTCACGTGTGAGGTAAAAGGTAATTTATGACTTGACATTTACACCGGGGGACATGAAATCCAAAAACCAGTATAAGAATTGAAATTAGGTAATCTGTAATAATAAAAATTGTATTTCGATTAGCCTTTTTTTTCGTTGTTTTATCAAATATAAGAAACGAACTTTTTAGTTCTAATTTTTAATTTCTTCGTACTGAAATATTATTTGTGGAAAAGTTATTGTTGTTCACAAGTCAGATCGAGTGTAATATTGCCCCGATTATATTGATTCCAATTTTCATATCATGATTAGTAAATATTATTGAGATCAGTTTGAGTTCTATTTCGACCTGTAACGGTAGTATTGACAGAGTGAGTCGCAAAAGACATTTCCAACGAGTAAGATGGAAACTAGTGGTTTATTCAATCCTGCTGTTAGGTAATTTTTATTTTGTGAGGATAAAGTCATAAAAATATTGAAACATAATTCATCATCTGATTAATATTATTTCAGAGTGAAAGGCGAGCCTTGTGATGTTTTGCTTACCCAAAATAATTATGAAACCATCGACGAAATACCCGTAACTGAAAATGTGAAGTACGAAAGGTTTCTTCAAGAAAACTGGGTAAGATTTAATAATTATTGGCGACTGTAGCAGTTAAGTTTTAATGAACTGTCCCTCATAACTTGAATCTTTTTCAGACCCAAGAGTTTCAAGAAAAAAAGCTTGACGACATTCAAATCGAATTGGAATGTACAGACATGAAGCCCAATTTATTGGCGGTTGCGAAAATAGAAGATTATTCTCCAAGTCAATGGCCGGATAGCGATGAGTATAAAACCAGAAGCACAATTAAACTAGAAACTGTCGGGTCAGTGAAGAAAGAAATTTTGAGGGAAGGAGAAAATGATTTAAATTTAGGACGTGGACTCAGCAAGAAAAATGAAACAGGAAGTGTTTCAAAAGAGATTAACTATGATCATTGGCTAAAAACTCACACTGAACGAGCCCGTAATGGCAATATTACACCTGCATGTGATATTTGCGGAAAAGTGTTCAAACTTAGAGGTAATCTCAATAGGCACATCGATTCGGTGCATCGTAAAATAAGACATGCATGCGATATATGCCAAAATACGTTCTCAGAGAAGAAAAGTCTCAGAATTCACATCGATTCGGTGCATTATAAAATTATGCATCCATGTGATGTATGCCAAAAGACATTCTCAAACAGCAGTAATCTCAGAAAGCACATCGAGTCGGTGCATAATAGTGTCAGATATGAATGCGATATATGCCAAAAGACATTCTCAGATAAGGGTTATCTAAAAACCCACATCGATTCGGTGCATCGTAAAATAAGACATGCATGCGATATATGCCAAAAGACATTCTCAGACAAGAATAATCTTAGAAATCACATCAATTCGATGCATTATAAAATTATGCATCCATGTGATGTATGCCAAAAGACATTCTCAAACAGGAGTTATCTCAGAAATCACATCCATTCGGTGCATAATAAAGTCAGATATGCATGCGATTTATGCGGAAATGTTTATAAACGAAGAAATGTTCTTAATATACACATCAATTCGGTGCATCATAAAATAAGGCATGCATGCGATACATGCCAAAATACGTTCTCAACGAAGAAAAGTCTCAAAAAACATATTGATTCCGTGCACAATCGAGTCCGATATGCGTGCAACATATGCCAAAAGACATTCTCAGAGAAAGGCACTCTCAAAACTCACGTCGATTCGATGCATAATGGTGTCAGTCACGCATGCGATATTTGCAGAAATGTTTTTAAACGAAGAGGCGATCTCAAAACTCACGTCGATTCGGTGCATTATAAAATTATGCATCCATGTGATGTATGCCAAAAGACATTCTCAAACAGGAGTAATCTCAGAAAGCACATCGAGTCGGTGCATAATGGTGTCAGATATAAATGCGATGTTTGCGGAAAGAATTTCACAAGCAAAAGTAATCTCCAAACCCATATCGATGCGGAACACAATGGAATCACCCACGCATGTGATTTCTGTGAAAAAAAATTTAAATATCAAACTGAAATCCCTAGACATAAAAAATTGTCGCACAATGGTATCATACATTCATGCGAGACATGCGGCAAGACATTCGGACAGAAAAGAAATCTCAGAGCTCACATCGATATGGCGCATCCCTCGCTCAATAAGTCCTAACAAATGTTTAAATTTATGTTCAACTGCGAATAAAACAGCATCTAGTACATTGTTTGTGAAATTAGGAGACTTATTAGAAAATGATCATTCATTGCAACAATTTTATTCTTCGTTATGTTATTTCGCTGTCGCATACCTAAAAATAACTTTCAAGATGGAAAAACAGTAATAATAAGCTCAATTTGATTCTTTAATAAATGTGTGATAAAAATGTGTATAAAGAAATAGGAAAACTTCAATTCATCTTTCTATCTTAAGCAAAAAGACACGTGTAAACTTTTTTTTAAATGATTTTAATTTTTATTGATAAATATTAAGACCTAAAATAAGGCATGGATAACGATGATAATTATAAATATTATATAAAACAGACGAAATTTTGTAAGATTCAATATTGTTTGAATAATAAAAAATTGAATAAACATTACCGCTTAATAAGTGTCAGAAAATAAATTGAATTTTTTTAATTGCCTTTTTTGTTTACTGTAATAAATAATAGTGTATTCCTTTATAAGTCATGATTAAAATTATTTTTCAAAGTTTCAATCGACAAACTTACATTATAACTATCATAATGACTCGAATTGTATCATGTTGAATATATAGAAATCTACATTTATCATTACATAAAAATCTAATTGATAATAAACTGTTATCCAGCTGTGATTACATTTTTCTAATTTATTATATATTTTCTAATAGTTTTCTAATGCTACATATTTTCTATTAGTAGCAATATTAGTATGCACTCGCATCGGAAATTGACAGTGACGAGGGCGGATCGATTCTGCGGTTGACCAGTCGGTTGTGGCCACATTCGATGCTCTCGAGCGACTACTTCCTACGGATTGATTGTAATCTAAGTACACTTGGATTTGACTTGCGACAAGTGTCTTATTTGTCCGATTATCGTATTCAGATTAACTCGCGGAAGTAACCGCATTGGAATGACATCGATTGATTTAAAAGTACGAGTGACACATAATTGAGGTGCTGATGTCACGTGTGAGGTAAAAGGTAGTTTATGTTAGGTAGGTAAAAGGTAGTTTATTTTTTGTTATAAAACACAATTAAAAACAAAATTAACGAGATGAATCCAATTCTCGAGTACATGGTTAAATTATTTTAAAAAGCTTAACCTGGGTTATAAATGCGAAGTATCTAAAAAATTTTGAGAATCGATTTAGATTTGATAAAACGTTTTTTTAACTAATTTAATATATTGCTTGTACTTAATTCAATCATTACTCATAAATAGAATTTTCCAATTTTCTTTTTTTTCTGGCGATAATTTTATGTTTTATAAAAATTGTAAGATCGCAAATTATTACACTATATTAAAATTTATTTTATACAAATTTTTAAGTATATTAGCGCTTGTTATATTTTGCATCATGGCTCAAATAAAAAAAAATTAGACTTTTATTGCTGCTTTTATTGTTCGTTTGGTAGAATACTAAAAAATACTAAAAAAGACTTACAAGAATAGCCACATTAAAAAATGTATACGATTTTCCAGTTCTAGAGATAATTGAAAGTTTTTACACAAATTTTTTGACCCGTATAGGCGTGCACTTGCTCCGGTTTGTTGTCTTGTAATATCAGGTTTTGAGAGGCAGAATTAGGTTTTGAGACTTTCACGATATTTGCGTAAACTTGTAAACCGTATATTATTCGTTGTTGAGAATAAAGTTCAATCGATGAATTATTGAAACTAGTAAAATTAACGAATGAACTAAAAAAAAATCTAAATTTCCATAGAAAACTTGAACTCATTTTTAAAAAGTCTACTTATTTAAAACAATAAAGAACTGCACAAAAACCGATGTTGAAAGGGAAATCTGAACGAAAATGCAAAAAATATTTTACATGCCAAGTGTACGGAAAAAATTCACGAGAACAGCGACAGTAAGAAATTTAGACTTTCCATTTCTGGAAAGAGCTATCGAAATTTGTACATTAATGACTTGAATTTAAAGTTTTCTTACGTCGCTGAGCTTTTTGTATTGATAAAAAGGTCTCGGTGATTTCACTGCAGTTATATGACTTGATTGTACAATTCTCGCGCAGCAAGAAACCAAAAAACATAAAAATTTGTTCCCCGCGACAGCTTCAACTTGCATTGCAGATCTCATATTTGAGTCTCGCGGTTCAACTTAAAACATAAGTATGTTTGTCTACATTATTACAGTAAGTTTATAGTTACAAAATTTTGTGTTGACATTATTGCTCAGGCGCTCATCTCTACTCGATTCGACAGTCGAGAACGTGACAGGTAAGAGAAAGGCGACTAGTAAAAATTTTTGATGCGCTCAGTACACAATATTTGCTTGTAAAGAGCAAAAGTATTAAAATCATCAGCGATTGTAAATTTGAGTGCGTGGTTTAATCATGGATCACGATATATATTATGATGATGATAGCTTAAACGATACTATTTGCAAAAGACGTCGTGCCCTTCCTGAAGACGAAGAAGATGATAATTTTTTTGAGTTTTTGGATGAGAGCGACGACGAAAATCCCGAAGACATGGATTACTATGGTCAAATCAACTTGGTAAAACTAAAGAGTTTACGAGAACGGTTGAATTGGGAGAACGAAGAAGAGAGATATCCATTTTACCTACGCCTTTCAAACCTGTTGCGAGATTGGAAAGGCGACCTTCCGAATCTCAAAGACATTTTTCGAAAGGAAGAAATCGAATGGTTTCTTATGGAGACATTAATCGACAGAAAGAAAACCGTTCAAAATAAGCGAGGACAATTTTTCATCTGCTTTGTGGACTCCACCGGTTACAAGGACGAGCCCGACCTAGATAAAGACGGCAAGCCAATACTGCATCGCTCCACATCAGTGCACTTGGCAGCCAAGCAGAATTCGTTAGGTTATACTGTTCTTCTATCAAAAATATACGAAAATTCTGACGTGAATTACATCGACGAATCTGGATTCACGTATTTTCACGCGCTCTGTAAGATTAACCGTTGCGAGAAAGTCGAGAAATTCCTCGAGCTCGGACAGGATCCCAATTGCCTTGTGACAGAAACAGGCGACTCGCCACTACACTTGGCTCTGTATCCGGGTTTGTGGGCCAAGGAGATGATGGGACTACTGCTGAAGAGAGGCGCCAATCTGAATTTAGCCAATAAGGAGGGATTGACACCTTTGCACATGATTTGCAAGAGTTGGAATTTTCGCACGTAGGGTGATGTAGCAAATTCATTTTTCGAGATCACCGATGCAAATCATCAAACGATACAGATCGATGCAAAGGACGATTTGGGTCGGACACCCCTTCAATTGGCCGTGGCGAATCTCCGTCCACATCTAGTCGATGTACTCTTGGATCGTGGCGCTGATCTGTCGAGCTTCGCCTTTCCCACCGAGGATTACTTCGCCAAGGAATGGAAACCGGATGATGATGTTAAGTCGCCGAATTGGTATTTTTTGTTGGCCTCCTCCGTTCTGACCGTCGTCGAACTTCTCGAGAAAAGAGGATACGAACTGGACCGAAGCGACGCCCTAACGATCATGAAATATTTCGCCAAGTACGAATTTTTCAAAAAGCCGGTGGATTATGATATACGATTTCGTTTGCGTGTTCTCAAGAACGATCATACATATATGTTTACTCCGAACATGTCGCTTTATGACCTGATCCGGTCACGACCCGAAGATGCGGAAAAACTACTCACGTATGCGGATTGCCGGACGTTTGCTTCCGGAAACCAAAGATATTGGTATTATTCGTTTCAAAAAGAGCATAGAACGGCTAGTGCTATGTATCTGTGCGAGTTACTATTGAAAAGATTTTTCCGGCGTTGGGCCCTGGAACCTCTGCTGGAGTTGACGCGCCACTACCAAATGCCAATTCTCTGCTGCGATATAATCATTAAAAAATTGGCGAACAAAGATTTAATGAATATTTGCTTCGCCGTCGCGGATCAAGGCGAAGCCTAGAAAACGTAGGTGAAGACATGGGCTTCATTGTTTTACTAATTCTTTCATGTGCAACGAGTCAAGATAAACGTGTACTGTGTGGACGAAAGCTAAAAACGATCATGATGTATAAGCTTAAGCTTCTTGTTTTACAATTTTATATTTAATAATATTTATGTCTCTATAAAATTATGTCAAATATAACGCATGAATTAACTGAGTCGTGGCTCATGAATAAAAAAAAACAATTGAAATATTAAATTACGTATTAATGATGAAGGAATAATACAATTCTTATGTTTATTACTTTGACAATCATTACTGCAGCATAGCTATTTGCCCGAAGTAATACTTGTTATTTTTGAAGTTATTTTTTGTTCGTTTTGATGCATTATGTTATCATCTCTGGTGTATCAACTAAAATATATTGTTTTGATCGTGTTCCGTCGTGCATAAGTTTTACGTCTTATAATGTTTTTTCAAAATTGTCGTATGATTAAAATAAAAAAAAAAACTGTTTCGAACATAGTTTGACTTTCACTTTGTTTTTAGAAATTAAAACAAAAATAATAGCATTATAATAATAAATTTGACGCAGATAATTTTTTTGCTGAAAGCGAGGAGTATTGTTTTTCACAAGTCAGATCGAGTGTAATATTGCCCCGACTATATTGATTCCTATTTCCATATCATAATTAGTAAATATTATTGAGATCAGTGTGAGTTCTATTTCGACTCGTAACGGTAGTATTGACAGAGTGAGTCGCAAAAGACATTTCCAACGAGTAAGATGGAAACTAGTGGTTTATTCAATCCTGCTGTTAGGTAATTTTTATTTTGTGAGGATGAAGTCCTAAAAATATTAAAACGTAATTTTATGATCTAATTAATATTATTTCAGAGTGAAAGTCGAGCCTTGTGATGTTTTGCTTACCCAAAATAATTATAAAACCATCGACGAGATACCCGTAACTGAAAATGTCAAGTACGAAGGGTTTCTTCAAGAAAACTGGGTAAGATTTAATAATTATTGTCGACTGTAGCAGTTAAGTTTTAATGAACTGACCCTCATAACTTGAATCTTTTTCAGATCCAAGAGTTTCAAGAAAATAAGCTTGACGACATTCAAATCGAATTGGAATGTACAGACATGAAGGCCAATTTATTGGCGGTTGCGAAAATAGAAGATTATTCTCCAAGTCAATGGCCGGATAGCGGTGAGTATGAAACCAGAAGCACAATAAAAGTAGAAACTGTTGGGTCTGTGAAGAAAGAAATTTTGAGGGAAGGAGAAAAAGATTTAAATTTAGGACGTGGACTCAGCGAGAAAAATAAAAAAAGAAGTGTTTTGAAAGGGATGAACTATAAACATAGGCTAATAACTCACATTGAATCAGCTCGTAACGGCAATATCAAACCTGCATGTGATGTATGTGGAAAATCATTCGGATATAAGAGTCATCTCCAAAGACACATCGATTCGGTACATCGTAAAATAAGGCATGCATGTGATATATGCCAAAAGACATTCACACAGAAAACGAATCTCAAAGTCCACGTCAATTCGGTACATAATAAAATTACTCATACATGCGATGTATGCCAAAATACGTTCTCAAAGAAGGAAAGTCTCAAAAAACATATTGATTCCGTGCACAATCGAGTCCGACATGCGTGTGATATATGCCAAAAGACATTCTCAGAGAAAGGCACTCTCAAAACTCACATCGATTCGATTCATAATGGTGTCAGTCACGCATGTAATATTTGCGGAAATGTTTTTAAACAAAAAGGCAATCTCAAAAAGCACATCGATTCGGTGCATCGTAAAATAAGGCATGCATGCGACATATGCCAAAAGACATTCGCACAGAAAAAGAGTCTCATAATTCACATCGATTCGATGCATAATGGTGTCAGTCACGCATGCGATATTTGCAGAAATGTTTTTAAACGAAGAGGCGATCTCAAAAAGCACATCGATTCGGTGCATCGTAAAATAAGGCATGCATGCAACATATGCCAAAATACGTTCTCAAACAGGAGTAATCTCAGAAAGCACATCGAGTCGGTGCACAATGGAATCACCCACGCATGTGATTTCTGTGAAAAAAAATACAAATATCAAACTCATCTTAATAAACATGTCAAATCCTCGCATAGTGGTATCATACATTCATGCGAGACATGCGGCAAGACATTCGGACAGAAAAGAAATCTCAGAGCTCACATCGATATGGCGCATCCCTCGCTCAATAAGTCCCAATAAATGTTTAAATTTATGTTCAATTGTGAATAAAACAGCGTCTAGTACATTGTTTGTGAAATTAGGAGACTTATTATTAGAAAATGATCATTCATTGCAACAAGTTTATTCTTCGTTATGTTACTTCGCTGTCGCATACCTAAAAATAACGTTCAAGATGGAAAAACAGTAATAATGAGCTCAATTTGATTCTTTAATAATAAAAAAATGATGAACTTTTCTATCGGATTCTTTTCAGAATGTTAAAAATGTTCGAACAAATGTGTATAAAGAAATAGGAAAACTTCAATTCATCTTTCTATCTTAAGCAAAAAGACACGTGTAAATTTTTTTGTCAAATGACTAAATTATACTAAATTATAAATATTATAAATATTATATGAAACAGACGAAATTTTGTAAGATTCAATATTGTTTGAATAATAAAAAATTGAATAAACATTACCGCTTAATAAGTGTCAGAAAATAAATCGAATTTTTTTTAATTGTCATTCTTGTTTACTGTAATAAATAATAGTATCTTCCTTTATAAGTCATGATTATAATTATTTTTCAAAGTTTCATAATCGACAAACTTACATTATAACTATCATAATGACTCGAATTGTATCATGTTGAATATATAGAAATCTACATTTATCATTACATAAAAATCTAATTGATAATAAACTGTTATCCAGCTGTGATTACATTTTTCTAATTTATTATATATTTTTTAATAGTTTTTAAATACTATATATTTTCTATTAGTAGCAATATTAGTATGCACTCGCATCGAAAATTGACAGTGACGAGGGCGGATCGATTCTGCAGTTGGCTAGTCGGCTGTGGACACATTCGATGCTCTCGAGCTACTACCTCCTACAGATTGATTGTAATCTAAGTACACTTGATTATTATTACTTAAAGTATTACTTGACTAGGGCTTACTTGAGAATAGGAGTAAGTTTTATTTGAACATTTTACGTTTTTAACTATAGGAGTACTTTAAAAATAAATTGCCTGCTTAGTTATTAGTGTAAGCATTTGAGGCAGATAACTTGTCTTTAAGTTGTCTCTATACAGCTGAGGCACATTATTATGTTTTAAAGATATCCAAATTCCATTTGAGATAGTTGCATTATTTTACTGTTGTATCTGACAAATGTCTCGTTAAAATATTACTTATAATCATTATGATACCTACATCATAACTCTACGCATACAACGTATTCGGCATCGAGAGAGTGTAATCATCGGGCAATGCGTTCTAAAACGTCGCATCTCGCTTTGTGTCATGCGATGTGCCGATATGTACATAATACTGCCTTGAGAGTGTGGCGGGAATGAGTTATGAGGACGGCTCACAGACGTCAGTGCCGTGCCGCATGTCGTGCCGTTCAGTTCAGTCTTTGTATTGACGTATCGAGGAGCGCGTGTCGCGCTCCACCTGGCAAGTATGGCAGGAACTAAGTGACGACACGCCGCTACTCATATACAGCCCATCACTTTTCGCTAACTTTGTTTTCCCTCTCATTTAAATTTGATAAGAGATATCGAGAATCTGATAAGCCCATCAGATTCCTTGGAAAAAATCCTATCGATATGAGGTATTCGAATTTTCGAAAAGTTCACGACTTTCGATAAAAACAACATTATGAAAGTGAGAAGCATAAAAAATGTTCACACCTAAAAAATGTTAACACCTCATACGCATTGCCTTTGTGTGTTGTGTATACATATACGTGCTATCGCGTATATACATACGTGCTGTCGCGTATATATGTCGCATATATCGAAGATTCTCCTAGAAGTCGCTGTGTTTTCGCACGAATATCACCCAGGGTGTCTCGCTCGACGCACTAGGTCGAGTGCTATACTCGATGATGACTTTCTCCGGGAAGTCGCGATGTATTCACACGAATATCGTCCCGGGTGTCTCGCTCGACCCACTAGGTCGAAATCTGTACTCGACGATGACTTTCTCGGGGAAGTCGCGATGTATTCACACGAATATCGTCCCGGGTGCTTCGCTCGACGCACTAGGTCGAGATCAGTACTCGGCGATGACTTTCTCCGGGAAGTCGCGATGTATTCACACGAATATCGTCCCGGGCAGATCGCTCGACGCACTAGGTCGAGATCAGTACTTGACGATGATTTTCTCGGGGAAGTCGCGATGTATTCACACGAATATCGTCCCAGGCGCCTCGCTCGACGCACTAGGTCGAGATTAGTACTCGACGATGACTTTCTCCGGGAAGTCGCGGTGTTTTCGCACGAATATCGTCTCGGGCGCCTCACTCGGCGCACTGGGTCGAAATCTGTACTCGACGATGACTTTCTCCGGGAAGTCGCTGTGTTTTCGCACGAATATCATCCCGGGTGTCTCACTCGACGCACTGGGTCGAAATCTGTACTTGACGATGACTTTCTCCGGGAATTCGCGCTGTTTTCGCACGAACATCGTCCCAGGTGGCTTGCTTCACCCAATAGGTCGGAATCCGGACTTGACAATGATTTTCTGCGGGAAGTCGCGATGTTATCTTACGGGAATCACCTGGAGTAGTCTGCTTGATGCACTATTTTGGGATCCGGACTTGACGATGACCTTCTCCGAGAAGTCGCGATATTTTCGCATGAATTTTATTGTCAAGACGTATTTTTCAAATTTTCTATGTGTATCATAAGAATAACATTGATGAGCAAGTATGTCCGTCTTATCCGCATATTTTTTTGTGCTACCTTATGTTTCTAAACTATTCAATTGGTAATCTCAACTCGTAAATGATAATTAATTCCTTGGCTATGATATTATTGAAATCTAATAAATTCCGTCAAGTATTGATCAAACTAACAATTTTTTGTTTTAATTTGTTATCCTACTGAAATGTTTACAATAGAATAATTCAAAACCTTTTTAATACTTTTTTCAAAAGTTTAAATAGGGGCAAGTATGACAGTCTGATCCTTATAATTTTAATCTAACTTTAAAATTCTTTCTCTTATTTATGAAACTTCTAATTTAAAATTGTTAATGATTAATTACTTAGCTATGATAGTAATGAAATCCAATACATTCCGACAAGTATTCAAGCAAACTAAAAATGTTTTCTCTCAAACTATAACCATGATGCAAAGTTTGTGATAAAATAATTCAATAACTAATCATATGACTGTTGACATTAATAGTAACTGTTAGATTCAATAATCAATCACATTCACATATTATTGAAATCAAATACATTCCGACAAATATTCAAGCAAACTAACATTTTTATTTCTCAACCGATAACCACAATGCAAAGTATAATTGTTAGAATTGATAGTAATTATTCAATTATATACAGTGATAACTGAAATGATACTCTCATGCGATCATGCAAAGGTAACAGTGGTATGTAAAAAAACCTTACTTATGACTCTACTTGCCCGGCCGTCTCGATCAAATCCGATGCGAACTTTACAATGTCACGTACCGAAAGAAAACTATATATTTTACAAAAATTTTCTGAACAGTTAGTTACATTTTTCAATTCAATGATGTATAGTAACATAATCTTATAATCCCTACACATGATCGCCTTATACATCGACACAGCGTAAAAAAAAAGTAAGATTGCGTTGCCTGCCGCATGTTACGCGAGTGACCTTGTCAAACAGAGAAAATATTCCAAAATATAGTAAGTGATTGTACTTGTGTGAGTGTGTAAAACAATGGCCCAAGACGACCAAAAGTGTTCGAAACAATTGAAAGCTATGCGAGAAGAGATTAATTGGGAGATTGAAAATGAACGATACAAACTTCTCGATAAAATGCATCTCTTGATCGAAAATTGGAAAGGTCAATTTCCACATCTTCGGGATATTTTTCGATCGGAAGAAATCGATTGGCTTCTCTCCGAGGCTTTAATGAACAGGGACAAAACCAGTAATTTTTTTCGATTACACACCTTCACTTTTTTCGTGATCAACGCCGGCTACAAGGACGAGCCCAAGCTAGATGAGGACGGTAAGCCACTGCTACATCGCACCACTGCAATGCATTCGATATTTAGACGGGGTTGGAAATGGTTCGTCGACGTACTTTTTCGAATATACGAAAGGTTCGACGTGAATTACATCGATGAATCTGGGTTGACCCATTTTCATTTGGCTTGCATGTGTGGTCGTTACGACATCGTTGAGAAATTTCTCGTGCTTGGACAGGATCCTAATTTCATGTGGCAAGAAACAGGTGATTCGCCGCTACATTTGGCTGTGGCCGACAACTCATGCGAGTGGGTGGCACGATCGCTGCTGAGACACGGAGCCGACCGTAATTCTATTAACAAGGCTGGGTTAACTCCGCTGCACATTATTTGCACGCAAGATCAATGGCATGAATTTCTAGTAGAGACATTTTTTGAGGTCAGCGAGACAAATCATCAGGCAGTGCCGCTCGATGTAGTAGACAACTTTGGTCAAACGCCGCTGCAATTGGCCGTGGCGAATTTTTTGCTAGATGTAGTCGAAATACTTTTGGATCGTGGCGCTGATCTGTCTGGCTTTCTTTTTCCTACTGAGGAACAATTCGATGAAGGTTTAAAATCATTTGGAGACTACAAGGATAGATCAGATAAATTGTACTTTACTGCTAATGTTTTGACTATCACCCAACGGCTCGAAAAAGGAGGATACGAACTGGACCAAAGCGACGCCCTAACGATCATGAAAATTTCCGCTAAGCTTGGATTGTTCGACAAGTTGAAAAATCTTAAAAAATATTGGTATGACGACGAAGAGTTGGTAAGCGAAGCAAAAAAAATATTAATAAAGCCGAATCTGTCTCTGTACGACTTAATTCGGATGCGACCCGAAGAGTCGGAAAAATTACTCACGTATGCGGACTACTTGAAATTTTTTTTATCGGATGAATGGTCTTGTATTCCTGCTAGCCATAGAGATGCGTGTGATACGTATCTATGCGAAATAATGGTGCGAGGATTTTTTCGACGATGGACACTGGAATTTTTTATGCCGTTGACGTGCTATCAGCTGCCAATTCTCTGCTGTGAAAAAATCATTGAGAAGTCGAAGACCGAGGATTTGTTTCACATTTGTTTGTCGGCTTGTAGTCAAAACAACGAATGAACTAGATGATTTTTTCTCATTTTTACTTCAGATATCTATAAATTGGACGGTATTTCTACAACGCCTCAGTAGAACATTCATCGCTACAACACTTCATAGATCTGGCAATATAAGTAAACGTTCTTCTTTTTTCACAAATTCATTTATTTTTCACGCCACATCAGAGTTTTTTCAACATCAAGATACAATATATCATTCAGTGCTCATGGTAGATTAAATACAATGCATATTCCTGTGAAAGTGAAACAACAATCATTTCCATTTGTACGTAAAATTAAATATCATTACTTTAATGCGATCAAGCTGATAAGCTCATTTACATAAATAATTTAATCTCTATTCATGAAAAATCATATGTATATTTTACTTGATTATAATTATAATGGCATTTAGTATGTCGTAAGTTTATGAGTTTTTTAAATAAAGATTCACAACCTCAACACCTGTATTTTGAACCTGGATTTTTCATTTTTACTTATTTTCCTTGTCATAGATCAAAGTTGGGACTAGGACTGATTTTTTTCGCAATGATTACATCAGATAATAGAGAATTTTACCCACAACAAGTTGAGACAAAATTATTAAGATAAACGCTTGAGCTTCTTTTCCAATAAACTGATTGTCTCACAGCTCGCTAATAAAAAAATTGAAATGTTAATTGTTGGGTAGTTTTTACTTATTTAAATTAGAAACCGTTAGTTAATTTTACGTAACGTTGGATATAAAAAACATTCAGAAGCAAAATAATATATTTACCATTAATATAATAAACTCAATGCCTTACTTTGTATAATATTTATTCTCCATAAAGTTGCACATCTCACTTTGTGTCATGCATTCAACTTGTCAAGCGAATGTTGCGGTACTTTAATCTAATTGAGGCACATGGCAAATTTTGTCGTTTTTTACTTTGGTTCATGACTCTATTCGCATGATAAGTAACAACGCCGTAATGTAAGATAGAGACAATTGAATAATCTAAAATGAGAAACATCAATAGAAACAATGTTAACCCATTAAGTCCCAAGAGGACGTTTTTTTGACACTCATTTCGGTCGCTGTATTTTTAAAGAAAAAGGGGTCAAAAAAATATGGCAGTAGCCTGTTCTTATGTTAAATTTAATGCCCTTTTAGAATCTAAGCACAGATTTTTGAAAAAATAATCCGGTCAAAAGTTATGGTTGATTTTATCTAAAAAAAGCGTGATTTTGAAAAAAAAAATTTTTATTTTTTGATTTTCCAAACGGAAAGCATTTAAAATCTCATGGTTTTCGTACAAATATCGCGTCCTCGATGTCTAAACTAAAACTTAGAGGGGTTCCGATTCGAAAAAGTAATGTTCAAACAAACAAAATGGTGGTCGGAACGCGAAAAAATGAAAAAAAATTTCTATAATTTTTAACTCGAAAACGAAAGACTTGAGGAAAAAATTTTATAAAACGAAAAGTGTTAAGAATTTATAAAAAAATACGTGTGAATTTTTTTTCAGAATTTTCGGAGCGATTTTTGGATTTTTGGATATGACCATTTTTCCGAAAATCCAAAAATGGTTTCAAAAATTCTGAAAAAAATCAATCGTGTTCTTTGATCAATTTTGAAAACTTTTTGTTCTATAACTTTTTCTCGTAAAGTTGATGGTTATTGAGTTAAAAATTTTTGAAAGCTCGGATCTAATCAAGTCTTTCCAAGGCGCGAGCTTAGTTCGTGCCTGCGCGTTGCAGTGGCGGGACAATTCGTTCGTCAATGGGCACTGGAAATTTTCATGCTGCTGACACGCTACCAGCTGCCGATTCTTTGCTGCGACAACATCATTGAGCAGCTGACGAACGCGGATTTGCTGAAAATATGCGTGGCAACCGAAATCAATACAAAAGAACAGAACCAAAAGATGTGATTTCGTTTCTTAAAGGTATTTTCTATTTTTTAGTATTGTAAATAATAGTTTATTTACCATTTTCTAACTTTCAATGGTTATGATTTCCAGACAGGGACGACGAGGGAATTCATGTTCACTTCTTCAATTATAGTGTTGAAACATCATTGTGTATTAAATAAAAACTTGTATTTGACTTGCGAGTCGACAAGTGTTTTATTTGTCCGATTATCGTATTCAGATTAACTCGCGGAAGTAACCGCATTGGAATGACATCGATTGATTTAAAAGTACGAGTGACAAATAGTCCAGATGCTGATGTCACGTGTGAGGTAAAAGGCAGTTTATGACTTGACATTTACACCGGGGGACATGTAATCAAAACACCAGTATAAGAATTGAAATTAGGTAGTCTGTAATAATAAAAATTGTATTTTGATTAGCCTTTTTTTTTTGTTGTTTTATCCAAGAAACCAACTTTTGATTTCTAATTTTTAATTTCTTTGTGCTGAAATATTATTTGTGGAAAAGTTATTGTTGTTCACAAGTCAGATCGAGTGTAATATTGCCCCGATTATATTGATTCCTATTTCCATATCATAATTAGTAAATATTATTGAGATCAGTTTGAGTTCTATTTCGACCTGTAACGGTAGTATTGACAGAGTGAGTCGCAAAAGACATTTCCAACGAGTAAGATGGAAACTAGTTGTTTATTCAATCCTGCTGTTAGGTAATTTTTATTTTGTGAGGATGAAGTCATAAAAATATTAAAACGTAATTTTATGATCTAATTAATATTATTTCAGAGTGAAAGTCGAGCCTTGTGATGTTTTGCTTACCCAAACTAATTATGAAACCATCGACGAGATACCCGTAACTGAAAATGTCAAGTACGAAGGGTTTCTTCAAGAAAACAGGGTAAGATTTAAAAATTATTGGCGACTGTAGCAGTTAAGTTTTAATGAACCGTCCCTCATAACTTGAATCTTTTTCAGACCCAAGAGTTTCAAGACAATAAGCTTGACGACATTCAAATCGAATTGGAATGTACAGACATGAAGCCCAATTTATTGGCGGTTGCGAAAATAGAAGATTATTCTCCAAGTCAAAGGCTGGATAGCGATGAGTATAAAATCAGAAGCACAATTAAATTAGAAACTGTTGAGTCAGTGAAGAAAGAAATTTTGAGGGAAGGAGAAAATGATTTAAATTTAGGACGTGGACTCAGCGAGAAAAATAAAAATAGCAGTGTTTTGAAAGGGATGAACTATAAACATAGGCTAATAACTCACATTGAATCAGCTCGAAACGGCAATATCAAACCTGCATGTGATGTATGTGGAAAATCATTCGGATATAAAAGTCATCTCCGAAGACACATCGATTCGATACATCGTAAAATAAGGTATGCATGTGATATATGCCAAAAGACATTCGCACAGAAAACGAATCTCAAAGTCCACGTCAATTCGGTACATAATAAAATTACTTATACATGTGTTATATGCCAAAAGACATTCACACAAAAAAGGATTCTCAAAGTCCATATCGAATCGGTTCATAATTAATAAAATTACGCACAAATGTGATATTTGCCAAAAGACATTCTCAGACAAGAGTAGTCTTAGAAATCACGTCGATTCGATGCATAATGGTGTCAGTCACGCATGCGATATTTGCAGAAATGTTTTTAAACGAAGAGGCGATCTCAAAACTCACGTCGATTCGGTGCATTATAAAATTATGCATCCATGTGATGTATGCCAAAAGACATTCTCAAACAGGAGTAATCTCAGAAAGCACATCGAGTCGGTGCATAATGGTGTCAGATATGAATGCGATGTTTGCGGAAAGAATTTCACAAGCAAAAGTAATCTCCAAACCCATATCGATGCGGAACACAATGGAATCACCCACGCATGTGATTTCTGTGAAAAAAAATTTAAATATCAAACTGAAATCGCTAGACATAAAAAATTGTCGCACAATGGTATCATACATTCATGCGAGACATGCGGCAAGACATTCGGACAGAAAAGAAATCTCAGAGCTCACATCGATATGGCGCATCCCTCGCTCAATAAGTCCCAATAAATGTTTAAATTTATGTTCAATTGTGCATAAAACAGCGTCTAGTACATTTTTTGTGAAATTAGGAGACTTATTAGAAAATGATCATTCATTGCAACAATTTTATTCTTCGTTATGTTATTTCGCTGTCGCATACCTAAAAATAACGTTCAAGATGGAAAAACAGCAATAATGAGCTCAATTTGATTCTTTAATAATAAAAAAATGATGAACTTTTCTATCGGATTCTTTTCAGAATGTTCAAAATGTTCGAACAAATGTGTATAAAGAAAAAGGAAAACTTCAATTCTTCTTTTTATCTTAAGCAAAAAGACACGTGTAAACTTTTTTTTAAATAACCTTAATTTTTATTGATAAATATTAAGACGTAAAATTGGGCATGGATAACGATGATAATTATAAATATTATATAAAAAAGACGAAATTTTGTAAGATTCAATATTGTTTGACTAATAAAAAATTGAATAAACATTACCGCCTCATAAGTGTCAGAAAATAAATCGAATTTTTTTAATTGTCATTCTTGTTTACTGTAATAAATAAAATATTGTCTTCCTTTATAAGTCATGATTATAATTATTTTTCAAAGTTTCAATCGACAAACTTACATTATAACTATCATAATGACTCGAATTGTATCATGTTGAATATATAGAAATCTACATTTATCATTACATTAAAAATCTAATTGATAATAAACTGTTATCCAGCTGTGATTACATTTTTCTAATTTATTATATATTTTCCAATAGTTTTCTAATACTACATATTTTCTATTTGTAGCAATATTAGTATGCACTCGCAACGAAAAGTGACAGTGACGAGGGCGGATCGATTCTGCGGTTGACCAGTCGGCTGTGGCCACATTCGATGCTCTCGAGCGACTACCTCCTACAGATTGATTGTAATCTAAGTACACTAGGATTTGGCTTGCGACAAGTGTCTTGTACGAGTGGCACATAATTTTTTTGCGGAAAGCGAGGAGTACGATACTGAATACATGGTGCAGCCACTTGGCAAAGTCATTTACAAATAAGATTTATTCGAACGACAAACAAAAACAAAGTTTTGAAAACGGGTCGTTTGCCGCTTCATGTATTTTCAGATGTAAGATCAAGTTTGATTCGCGCCTGAATTTCTTCTCGCAATGGTCGCATTCATAATAATTTTTGCGGTCGTCGCGCACTGTTTTTTGATGGTTGAGCAAAAGTCAAGGACTATATAATTTGTTTGACGGAAAAATATCACATTAATCGTCAATCGAACCAAACATTACTTTCTATATTAATCTCTATATAAAACGTCACGTCTCGCTTTGCACGATGCATCGTGCATATACACACAATGTTTATGTCATCGCTATTATATTGCGAGACGATTGAGGCGCGCAGTTGGCACTTGGCAGTATACCGCCCACCGCGCCGCACGTCGCTTGTCGATTGTCGAATGTCGAATCGAGCATAGTTCAGTCGGACGTGGACGGTTACGCCGCTGCAACGTGCAAACAACGAAAGATCGCATCGACTGCTGCCGCAGTGATTCTCGTGAAAAAAATCGATTTGTTCAAACTTTAACTATTTTTTTTGTAATTGTGCTCAACGATGTTTTACGACGACGACGATTACGATGTCCATTGGGAACCTTATGATTATCCTAGTGATGACGATAACGCCTTTAGTGAAGACGACATAAGAGATGACTGCGATTCCGTCTACGTGTGTCAAAAACATTTAGAAGAATTGAAGAGCATGCGAAAAGAGGCTAAGTGGACGAATAAAAAAGAGAGATATAAATTTTTCCGCCGTTTCGTAGACATGATTCGTTATTGGAAGAAACACCTTCCTAACCTCCGAGATATTTTTCGATCGGACGAAATTGATCGTCTTCTCATGGAGGCCGTCAAGAACTGGCGGGTATCTAGAAAAAATAATCGAGGACAACTGTTCGTCAATTTTGTGGCTCGCACCGGCTACAAAGACGAGCCCGAGTTAGACGAGGACGGCAAGCCTCAGTTGCGTCGTACTACTGCAGTGCACTGGGCAGCTCGAAAAGACTACTACTCCATCATTCCTAAACTTTTTAAAATATACAACAGATTCGACGTGAATTACATCGACGAATCTGGATTAACACATTTTCACGTGGCCTGCAAGTACGGCCTCGACGATGTAGTTAAGGAATTCCTAAAGCTTGGCCAGGACCCCAATTGCATCGTAACAAAAACTGGTGACTCGCCACTACACTTGGTTCTGAATCAGAACTTTCCGGTCGAGAAGCTGATGGAATTGCTGCTGAGACACGGCGCCGACCCGAACTCGGTCGACGAGCAAGAATCGACACCTCTGCATATTATTTGCAACAGGAAAAGCGATGATTATTTGGCGAAGATATTTTTTGACATCAATGACGACATCCAGCAATCGATTAAGGTCGATGCTTTGGACAATTTGGGCCGAACACCCCTACAATATGCTGTGTTTAGGGGACACAGTGCGGTAGTCGAGTTACTGCTAAGAAGAGGCGTCGACTCTAATTCAACTGACAAGAATGGATCAACTCCTTTGCATTTTATTTGTCATCGAAAACGGAATGATGATTTGGCGAAGGTATTTTTCAGCGTCAACGATGATCTTAATCAGCTAGTGCAGGTCGACGCAGTGGACAAGTTAGGTCGAACACCTCTACACTTGGCTCTGAAATACGATCTCGAAGGCTTGATCGAATTGCTGCTGAGAAGAGGCTCCAATCCTAATTCGGCCGACGGAGACGGATCGACTCCTCTGCACATAATTTGCAAGAAAAGCTTCAAAAGAATGGAAATATTTTTAAAAAAATTTTTCAAGATCAACGAAGAAATCAAGCAGACGATTAAGATCGACGTCTTTGACAAGTTTGGTCGGACACCGTTGCAATGGGCCGTTGCAAATCTCTCGCTGGAAATGGTTGATATGCTTTTGGATCGAGACGCTGATCTGTTGATCTTCGTTTTCCCCACTGCCAGTTTCTTTGCCGAGATTGACCCGGAAAGTTATCGTAATTGGAGTAGCTGTGGACTTGAAATAGCGCTTCGTGCTCTAGCTATCGTCGAACGTCTCGAAAAAGGAGGATACGAACTCGATCGAAGCGATGCCTTGACAATCATGAAATTGTTTGTTAAACATGATTTCTTAAAAACTTTAGCATTTATAACAAGTGACAATTATTGGCGCAAAAGTTTCATAAACGATGCGAAAAAGATAATGTTCAATTCAAGCCTATCGCTCTACGACTGTATTCAGTTGTCACGCAAAGAAGCTATCCGAAGCAAACTATTCACGTATACAGACTACTTCAAGTTCAAGTGCTCGAATGAAAAATTCTTCTATTTATATTCTGAATGTGCTTATAATCTGTTCAATATAATGCTGGGAAGATTTATTCTGCAATGGACGTTGGAATTTTTCTTGACACTGACGCATTACCAACTGCCGATTCCATGTTGTGAAAAAATCATCAATCAACTGACGAACGAGGATCTGTTGAACGTATGTCTAGCAGCAGAAATCGTTGTGAGCAAAGAGTCCCAAAATGCATGATGCAGAGGTATTTTCAAGAATATTGTTTTAGACTTTATTGAATTATTTTTTTCGCTATTTTTAACTTTATATGGTTATTATTTTCTAGGGCAGTATACAAAGGAATATCATACCTACTTCTTCAGTATTTTTGTGTTGTTCATTACATAAAACTTACACTGAAACGTGAAGTACTACAGCAATGGATTGGATGTAGAATATTATACTTGAAGTACTTAACCCAGCTTGTTCATGGGTTTGAGAAAGTTGCAAAAAATAACAGTATAGACATTGAGATGAGAAAACATGTTTTTGTACGTAAAAATGAAGTACCATTTTTTTAATGTAGCGACTAATGTTAGAATTATTATCGACATCAATAAACCAAGTCTTTAACTTTTAATACGATTGAGCTGATAAACTCATTTACGTAAATACTTTAATCTCTATTTATTAATAAGCATATGTATATTTTACCTGTTATAATGGCACTATTAGTTTCGTGAGTTTAAAAGAGTTTTGTTACATAAAGAATCACAACCTCAGCACCTGTATTTTGCACCTGTACTTTTCATTTTTACATACTTTCTTGGGATGGATCAAAGTCAGGACTAGGACTGATTTTTTTTTCGTAACGATCACATCGGATAATGGAGAATTTTTGACGGTGTTTAATATCCACAACTAGACAAAATTATTAACATGAAGGCTTGAGCTTCTTTTTTCAATTAACTGCATATCACAGTTCACTAATAAAAAAAAGTGAAATATTAATTTTTGGGGTAGTTTTTATTTATTTAAATTACAAACCATTAGTTAAGTTCAACATTGAATATAAAAAACATTCAGAAGCAAAATAATATATTTACCATTAGTATAGTAAACTAGTAACTCAATGCCTTACTTTGTATATTATTTATTCTCCATAAAAGTGCACATCTCATTTTGTGTCATGCATTCAACTTGTCATGTAAATGTAGTTTTCAGTTACTGTTGCACTTATTTCAAAATCAAATTCTATGCTTGGTCCAATTGTCATACACAAAGGCTGACTCGCTCTGAACATCATTATTTCTATTATCCTTTTTTTCTTTTTGCCTTCTCCCGAGAGGATTAGTCAATTACCAAGACTATGTATGCTCACAAAGATGTAACTATCCTTTCAGCATATCATTGAAGTCATAGTAATCGCACTTATCTCAAAAATTTAATTCATTAGCTCGCCAAACAACTGCATTATGTCTTTACTCGTTACCGCCATAACACATGCAGCTTACATGGTTCATAGAATATAGTGATTATAGGCACGAGAGTAATTCATGTGTATGACACTCCGAATGGAAGACCTACACACAGATGTCGTACCCTTCTGAATATTTACGAATTGAATGCAAACTTTAAACATCATCAAGTGAACATATAGTAATGCTAAAAACATAATTCATTTTAAATCAATCAACAGTAATGCAAGAGCAGCTGTCGAAAGTGAAATCTAAACAAAAATGCATACCAAAATTAAAGTTTAAGTAAAATAATAAATTTAAGAAAAAAAAAACAAGTATATTTTTTCATTACTTTCAAAATAATATTATTCATATTTATATATTGTTTACTTGATAAAATAACTTGATTTCGTTATTGATATTAGTTCACCTTTTAGTATGGTAGTAAATTAGAAATAAATTATTTACAAAATTTTTAAAAGTAAAATCATTTTAACTGTCGTTGAAAAATGAATAAATGTAATATATTTTGAAAAAAGTCAGTTATTTGAGATGCTGAATCTGAATGCGTGGTCATTACTTTCGTGATTTTACAGCTTCAGAAAAAAAAATTAAAAAACAATAAATGAGAGTTGAAATATTTAGCATCTAAATGAGTAAGTCATTTACACAGTGGCTTTTCAGGATTATAAAACTTTTGATTTTCGATTTTCCGATGGACTGCACTTACGTGTTTTTTTAAATGCTCATTGCGATTATAAGCTAACGTGTTCTTTTATTTTCGAATGAATTGAATCTATGTGCTTCATCAGATTTATTTTTTGTCCAAATAACTTGCCACATTTTTTGCAATTGTATTCTTTGAGTTTTAAATGAATAACATTTATGTGTCTCGTCAGCTTGAATTTCGTACCAAAAGACTTGCTGCACTCATCGCATTTATGATTTTTGAGTTTCAAATGAACTAGATTTATATGCTTCATTAGATCACTTTTCTTTCCAAAAGACTTGTCGCACTCCTCGCATTCATGATTTTTGAGTTTTAAATGAACTGAATCTATATGCTTCATTAGATTACTCTTTTGTCCATAAGATTTGCCACACTCAAAGCATTTGTGATCTTTGATATTTTTATGAACTGTATCAATGTGCTTCATCAGATCACTTTTATAACCAAAAGACTTTCCACACTCTCCGCATTTTTGATCTTTTATTTTCAAATGAACTATATCTATATGCTTCGTTAGTTGATTTTTTTGTCCAAACGACTTGTCACACTCTTTGCATTTGTGATTTTTGATTTTTTTATGTACTGCAGCCATGTGTTTATTTAAGTTACTTTTTTGACCGAAAGACTTTCCACATTCCTCACACATGTGTTCTTTGAGTTCCAGATGAACTGTATCAATGTGCTTCATCAGATCACTTTTATAACCAAAAGACTTTCCACACTCTCCGCATTTTTGATCTTTTATTTTCAAATGAACTGTATCTACGTGCCTCGCCAGATGATCTGCATGTGCAAAAGATTTGCCACACTCTTCGCAACTGTGATCTTTGTTTTTTTCATGTACTGTGGTAATGTGTCTATGTAAGTTACTTTTTTGGCCAAAAGACTTTCCACATTCCTCACACATGTGTTCTTTGAGTTCCAGATGAACTATATCAATGTGCTTCATCAGTTTACTTTTTACTCCAAAAGATTTGCCACACTCTTCACATTTGTGTTCTTTTAGTTCCAGATGAACTGTATCAATGTGCTTCATCAGATTACTTTTTACTCCAAAAGATTTGCCACATTCCTCGCACATGTGTGCTTTGAGTTTCAAATGAACTACATCTATGTGCTTCTTCAAATAGCTCTTCCGAACAAAGCAATTGCCACACTCGAAGCATTTGTGATCTTTGATTTTTTCATGAACTATTGCAATATGCTCAGCCAAGCTTCTCTCATAACCAAAAACTTTTTCACACGAATCGCAGTTGTAATTTTTCATTTTTTGATGAACATTTATCATATGAACACTCAAATGTTGTTTTGTGACAAAAGACTGTCCACAATCGTCGCAAACAAATTTTCTCAGATTCAAATGAACTCCATCCACGTGATTGTTCAAGTTTTGTTTAGTTAAGAAAATCTTACCGCAATGATCGCATTTGTGACGTATTTTGGTATTTTGATTTTTAAGCTTAAGTTCTTCTAAATCTGACATTGTAAAAATCTCTCAACTTTTCACTTTTAAATTAAAACATCTATCTACTGGTATTATTATTTCTCTACTGTTCTCAATTCAAATATGATGTTTACTTTTAACTGGGATTTCGCCGTTGAAATGTTGCGTACATCGAAACTAATGTTTCGATTCATGATATTACGAAAATTAATTTGTGTTCATTAAAACTATAATTTTATCGCTTGTAAAGTGCACGAATTGAGCAGTTTTCGCTCTTAACTCGGCATAAAAAGCGTCCGCATGATCTATGCGTAATTTAACAATTTAATTCGAACTTGTACTCGTACTTGGATAAAAAATTGTGGTATTTACTAATGTGTTAGCATATGATAAAGTCGCTATTTTCATTTCAATTGTTGCAAATCAAAATCATATCACGCATATGCACGGGAATGTACATAATGCATATGACACACGGATGGTCGATCTGCACAAATTGATATCTTTCACTCACAGCATATCGATCTATCGCTCCCGGTACCAAACGTCGCGTCGTGATGCCCGTGTAAGTGAACATATGGCTTTGGTTGGGTACGACTTTAAGGAACTTGAAATAATTCGATTTAACTTAGTTTTGACTTGAACTTGAATAAAAATTGTACGGTATTTACTGTTACGGCATCAGTTCGAAAAATCGTTGTTCTCCTTCAAATCTTTCTATACAGACCAAAAATCAAGTATTCAGCATACAATTGATACGTTAGCAAAATGATATCAATCGTTGGCCGGTCGGTTGCTACAAAACGTCACTCGCTTTGTGTCACGCGATATGTTTACTTTTTTGCTTATGGGCTCGGGAATCCCTAGCTTGTTAATTTTTATTGCATCGTACAAAATAAGTAAATAAAAATATATGTAAAATATTATCGATTCAGTAGTGATACATAATCTCATGCCTTAATAAATTGATCTTATACGTCAATTCAAACATTCGTCTGATATCATTTCATTTTTTTATATTCGTAGCGATACATTTGTTTAGGAAGCTGGATTTGGTATTTTATTTTAAAACATGAAAAAACGATGCTTCAATATGGTGATATTTTTCTAATTTATTTCATTTCCAAGTAACACACAATTTTATCCAGCTTTAACAAATGTATGAAATATAAATAAAGCAGCGATCGTGCCACCCACTTGTGTCCTCCGGCCAGAGCCAAGTGCAGCGGTGAATCACCGGTTTTTGTTACAATGCGATTGGGGTCCTGGCCGAGCTTGAGAAATTTTTCAACGACGTTGTGACAGCCGGACACGCAGGCCGCGTGAAAATGCGTCCATCCACATTCGTCGGTATAATTTACGTCGAATCTGTTGTATATTTTGAATAGGCTATCGACGATGTAGAAGTGCCCGAGTCTAGCCGCATGATGCACTGCAGTAGTACGACGCAACTGAGGCTTGCCGTCCTCGTCTAGCTCGGGCTCGTCCTTGTAGCCGGTGTCGATCGCAAACTTGATGATTGGATCACCCATCTGGAAGGGATCGCAGCTGACGTTGTCGTTTTTCACGTCCTTTGCGAGAAGCCAGTCGATTTCTTCGGTACGAAAAACGTCGCGCAGATCTACGAATCGGCCCTCCCAATCGCCGATGAAAGGGTAAAGTCGATCGAGAAGCTCGTTCCTCTCCTCTTCGATCTCCCAATTGATTTTTTTACGCATGTCCTTCAATACCTCCAATTTTCGTTGGCTCTTGAAGTATGAGTCACCGTCGAACGCCGTCGGATATTTTTCATAAAAATAATCATTGTCGCTGGGATAATCATCGGGATCGAAAAATTCCATCGTCGCGTTCGGCACAATCGCACAAAAATACAGTAACTTATGTAGAACTATTCGCGAGAATCACTAACTGAAGTCGATGCACGATGTTTCTTTGTCGCTTACGCCGCGGAGTCGTAACATGCACTGAACCGAACGACTTACTTGATATGCGGCGCGGCACTGCTGACTGCGCGCCGCATTTTCAAGGCGTATTGATTCCCGAGCCCATAAGCAAAAGTGTAAACATATCGCGCGACACAAAGCGAGTGACGTTTTGTAGCAACCGACCGGCTGACGATTGATATCATTTTGCTAACGTATCAATTGTATGCTGAATACTTGATTTTTGGTCTGTATAGAAAGATTTGAAGAAGAACAACGATTTTTTGAACTGATGCCGTAACAGTAATACCGTACAATTTTTATTCAAGTTCAAATTTAAACTAAGTTAGATCGAATTATTTCGAGTTCCTTAAAGTCGTACCCAACCAAAGCCATATGTTCACTTACACAGGCATCACGACGTTTGATGCCTGTTTGATGACCGATACCGAGAGCGATAGATCGATATTGCTGGGAGTGAAAGATATCAATTTGTGCAGATTGGCCATCCGTAGTGTCATATGTGGCGTCGGCTACCTTGCCTCCCCTCTTATGCCTGCGGGCACCGACTAGGCGCGCGTCCGTTTGACTCGCCGTATGTGGCGAGATATAGTGGAAATACAGAGTTGATTGTAGTCAGTAGTGACGAGCACAGGCCAGCCCGGCCGAACAAATTCAATCGTTATTGTTAATCAATATCAAGTCTACTCTAGTCATTTTTCCTACTCTCTCTATCCTGCCCCGAAGAAGATTATTATAGGACACGCCATTACCCGACGATGTATGGAGCGTCGGGAAACCTTCTGACTTGGAGCCGAGTCAAGGACGAGTCAATCTGCATATACGGATAGACCCCAACCAACACATTTAATCTCCATATCATATACATTATGTACATTCCCGTGCATATGCGTGATATGATTTTGATTTGCAACAATTGAAATGAAAATAGGGACTTTATCATATGCTAACACATTACGAGTACACAACAACGAGCACACTCAAGTACGAGTACAAGTTCGAATTAAATTGTTAAATTACGCATAGATCATAAGGGCCAAAACTGCTCAATTCGTGCATTTTACAAGCGATAAAATTATAGTTTTAATGAACACAAATTAATTTTCGTTATATCATGAATCGAAACATTAGTTTCGATGTACACAACATTTCAACGGCGAAATCCAAGTTAAAAGTAAACATCATATTTGAATTGAGAACAGTAGAGAAATAATAATACCAGTAGATAGATGTTTCAATTTAAAAGTGAAAAGTTGAGAGATTTTTACAATGTCAGATTTAGAAGAACTTAAGCTTAAAAATCAAAATAGCAAAATACGTCACAAATGCGATCATTGCGGTAAGATTTTCTTAACTAAACAAAACTTGAACAATCACGTGGATGGAGTTCATTTGTATCTAAGAAAATTTGTTTGCGACGATTGTGGACAGTCTTTTGTCACAAAACAACATTTGAGTGTTCATATGATAAATGTCCATCAAAAAATGAAAAATTACAACTGCGATTCGTGTGGAAAGTCTTTTGTCTACAAGATAAGCTTGGTCAGGCACATTACCACGGTTCATGAAAAAATCAAAGATCACAAATGCTTCGAGTGTGGCAATTCTTTTGGACAAAAGAGTTATCTAATGAATCATATAGATCTAGTTCATTTGAAGCTCAAAGCACACATGTGTGAGGAATGTGGAAAGTCTTTTGGTCAAAAGCAGACTTTAATGAAGCACATTGATACAGTTCATTTGAAAATAAAAGACCAAAAATGCGGAGAGTGTGGAAAGTCTTTTGGTTATAAAAATGATCTGATGAAGCACATTGATACAGTTCATCTGGAACTCAAACAACACACGTGTGAGGAATGTGGAAAGTCTTTTGGTCGCAAAAGTAACTTACATAAACACATTGCTGCAGTACATAAAAAAATCAAAGAGCACAATTGCGGAGAGTGCGATAAGTCTTTTGGAAAAAAACAGACTTTAATGAAGCACATTGATACAGTTCATTTGAAAATAAAAGATCAAAAATGCGGAGAGTGTGGAAAGTCTTTTGGTTATAAAAATGATCTGATGAAGCACATTGATACAGTTCATCTGGAACTCAAAGAACACATGTGTGAGGAATGTGAAAAGTCTTTCGGTCAAAAAAGTAACTTAAATAAACACATGGCTGCAGTACATAAAAAAATCAAAAATCACAAATGCAAAGAGTGTGACAAGTCGTTTGGACAAAAAATTAATCTAACGAAGCATATAGATATGGTTCATTTGAAACTCAGAAATCATAAATGCGATGAGTGTGGCAAGTCTTTTGGTGGAAAAACACACTTGCACACACACATAGCTACAGTTCATAAAAATATCAAAGATCACAAATGCTTTGAGTGTAGCAAATCTTATGGACAAAAGAGTAATCTAATGACGCATATAGATTCAGTTCATTTAAAACTCAAAAATCATGAATGCGAGGAGTGCGACAAGTCTTTTGGAAAGAAAAGTGATCTAATGAAGCATATAAATCTAGTTCATTTGAAACTCAAAAATCATAAATGCGATGAGTGCAGCAAGTCTTTTGGTACGAAATTCAAGCTGACGAGACACATAAATGTTATTCATTTAAAACTCAAAGAATACAATTGCAAAAAATGTGGCAAGTTATTTGGACAAAAAATAAATCTGATGAAGCACATAGATTCAATTCATTCGAAAATAAAAGAACACGTTAGCTTATAATCGCAATGAGCATTTAAAAAAACACGTAAGTGCAGTCCATCGGAAAATCGAAAATCAAAAGTTTTATAATCCTGAAAAGCCACTGTGTAAATGACTTACTCATTTAGATGCTAAATATTTCAACTCTCATTTATTGTTTTTTAATTTTTTTTCTGAAGCTGTAAAATCACGAAAGTAATGACCACGCATTCAGATTCAGCATCTCAAATAACTGACTTTTTTCAAAATATATTACATCAAATCATTTTTCAGCGACAGTTGAAATGATTTCACTTTTAAAAATTTTGTAAATAATTTATTTCTAATTTACTACTATACTAAAAGGTGAACTAATATCAATAACGAAATTAAGTTATTCTGTGCTATTATAAAATCCGGTATCAAGTAAACAATATACAAATATGAATAATATTATTTTGAAAGTAATGAAAAAGTATACTTGTTTTTTTTCTTAAATTTATTATTTTACTTAAACTTTAATTTTTGTATGCATTTTTGTTTAGATTTCACTTTCAACAGCTGTTCTTGCAGTACTGTCGATTGATTTAAAATGAATTATGTTTTTAACATTACTATATGTACACTTGACGATGTTTAAAGTTTGCATTCAATTCGTAAATATTCAAAAGGGTACAACATTTGTGTGTAGGTCTTCCATTCGGAGTGTCACACATATGAATTACTCTCGTGCCTATAGTCACTATATTTTATGAACCGTGTAAGCTGCATGTGTTATGGCGGTCACGAGTAAAGACATAATGCAGTTGTTTGGCGAGTTAATGAATTAAATATTTGAGATAAGTGCGATTACTATGACTTTGATGATATGATGATATGCTGAAAGGATAGTTACATCTTTGTGAGCATACATAGTCTTGGTAATTGACTAATCCTCTCGGGAGAAGGCAAAAAGAAAAAAAGAATAATAGAAATGATGATGTTCAGAGCGAGTCAGCCTTCGTGTATGATAATTGGACCAAGCATAGAATTTGATTTTGAAACAAGTGCAACAGTAACTGAAAACTTACAGTAAGGCTACATTTACATGACAAGTTTAATGCATGACACAAAATGAGATGCGCAATTTTATGGAGAATAAATAATATATACAAAGTAAGGTATTGAGTTACTAGTTTACTATACTAATGGTAAATATATTATTTTGCTTCTGAATGTTTTTTATATTCAATGTTGAACTTAACTAATGGTTTGTAATTTAAATAAATAAAAACTACCCCAAAAATTAATATTTCACTTTTTTTTATTAGTGAACTGTGATGCAGTTCATTGAAAAAAGAAACTCAAGCCTTCATCTTAATAATTTTGTTTTGTGGATATTAAACACCGTCAAAAATTCTCTATCATCTGATGTAATCGTTACAAAAAAAAATTAGTCCTAGTCCTGACTTTGATCCATCCCAAGAAAGTATGTAAAAATGAAAAATACAGGTGCAAAATACAGGTGCTGAGGTTGTGATTCTTTATGTAACAAAACTCTTTTAAACTCACGAAACTAATAGTGCCATTATAACAGGTAAAATATACATATGCTTATTAATAAATAGAGATTAAAGTATTTATGTAAATGAGTTTATCAGCTCCATCGTATTAAAAGTTAAAGACTTGGTTTATTGATGTCGATATAATTATAACTTTAGTTGCTACATTAAAATAATGGTACTTCATTTTTGCGTACAAAAACACGTTTTCTCATCTCAATGTCGATACTGTTATTTTTTGTAACTTTCTCAAACCCATGAACAAGCTGGGTTAAGTACTTTAAGTATAATATTCTACATCCAATCCATTGCTGTAGTACTGCACGTTTCAGTGTAAGTTTTATGTAATGAACAACCTAAAAATACTGAAGAAGTAAGTATGATATTCCTTCGTATACTGCCCTAGAAAATAATAACCATATAAAGTTAAAAATAGCGAAAAAAATAATTCAATAAAGTCTATAACGAAATTCTTGAAAATACCTCTGCGAACTGCATCATGCATTTTGGGACTCTTTGCTCACAACGATGTCTGCTGCTAGACATACGTTCAACAGATCCTCGTTCGTCAGTTGATTGATGATTTTTTCACAACATGGAATCGGCAGTTGGTAATGCGTCAGTGTCAAGAAAAATTCCAACGTCCATTGCAGAATAAATCTTCCCAGCATTATATCGAACAGATTATAAGCACATTCAGAATATAAATAGAAGAATTTTTCATTCGAGCACTTGAACTTGAAGTAGTCTGTATACGTGAATAGTTTGCTTCGGATAGCTTCTATGCGTGACAACTGAATAAAGTCGTAGAGCGATAGGCTTGAATTGAACATTATCTTTTTCGCATCGTTTATGAAACTTTTGCGCAAATAATTGTCACTTGTTATAAATGCTAAAGTTTTTAAGAAATCATGTTTAACAAACGATTTCATGATTGTCAAGGCATCGCTTCGGTCGAGTTCGTATCCTCCTTCTTCGAGACGTTCGACGATAGCTAGAGCACGAAGCGCTATTTCAAGTCCACAGCTACTCCAATTACGATAACTTTCCGGGTCAATCTCGGCAAAGAAACTGACAGTGGGGAAAACGAAGATCGACAGATCAGCGTCTCGATCCAAAAGCATATCAACCATTTCCAGCGAGAGATTTGCAACGGCCCATTGCAACGGTGTCCGACCAAACTTGTCAAAGACGTCGATCTTAATCGTCTGCTTGATTTCTTCGTTGATCTTGAAAAATTTTTTTAAAAATATTTCCATTCTTTTGAAGCTTTTCTTGCAAATTATGTGCAGAGGAGTCGATCCGTCTCCGTCGGCCGAATTCGGATTGGAGCCTCTTCTCAGCAGCAATTCGATCAAGCCTTCGAGATCGTATTTCAGAGCCAAGTGTAGAGGTGTTCGACCTAACTTGTCCACTGCGTCGACCTGCACTAGCTGATTAAGATCATCGTTGACGCTGAAAAATACCTTCGCCAAATCATCATTCCGTTTTCGATGACAAATAAAATGCAAAGGAGTTGATCCATTCTTGTCAGTTGAATTAGAGTCGACGCCTCTTCTTAGCAGTAACTCGACTACCGCACTGTGTCCCCTAAACACAGCATATTGTAGCGGTGTTCGGCCCAAATTGTCCAAAGCATCGACCTTAATCGATTGCTGGATGTCGTCATTGATGTCAAAAAATATCTTCGCCAAATAATCATCGCTTTTCCTGTTGCAAATAATATGCAGAGGTGTCGATTCTTGCTCGTCGACCGAGTTCGGGTCGGCACCGTGTCTCAGCAGCAATTCCATCAGCATCTCGACCGGAAAGTTCTGATTCAGAACCAAGTGTAGTGGCGACTCACCAGTTTTTGTTACGATGCAATTGGGGTCCTGGCCGAGCTCGAGGAATTCCTTAACTACATCGTCGAGGCCGTACTTGCAGGCCACGTGAAAATGTGTTAATCCAGATTCGTCGATGTAATTCACGTCGAATCTGTTGTATATTTTAAAAAGTTTAGGAATGATGGAGTAGCAGTCTTTTCGAGCTGCCCAGTGCACTGCAGTAGTACGACGCAACTGAGGCTTGCCGTCTTCGTCTACCTCTGGCTCGTCCGTGTAACCGGTGCGGGTCACGAATCTGATTAACAGTAGTCCGCGATTATTACTTACAACGTCGTTCAGGGCGGCCTCCGCGAGAAGCCAATCAATTTCGTCCGATCGAAAAATATCTCGGAGGTTAGGAAGGTGTTTCTTCCAATAACGAATCATGTCTACGAAACGGAGGAAAAATTTATATCTCTCTTTTTTATTCGTCCAATTAGCCTCTTTTCGCATGCTCTTCAATTCTTCTAAATGTTTTTGACACACGTAGACGGAATCGCAGTCATCTCTTATGTCGTCTTCACTTAAGGCGTAATCGTCATCACTAGGATAATCATAAGGTTCCCAATGGACATCGTAATCGTCGTCGTCGTAAAACATCGTTGAGCACAATCACAAAAAAAATACACTGAGTTAAAGTTTGAACAAATCGATTTTTTTCACGAGAATCACTGCGGCAGCAATCGATGCGATCTTTCGTTGTTTGCACGTTGCAGCGGCGTAACCGTCCACGTCCGACTGAACTATGCTCGATTCGACATTCGACAGTCGACAAGCGACGTGCGGCGCGGTGAGCGGTATACTGCCAAGTGCCAACTGCGCGCCTCAATCGTCTCGCAATATAATAGCGATGACATAAACATTGTGTGTATATGCACGATGCATCGTGCAAAGCGAGACGTGACGTTTTATAGAGATTAATATAGAAAGTAAAGTTTGGTTCGATTGACGATTAATGTGATATTTTTCCGTCGAACAAATTATACAGTCCTTGACTTTTGCTCGACCATTAAAAAGACAGTGCGCGAAGACCGCAAAGATTATTATCAATGCGACCATTGCGAGAAGAAATTCAGGCGCGAATCAAACTTGATCTTACATCTGAAAATACACGAAGCGGCAAACGACCCGTTTTCAAAACTTTGTTTATTGTTTGTCGTTCGAATAAATCTTACTTGTAAATGACTGTGTTGAAATTTCGACCAGATGAGTTATGTTTTCTTCAACATTATTTTTAGATCAATAATTTGCGACGTAAGATGACTTTAAAAAATTGGTTTTCTCGTATAATGGCCGCAGGTTTCAAATATTTTTATAACTAACAGTTCCATGCTTGTTTAAATGGCAAAATATTTCATAAAATTTGGAGGAAGCTCTTTGCCAATGAATTGGCAAAGGTTTTTTATTTTTCCTCGGCGAATCAAATAAATAACACGTAGCGAAATTTTGCGACGCTCGTATTTGATCTTTCGATGAATCTCTTCTCCAATACATTTCAATTACTTCGAATTGACTTTGCCAAGTGGCTGCACCATGTATTCAGTATCGTACTCCTCGCTTTAAGCAAAAAAATTATCTGCGTCAAATTCATTATTATAATGCTATTATTATTGTTTTAATTACTAAAAACAAAGTGAAAGTCAAGCTATGTTCGAAATAGTTTTTTTTTTTTTTTTAATCATACGACAATTTTGAAAAAGCATTATAAGACGTGAAACTTATGCACGGTGGAACACGATCAAAACAATATATTTTAGTTGATACACCAGAGATGATAACATAATGCATTAAAACGAATAAAAAATAACTTCAAAAATAACAAGTATTACTTTGGGCAAATAGCTATGCTGCAGTAATGATTGTCAAAGTAATAAACATAAGAATTGTATTATTCCTTCATCATTAATACGTAATTTAATATTTCAATTGTTTTTTTTTATTCGTGAGCCACGACGCAGATAATTCATGCGTTATATTTGACATAATTTTATAGAGACATAAGTATTATTAAATATAAAATTGTAAAACAAGAAGCTTAAGCTTATATATCATGATCGTTTTTAGCTTTCGTCCACACAGTACACGTTTATCTTGACTGGTTGCATATGAAAGAATTAGTAAAACAATGAAGTCCATGTCTTCCCTTATATTTTCTAGACTTCGTCTTGATCCGCGACAGCGAAGCAAATATTCATTAAATCTTTGTTCGCCAATTTTTTAATGATTATATCGCAGCAGAGAATTGGCATTTGGTAGTGGCGCGTCAACTCCAGGAGAGGTTCCAGTGCCCAACGCCGGAATAATCTTTTCAACAGTAACTCGCACAGATACATTACATAGCACTAGCCGTTCTATGCTCTTTTTGAAACGAATAATACCAATATCTTTGGTTTCCGGAAGCAAACGTCCGGCAATCCGCATACGTGAGTAGTTTTTCCGCATCTTCGGGTCGTGACCGGATCAAGTCATAAAGCGACATGTTCGGAGTAAACATATATGTATGATCTTTCTTGAGAACACGCAAACGAAATCGTATATCATAATCCACCGGCTTTTTGAAAAATTCGTACTTGGCGAAATATTTCATGATCGTTAGGGCGTCGCTTCGGTCCAGTTCGTATCCTCTTTTCTCGAGAAGTTCGATGACGGTCAGAACGGAGGACGCCAACAAAAAATACCAATTCGGCGACTTAACATCATCATCCGGTTTCCATTCCTTGGCGAAGTAATTCTCGGTGGGAAAGGCGAAGCTCGCCAGATCAGCGCCACGATCCAAGAGTACATCGACTAGATCTGGACGAAGATTCGCCACGGCCAATTGAAGGGGTGTCCGACCCAACTTGTCCTTTGCATCGATCTGTATCGTTTGATGATTTGCATCGGTGGTCTCGAAAAATGTATTAGCTACATCACCCGACGTGCGAAAATTCCAACTCTTGCAAATCATGTGCAAAGGTGTCAATCCCTCTTTATTGGCCAAATTCGGATTGGCGCCTCTCTTCAGCAGTAGTCCCATCATCTCCTTGGCCCACAAACCCGGATACAGAGCCAAGTGTAGCGACGAGTCGCCTGTTTCTGTCACGAGGCAATTGGGATCCTGTCCGAGCTCGAGGTATTTTTCCACTTTCTCGCAACGGTTAATCTTACAGAGCGCGTGAAAATACGTGAATCCAGATTCGTCGATGTGATTCACGTCAGAATTTTCGTATATTTTTGATAGAAGAACAGTATAACCTAACGAATTCTGCTTGGCTGCCAAGTGCACTGATGTGGAGCGATGCAGTATTGGCTTGCCGTCTTTATCTAGGTCGGGCTCGTCCCTGTAACCGGTGGAGTCCACAAAGCAGATGAAAAATTGTCCTCGCTTATTTTGAACGGTTTTCTTTCTGTCGATTAATGCCTCCTTGAGAAACCATTCGATTTCTTCCTTTCGAAAAATGTCTTTGAGATTCGGAAGGTCGCCTTTCCAATCTCGCAACAGGTTTGAAAGGCGTAGGTAAAATGGATATCTCTCTTCTTCGTTCTCCCAATTCAACCGTTCTCGTAAACTCTTTAGTTTTACCAAGTTGATTTGACCATAGTAATCCATGTCTTCGGGATTTTCGTCATCGCTCTCAACCAAAAAATCAAAAAAATTATCATCTTCTTCGTCTTCAGGAAGGGGACGACGTCTTTTGCAAATAGTATCGTTTAAACTATCATCATCATAATATATATCGTGATCCATGATTAAACCACGCACTCAAATTTACAATCACTGATGATTTTAATACTTTTGCTCTTTACAAGCAAATATTGTGTACTGAGCAAATCAAAAATTTTTACCTGTTACGTTTTCGACTGTCGAGTCGAGTAGAGATGAGCGCCTAAGCAATAATGTCAACACAAATTTTTGTAACTATAAACTTACTGTAATAATGTAGACAAACATACTTATGTTTTATGTTGAACGCGACACTCAAATATGAGATCTGCAATGCAAGTTGAAGCTGTCGCGGGGAACAAATTTTTAAGTTTTTTGGTTTCTTGCTGCGCCAGAATTTATGCAATCAAGTCATATAACTGTAGTGAAATGACCGTGACCTTTTTATCAATACAAAAAGCTCAGCGATGTAGGAAAACTTTAAATTCAAATCATTAATGTACAAATTTCGATAGCTCTTTCCAGAAATGAAAAGTCTAAATTTCTTACTGTCGCTGTTCTCGTGAATTTTTTCCGTACACTTGGCATGTAAAATATTTTTTGCATTTTCGTTCAAATTTCACTTTCAACATCGGTTTTTGTGCAGTTCTTTATTGTTTTAAATAAGTAAACTTTTTAAAAATGAGTTTAAGTTTTCTATCGAAATTTAGATTTTTTTTTAGTTCATTCGTTAATTTTATTAGTTCAATAATCCATCGATTTAACTTTATTCTCAACAACGAATAATATACGGTTTACAAGTTTACGGAAATATCGTGAAAGACCCAAAACCTGATTTTGCCTCTCAAAACCTGATATTGCAAGACAACGAACCGGAGCAAGTGCACGCCTATACTGGTCAAAAAATTTGTGTAAAAACTTTCAATTATCTCTAGAACTGGAAAATCGTATACATTTATTTTTTAATGTGGCTATTCTTGTAAGTCTTTTTTAGTATTTTTTAGTATTCTACCAAACGAACAATAAAAGCAGCAATAAAAGTATAATTTTTTTTTATTTGAGCCATGATGCAAAATATAACAAGCGCTAATATACTTACAAATTTGTATAAAATAAATTTTAATATCGTGTAATCATTTGCGATCTTACAATTTTTATAAAACATACAAATTATCGCCAGAAAAAAAAGAAAATTAGAAAATTCTTTTATTTATTTATGAGTAATGATTGAATTAAGTACAAGCAATATATTATATTAGTTAAAAAAACGTTTTATCAAATCTATATTTATTCTCAAAATTTTTTAGATACTTCGCATTTATAACCCAGGTTAAGCTTTTTAAAATAATTTAACCCTGTATACTTGAGAATTACATTCATCTCGTTAATTTTGTTTTTAATTGTGTTTTATAATAAAAAATAAACTACCTTTTACCTACCTAACATAAACTACCTTTTATCTCACACGTGACATCAGCACCTGGACTATATCACTCGTACTTTTAAATCAATCGATGTCATTCCAATGCGGTTACTTCCGCGAGTTAATCTGAATACGATAATCGGACAAATAAGACACTTGTCGTAAGCCAAATCCAAGTGTACTTAGATTACAATCAATCTGTAGGAGGTAGTAGCTCGAGAGCATCGAATGTGTCCACAGCCGACTAGCCAACTGCAGAATCGATCCGCCCTCGTAACTGTCAATTTTCGATGCGAGTGCATACTAATATTGCTACTAATAGAAAATATGTAGTATTAGAAAATTTCTAGAAAATATATAATAAATTAGAAAAATGTAATCACAGCTGGATAACAGTTTATTATCAATTAGATTTTTATGTAATGATAAATGTAGATTTCTATATATTCAACATGATACAATTCGAGTCATTATGATATATATAATGTAAGTTTGTCGATTGAAACTTTGAAAAATAATTATAATCATGACTTATAAAATAAGACACTATTATTTATTACAGTAAACAAGAATGACAATTAAAAAAATTAGATTTATTTTCTGACACTTATTAAGCGGTAATGTTTATTCAATTTTTTATTATTCAAACAATATGGAATCTTACAAAATTTCGTCTGTTTTATATAATATTTATAATTATCATCGTTATCCATGCCCAATTTTAGGTCTTAATATTTAGTCATTTAAAAAAAAATTTACACGTGTCTTTTTGCTTAAGATAGAAAGATGAATTGAAGTTTTCCTGTTTCTTTATACACATTTGTTCGAACATTTTGAATATTCTGAAAAGAATCCGATAGAAAAGTTCATCATTTTTTTATTATTAAAGAATCAAATTGAGCTCATTATTACTGTTTTTCCATCTTGAACGTTATTTTTAGGTACGCGACAGCGAAATAACATAACGAAGAATAAAATTGTTGCAATGAATTATCATTTTCTAATAAGTCTCCTAATTTCACAAACAATGTACTAGACGCTGTTTTATTCACAATTGAACATAAATTTAAACATTTATTGGGACTTATTGAGCGAGGAATGCGCCATATCGATGTGAGCTCTGAGATTTCTTTTCTGTCCGAATGTCTTGCCGCATGTCTCGCATGAATGTATAATACCATTGTGCGACAATTTTTTATGTCTAGCAATTTCACTTTGATATTTAAATTTTTTTTCACAGAAATCACATGCGTGGGTGATTCCATTGTGAATCGCATCGATGTGTTTTCTGAGATTACTCCTGTTTGAGAATGTCTTTTGGCATACATCACATGGATGCATAATTTTATAATGCATCGAATCGACGTGAGTTTTGAGAGTGCCTTTCTCTGAGAATGTCTTTTGGCATATATCACACGCATGTCGGACTCGATTGTGCACGGAATCAATATGTTGTTTGAGACTGTTCTTTTTTGAGAACGTATTTTGGCATATATCGCATTCATGCCTTATTTTACGATGCACCGAATCGATGTGATTTCTTAGACTATTCTTCCCTGAGAACGAATTTTGACTTATATTGCATGCATGTCTGACCCCATTATGCACCGAATCGATGTGTTTTTTGAGAGTACTCTTGTCTAAGTATGTCTTTTGGCATACATCGCATGGATGCGTGATTTCACGATGTACCGAATCTATGTGGATTTTGAGTTTCGTTTTCTGTGTGAATGTCTTTTGGCATATATCACATGCATGTCTTATTTTACGATGTACCGAATCGATGTGTCTATTGAGATTTCGTTTGAACACTTTTCCGCAAGTACCACATGCATGTTTGATATTGGCATTACGAACTGATTCAATCTGAGTTATTAGCCTATGTTTATAGTTCATCCCTTTCAAAACACTGCTTTTTTTATTTTTCTCGCTGAGTCCACGTCCTAAATTTAAATCATTTTCTCCTTCTCTCAAAATTTCTTTCTTCACTGACCCGACAGTTTCTACTTTTATTGTGCTTCTGGTTTTATACTCATCGCTATCCGGCCATTGACTTGGAGAATAATCTTCTATTTTCGCAACTGCCAATAAATTGGGCTTCATGTCTGTACATTCCAATTCGATTTGAATGTCGTCAAGCTTATTTTCTTGAAACTCTTGGGTCTGAAAAAGATTCAAGTTATGAGGGACGGTTCATTAAAACTTAACTGCTACAGTCGCCAATAATTATTAAATCTTACCCAGTTTTCTTGAAAAAACCTTTCGTTTTTGACGTTTTCAGTTACGGGTATCGCGTCGATGGTTTCATAATTATTTTGGGTAAGCAAAACATCACAAGGCTCGACTTTCACTCTGAAATAATATCAATTAGATCTTAAAATTACGTTTTAATATTTTTATGACTTCATCCTCAAAAAATAAAAATTACCTAAAAGCAGGATTGAATAAACCACTAGTTTCCATCTTACTCGTTGGAAATGTCTTTGGCGACTCACTCTGTCAATACTACCGTTACAGGTCGAAATAGAGCTCAAACTGATGTCAATAATATTTACTAATCATGATATGGAAATAGGAATCAATATAATCGGGGCAATATTACACTCGATCTGACTTGTGAAGAACAATAACTTTTCCACAAATAATATTTTAGCACGAAGAAATTAAAAATTATAAATAAAAAGTTGGTTTCTTCTATTTGATAAAACAACGAAAAAAAGGCTAATCGAAATACAATTTTTATTATTACAGATTACCTAATTTCAATTCTTAGACTGGTTTTTTGATTACATGTCCCCCGGTGTAAATGTCAAGTCATAAACTACTTTTTACCTCACACGTGACATCAGCACCTGGAATATTTGTCACTCGTACTTTTAAATCAATCGATGTCATAATACCCAATGCGGTTACTTCCGCGAGTTAATCTGAATATGATAATCGGACAAATAAGACACTTGTTACAAGTCAAATCCAAGTTTTTATTTAATACACAATGATGTTTTAACACTATAATTAAAGAAAGAAGAACATGAATTCCCTCGTCGTCCTTGTCTGGAAATAATATAACCATTGAAAGTTAGAAAATGGTAAATAAACTATTATTTACAATACTAAAAAATAGAAAATACCTTTAAGAAACGAAATCACATCTTTTGGTTATGTTCTTTTGTATTGATTTCGGTTGCCACGCATACTTGCAACAAATCCGCGTTCGTCAGCTGCTCAATGATGTCACAGCAAAGAATCGGCAGCCGGTAGCGTGTCAGCAGCATGAAAATTTCCAGTGCCCACTGACGAACTAATTGTCCCGCCACTGCAACGCGCAGGCACGAGCTAAGCTCACGCCTTAGAAAGAAAGACTTGATTAGATCCGAGCTTTCAAACTCGAAGTAGTCTGTGTACGTGATTAGTTTTTTTGCATGGCCTCTTCGCGCATAGCTTCGAAATTTATCAAAATATTTAACGATCCGTCCTTGTAGAATACTTTCATTATTGTAAGGGCATCGCTTCGACCCAATTCGTATCCTCTTTTCTCGAGATGTTCAACGACGGCCAAGACGCCAGACGTTCCTACATTCAAATTACTTTCCCCGGTGTCCCATTTCGCAGCGAAGTAAATCTCGGTTGGAAAAACGAAGTTGGACAGATCGTCGCCACGATCGAGGAGAATGTCAACGGTGTTCGGCGAGATGTACGCCACGGCCCACTGAAGGGGCGTCATACCCCACTTGTCTCGGCGGTCAACCTGTAGCGTCTGCTGAATCGCATCGTTGATCCTGAGGAACATCTTCCAGAATGTCGCCGATTGATCGTCCCAGCCTTTTTTGCAAATCGCGTGCAGAGGAGTCGATCCGTCTCCGTCGGCCAAGTTCGGATTGGCACCTATTCTCAGCAACACTTTGGTCAAGCTTCTGATGTTGTATTCAACAGCCAAGTGTAGCGGTGTCTGACCCAAGTCGTTCACGGCGTTGACTCGCAACGTCTGACCTCCATCGTCGCTGATCTTGAAAAAGAATCGGGCCGTGTAAATGTCGTAACGTTGCTGACAAATGATGTGCAGCGGAGTTGATCCGTCCATCATCGCCGCATTGGGATCGGCGCCTCTTGTCAGCAGTAATTCGGCCGTCTCTTCGTATTTATCGGCTAAAGCCAAATGTAGCACTGTCCGACCCAGCTTATCCTTTGCGTCGATCTGTATCGATACATGATTCGCATCGATGATCTCGAAAAAAGTCTTGATCAGTCGACGATTACAATGGTAAATGACGTGCAAAGGTGTCGATCCCTCCTTATCGGGCAAATTCGGGTCGGCCTTACTTTTAAGCAATAATTCGATCACCTTTTTTTGGGCTCCCACGAGGTAGCTACTCTTAAGGGCGAAATGCAGCGGTGAATCTACTGAGTTCGTATTCGGCTCCCGAGGGAGACAATCGGGATCTTGCCCGAGCTTCAGGAATTTCTCGACTATGTCGTAACGGTTGTACTTGCAGGCCGCGTGAAAATGTGTGTATCCATCTTCGTCCACGTAGTTGATGTCGAATCTGTTGTATATTTTGAACAAATGGTAGTCCAATGAAGTCGCATAATGTATCGCAGTGGTGCGACGCAATATTAGCTTGCCGTTTTCATCCAACTCGGGCTCGTCCTTGTAGCCGCTAGCTGCCACGAACTCGATTATTCGTTTTCCTTGATTTCTTTCTGGCATTTTATTTTGATATTTTGTGGCCTCGATCAGAAGCCAATCAATTTCTTCCGTGCGAAGATCGTCTCGAAGATTTGGAAGATGAACTTTCCAATTATCGATCAAAGATAGAAAATTGTTGAAAAATTTGTAACGATCTTCCTCTTTCTCCCAACCTTCAATCAATTTTTCTCGCATTGTTTTAAACATTTTCGATGGTCTCATAATTGTTTTACACGCTCACTCAAAACACAATCACTAATAAAAATTTATAAAATTGATAAGTCTCACTTGAATCACGTATATAACTACAACGGTATTTCTTTGCTTCACTCTTCACTTACAAGGACAAGACTGAAATTGACAACGACGGCAAAGCAATACTGCGTCGTAGCACGGCGATTCATTTCGCGGCTAAAAACGGTTGCAACCTCGTCGCTCCTCTCCTCTTCAAAATATACGACAGTTTCAACGCGAACTACGTCGACGAGGACGATTCCGCCGGCGGCCTGACGCACTTTCACGCGACTTGCGCGTTCGGCTACGAGAAGATCGTCGAGAAATTTCTCGAGGCAGGCCAGGATCCCAACTGTCCGCTTTCCGACGATCCGCCCTTACACTTGGCTCTCAAGCACGAACACAAGAAGGTGGTCGAGGTGCTGCTGAGACGCGGCGCCAATCCGAATTCCACGAGTAGTTCGGGGCAGAAATCGCTGCAAATAGCCGTGGCGAATCTCGCCCCGGATTCGGTCAAGCTGCTGTTGGATCACGGCGCCGATCTGGCCGACTTCGCTTTCCCCGCGGAGAGTCAATTCAACGAGCGGCTCGCGACTGTCACGAGCAAAGGGCACAGTACGAAGCTGGAAGTAGCTTCTCTGATTATGATGATCGTGGAGCACCTTGAGAGACGAGGATACGCATACGCACCGAACCGAAGTGACGCGCTGACGATCGTTAAACTTTTATCCAAGTACGAATGGTTCAACAAGTTCAGTATTGAATATTGGCTCAGCAACGCAGACTTCGTGATCAAGGCGAAGGAGTTGAAGATGAAGCCGAGCCTGTCGCTCTACGACTTCGTTCGTCTGCCAGCGGAACAGGCGACGAAATTAGTCACTTATAAGGAGTACTTCAAGTTCGTGCAGAAGTCCAGTTATTGTTCACTAACAGAACCTCTCGGCCAGACGTGCTCGGCATACATCTTCGAAATTATGTTGAATGGATTTTGCCGCCGATGGGCCAAGGCATTTGCCGTGCCATTAGAGGATTCATCTTGTGAAGACATTATAAAGAACATATGCTCGGCAGCAAAAACCATTGCATAAATTACACAACAAGGCCCAAACGCATGATGCCGTTGGCAAAGGTATTTTCATCAATTATTGTCTAAATTCCGTAAATAATAGTTTTCTTCAAATCTTTTTCTTTATTTTATTTTCTAGGCAAAGCAAGGTAATACACGAAGAATTATTAACAATGTTGAAATATTTTTGTAAGTTTGCACAATTAACATTATGTATAAAATAAAAATTTTAGACAGTAAACATATAGTTAAGAATGTAATTAATAATGATATGAATCGTAAACTTTAAGTTACAAAATGAAAGCATCCTATTGAATTTAAAAAATAAACTGAAATATCTTAACTTAGCGTCTATTGTATAAGAGAAAGTTTATTCAGTCATGGACATCAAAGCACATTGGCTAAATGATTGTTATTACTGATATATCACACAATGATAAATTAGTCAGCCTATATTAGAAGATTGCAGCAAAATATGCATTGAATATAACATGTACGGGCAAATGCAAAGCATACTTTTTAAAACGTGTGCTTTGCTTCATATTTTAGTACAGATAAGTCTTTAGCTTAATTTTTGCCACAAGCCTTCGCCAATTTAGCAAATTTTCCTTACCATGAAAATAATTTAATTTTTTGAAAAAATTGGCATTGATTTTAAATATCAAATACAAACAAACATCAAAATAAAAACTCTTAAATTATCATGATTGAAAGCTTGAAAATTTTCTCGTTTCAAGCGACAAGTTATACCATTATTTGCTCTAAAACAGCTCTCAGCAGAAAAACCGTATAAATTACATCCGCGGCGTAAACATATTTTATTTTTNGTTTAACAAGACAAATAGAAACGACGAATAAGGACGATGGATCACATGAATTAGAAATTTGCAAAACCGAAAACTCTGATGAATCATCGACGAATGAATCATCGGTAAGATCTATCTTTTGAAATTATGTTCTGATTTGCTCCATAAAATAACTATAACACAATTTTAATTTTAGGCAAATCCCACCAATGACTGTATTTCGTCGCAGCAGAAGGAAGATGAGGATATTCTGATAGATTGCGAGAGCGTATTGGTAAAACAGGAACATAAGCCCTCATTGACGACCATCTGCCAACCTACTGTAAAGGAAGAAAATCCAGCAAATGACTCGAATGGAAAGAAGCTTACAATTTTAATTAAAAAAGACTTCAATTACGATAGTAATCGTAAATTTACCAGAGAAGAAGCAACTTCAGCCCGACAAAAGAAAACGACACGCAAGGGCAGTAGACCACTTGAATGTGAAATTTGTCACAAATCGTTTAGATACCCATCTATTCTTGAAGGGCACGTGAATCAAGTACATGATAAAAACAAACCCTTCCAGTGTAACATTTGTCACAAATCATTTTCATACAAGGGTGATCTAAATAGACATACAAGGACAGTACACGATCGTAGCAAACCTTTTGAGTGTGAGATTTGTCACAAATCATTTGGACTAAAAGATCACCTCACTACACATGTAAATACAGTACATAATCGGAGCAAACTCTTTGAGTGTGAGATTTGTCATAAATCATTTGCAGAAAAAGGTAACCTGAATAAACACATAAATTCAGTACATAATCGGAGCAAACCCTTTCAGTGTAAAATTTGTCACAAATCATTTTCATACAAGGGTGATCTAAATAAACATACAAGGACAGTACACGATCGTAGCAAACCTTTTGAGTGTGATGTTTGTCACAAATCATTTGGAGTCAAAAGTACCCTCAAAACTCACATAAATGCAGTACATAATCGGAGCAAACCTTTTGAGTGTAAGATTTGTCACAAATCATTTGGACTAAAAGGTCACCTCACTAAACATTTAAATATAGTACATTTGCGGAGGAAACCCTTTGAGTGTGATACTTGTCACAAATCATTTAGATACAAAATCAGCTTCGAAATTCATATGAGTGCAGTACATATGAGTAGGAAACCTTTTGAGTGTGATATTTGTCACGAATCATTTGGATACAAGAGTGTACTCAAATATCACTTAAAATTAACTCATGAACGGAGAAAATTTGAATGTAAGACTTGTCACAAGTCATTTAGTACCAAGAAGCGTCTCGAAAATCACATTGATGCAGTACATATGGAAAGCAAATCTTAGAAATATGGAATTTATTTAAAATATCCGCTATGTAATTTTAGACAATCATTGTCATGAACAATGAAGCTTTTTAAACTGTTATTCATTTCGACGTGCCAGTGCTTAAAGATGCCACTTCACTGAGCAGACAAGAAAAATGCCATGTCGCGCTCCGAGTAGAAAGATGCCATTTCCCGCTCGATTCTGAAGGATGGTTTTTTCTGCGTTCGAAGTTACACCATATTCATGTTTCATGTTTTAGAAGTAAAATTGGATGCTATTCCAGAATCTGTCGCTGGAATGAAAATAATAGTTAAAGCTGAAGCTTCAAACGCAGAAATACCGAATGCCGAAGCGGCATATTTCAGCCCTGGCACGTCGATTTGGTCGTAACTGTAAAAATTTTTTATTCTTTCAAACATGAATTAAAATATCAATACGGTTTCGCGTGAATTTCTTCTTTGAAATACCGTTGTTTTCAAAAAACGAACTTTCAACATCCTATTTAATAGCTGAATTTTTTTTGCAAGTAACTGTTTATCAGAAAATCTGGAATTATTTCGACCGGCCTCCCAAAATCAATTATATATATCAATTATATTATACCTCTGTGTAGCGTATTCTTTGTTAATTGAATGACGAAAGATTTTTTTCAACTAAAATCGTATTCGACACGTACTTATATTCGTTGATAATTAAATCTAGTATAGAAATAAAATAAAGAAAGTTTCGAAATATAATACAAGTACCGACATAAATTATGAAAAATGTTTAATTAAAAAGAAAAATTATGTAACAGAAAAAATGTACAAATTTTTGAATCGTTCGATAAATTTTGGTCTACATATCTGCTGCTCAAACTTATTGTCAATTGTTTATTTTTATCATTAATACGTTGAAACAAAACCTACTTTGCATTTGATCACTTCATGTTTTAGTTTTTCTTATATTTTCACGTTGCTTCGAATAAAATATCATAACGGAGTGTTGATCCTTGATAGTTTGAACTGCAACCTATTTTATCGTAGAAAAATTACGAAAATCATCAAAAGCGAATGTCTTTAGCCTAACTTGAGCTTGAATGAACAGCAAGTTCGAATAGCTTCGAATCTATTCCAGTTGAGTGACAATTACGCGCCATTCGCATAAATTGGCCAGTGCGCAGCGCCGTCCTGCATCGCTGACCGATGAAAAAAGCGTCAGATTCAGCATGAAATTAATTCCGCAAAAAAATAAATATCAAACGTTAGTCAACTCAAAACGTTACACATGGTGTTGTGTTGTGTTTACATGATTGCTCAGGCGCTTGGCTCTACTCATTTCGGGAACGTGACGGGTGTAAGAGAAAGACGCATTGGCGTGGCCAGTATGGGTGCCGTGGGTGCCGCGGCACCCCCACTAATTTTGAAGGAGCGAAGGAGCTTCGTCACCCCCCACTTCTCTACCAATGCATTCAACTTAAGGAGGTTCCCTTGCAAAGTTCGCCAGAAGTACATACATCAATATTGATAGATTTTGACCTCCCGAATCCAATGGTATAGCTCACATATGCCCAAGCCAGGCAAAATCTCGAGAAAAACGCGATCAAAGTTTCGAAAATTAACATGGGCAACATAGGAATTCATGAAAATTTGAGCTACATTTACAATTTATGAAAAGAAATCAAAGTTCGCAGGGGAATGATTATATACAAATTGTAGAGAAAGTTCTTATCTTTCAAAAACCGTGTCTCAAAGTAGAGGTAGCCTGCCGTTTTTTCAATATTTTTTTAATAAAAGATGCGAAAACACGACTTTTTCGGCTCGTTTTAGGGCTAGCAGACGACAAGCCAGCTAGCTTAACCCATGTTACTGCGCGAACTCTCAATTGACTAGCGTGTTACCCGAGGGAACCTCCTTAAAAAAATTCGTTAACAATCTTTGAGCATCATTTGCTTTTGTGGTCAGTTCGTGAGCAGCAGTAATATTATCTTCTCTTGAAAACGTTTATCGAAGTGCTGTTAAAAATAAAAATGTCTCAAAAACCATCGGATAATCAATTTAAAAATCAAGTGGAAAGAAGAAAAAAGGAAGTAAAGCAGCATTCTGATTTTACCCCTTTTTCTAAACTTACATTATTTATAATTATCAATAAAAATTAAAAAATTTTGTACTCATCAAAGTCCAAAAAAAAATATATACAAGCTGAGCAGAAAATTTGAAATTGGCACCCACACTAGTTGAACCCTGGCCACGCTAATGGAAAGACGCAAGTAGTAATTTTAGTTTTGTTCAGTACACAATATGATCTTGTAAGGATCACAAGTGGTAAAATCATCAGGGATTGTAAATTTGTGTGGGCGGTTTAATCATTGATAACGATCAATATATCATCAGTATAGCTATGTTCACCCATCGTTTCTTTCAAACGTCAACGGATCCCGAAGACATGGAAGAGTTAAGCCAAGTCTATTTGGCAAAACTGAAGAGTTTACGAGAAGAGTTTAATTGGGAGAACGAACAGGACAGATATTCATTTTACTTCCGTCTTACACTGTTGCTGCAAGATTGGAAAGGCAACCTTCCGAATTTACGAGACTTTTTTCGAGGCGAAGAAATCGATTATTTTCTCTTGGAGGCCGTAAAAAAGAGGAAGGAAGAATTAGTCAACTTTGTGGTCCGCAACGGTTGCAGGGACGAGCCCGAGTTAAATGAAGATGGCAAGCCGTTGTCACTGCGTCGAACCACTGCACTACATCGTGCTGATGGACTTGAATTATTCTGCATCGTCCATGATTTATTCAAAATATACAACAGATTCGATTAGTATTACTCCGACGAATCTGGATACACACATTTCCACGTGGCCTTCAAGTACGGCCTCGACGATGTAATTCAGGAATTCCTCGAGCTCGGCCAGGACCCCAATTGCATCGTAAAAAAAACTGGTGACTCGCCACTACACTTGGTTCTGAATCAGGACTTTCGGGTCAAGAAGCTGATGGAGTTGCTGCTGAGACACGGTGCCGACCCGAATTTGGCCAATAAGGAGGGATGGACACCTTTGCACGTCATTTGCGAGTATTTCAATTCTCGATTGATCAAGGCATTTTTTGAAATCACCGATGCGAATCATCTAACGATACAGATCGACGCGAAGGACAAGTTGGGTCGTACACCTATTCAATTAGCTGTAGCGAGTCTCAGTCCAGATGTTGTCGATGTATTTTTGAATCGTGGCGCCAATATGAATTTCGCATATGAGGAGGGATTGACACATTTGCACTTAATTTTCAAGAAGTGTGAAAATGTTCAATGGATAAAGACATTTTTCGAGATCATCGATGAAAATAATCTAACGATAGAGATCGACGCAAAAGACAAGTTGGGTCGGACACCCCTTCAATAGGCCGCGGCGAGTCTCTTGCCCGACGCGGTCGAGATACTGTTGAATCGCGGCGCCGATCTGTCGAGCTTCGTTTTTCCCACCGTGAGTTACTTCGGCGAGGCATTCGAAGCGGCCAATAGTAGGATCGATTTAAAATTGAAACTAGCGTCCGGTGCCGTGGCGGTCGTCCATCGTCTCGAAAAAAGAGGATATGAAGACCGGTTACAAAGACAAGACTGAAATTGACAACGACGGCAAACCGATACTGCGTCGTAGCACGGCGATTCATTTCGCGGCTAAAAACGGTTACAACCTCGTCGCCCCTCTCCTCTTCAAAATATACGACAGTTTCAACGCGAACTACGTCGACGAGGACGATTCCGCCGGCGGCCTGACGCATTTTCACGCGGCCTGCGCGTTCGGCTACGAGAAGATCGTCGAGAAATTTCTCGAGGCAGGCCAGGATCCGAACTGTCCGCTTTCCGACGATCCGCCCTTACACTTGGCTCTCAAGCACGAACACAAGAAGGTGGTCGAGGTGCTGCTGAGACGCGGCGCCAATCCCAATTCCACGAGCAGCGCGGGGCAGAAATCGCTGCAAATAGCCGTGGCGAATCTCGCCCCGGATTCGGTCAAGCTGCTGTTGGATCACGGCGCCGATCTGGCCGACTTCGCTTTCCCCGCGGAGAGTCAATTCAACGAGCGGCTCGCGACTGTCACGAGCAAAGGGCACAGTACGAAGCTGGAAATAGCTTCTCTGATTATGATGATCGTGGAGCACCTTGAGAGACGAGGATACGCATACGCACCGAACCGAAGTGACGCGCTGACGATCGTTAAACTTTTATCCAAGTACGAATGGTTCAACAAGTTCAGTATTGAATATTGGCTCAGCAACGCAGACTTCGTGATCAAGGCGAAGGAGTTGAAGATGAAGCCGAGCCTGTCGCTCTACGACTTCGTTCGTCTGCCAGCGGAACAGGCGACGAAATTAGTCACTTATAAGGAGTACTTCAAGTTCGTGCAGAAGTCCAGTTATTGTTCACTAACAGAACCTCTCGGCCAGACGTGCTCGGCATACATCTTCGAAATTATGTTGAATGGATTTTGCCGCCGATGGGCCAAGGCATTTGCCGTGCCATTAGAGGATTCATCTTGTGAAGACATTATAAAGAACATATGCTCGGCAGCAAAAACCATTGCATAAATTACACAACAAGGCCCAAACGCATGATGCCGTTGGCAAAGGTATTTTCATCAATTATTGTCTAAATTCCGTAAATAATAGTTTTCTTCAAATCTTTTTCTTTATTTTATTTTCTAGGCAAAGCAAGGTAATACACGAAGAATTATTAACAATGTTGAAATATTTTTGTAAGTTTGCACAATTAACATTATGTATAAAATAAAAATTTTAGACAGTAAACATATAGTTAAGAATGTAATTAATAATGATATGAATCGTAAACTTTAAGTTATAAAATGAAAGCATCCTATTGAATTTAAAAAATAAACTGAAATATCTTAACTTAGCGTCTATTGTATAAGAGAAAGTTTATTCAGTCATGGACATCAAAGCACATTGGCTAAATGATTGTTATTACTGATATATCACACAATGATAAATTAGTCAGCCTATATTAGAAGATTGCAGCAAAATATGCATTGAATATAACATGTACGGGCAAATGCAAAGCATACTTTTTAAAACGTGTGCTTTGCTTCATATTTTAGTACAGATAAGTCTTTAGCTTAATTTTTGCCACAAGCCTTCGCCAATTTAGCAAATTTTCCTTACCATGAAAATAATTTAATTTTTTGAAAAAATTGGCATTGATTTTAAATATCAAATACAAACAAACATCAAAATAAAAATTCTTAAATTATCATGATTGAAAGCTTGAAAATTTTCTCGTTTCAAGCGACAAGTTATACCATTATTTGCTCTAAAACAGCTCTCAGCAGAAAAACCGTATAAATTACATCCGCGGCGTAAACATATTTTATTTTTCATCAATTCATAAAATTTTAACGCAAAATTTTCCCCACCCAATATTATATATCTCTCACTACTCCTTGTAATGATATTTATTTATAAGGAAAATGAGAATCATTCCTCTTCATAAATTGGTATGGCGTATACTACACACGTGCGCAAGTCTAAGCTCATTTATGCTGCAAATCGAGTCTCGAGCCTCATCAAAATTCGAATTAAAAAATCTAGTGAACGCATGTGATTTTATTTTCAGCACACGTGTTTCTATATGTAAATGTATTCGTCCAGTTATCATCAAGTACAGCCCTTTGAGAAAACGATAAATTTTAAAAAGGCGTTCGGTCAAGGAGGCGAAAAAACTATTCACGTATTCAGATTGCTAGAAGTTTGCTTTGATCCAAGAATATTGGTATCATTCGTATCAAAAAGAGCATAGAAGGGCTAGTATTATCTATTGTAATGACCCAGTCACAAGGGTCATAGCATCCCTACGGCCACGAGTAGATAAAACACCGGGGCGGCAAATCAGCCCGGTGCAACACCAAGTCCCGAACGGGGATGCTAGTGTACGGCCGCACATGTACGCCGCGGTACGCACTTGTGTGAGTGCGCACACGCAGGGAGCAGCGCGCGCTTGTGTGAAGCATAAATCGCGCTTGCAAGCTACAAGTCGAAATTTATGATGCCTCCGTTACCGGGAATTCGATAGGGTAACCGGCTCGGGCAATTCGCAGAAAAAAACGGATGTTGGCAAAAATCAGGTCACAACTTGCGAGCGAAGAAACTAAGGGGACGGCTCAAGCCTTCGCCTAAGATTCCCAGAAACGACCGATGGGACAAAACGCGCAGCCCGCAAGCTCTAGAGGACACATAAAGTTCACGGCAACCCTCGCTCAGACAAAGAGGGTACGGCAGCAACCTACAGTATATAAACCGAGACTCAGAGAGTCTCGGGGCCAGTGTTCATTCTCGGTTCGAAGCGTGCACGTCGACGCTCGTCGGTTCGGTATTCACGTACATCTTTACTTCTCGAGTCAAAGTTCGCAGTTTACTTGAAAGCCAACCTGTTGCTCGGCTCCGACCAGATAAAATCAGCGCGAGTTAGTTATTCGAAAAGTACGCGAGTCCGTCCAGCTGCAACCACCGACGCTGCCCAGCACGCCGACGCCGTGCCGGCTTCATCGACACCGAGAACACCCTCATCGACACCGAGGACACCCTCGTCGACGCCGATCTCCTCGACGACGATCTCCTCGACGCCGATCACCCTCACCGACGCCGCACCAGCCAAGGCCAGGCCGTCACGGGCCCGCCCTACAACAGCCACCACACCGACGCCTTCAGTCGCCGCACCGAACGTCGCCGCCGAAGATAAGAACACCGGTACATAGTAAGCAACATTTATGTAACTAGGATTAAGATTAAATAAACAGTCTCGTGTGTGTGAATCCAAGTCCCTGTGTTATTCATTTCTCCACCACGCCCCACCCAAGAGACATAGAGTCGAGTCATTAGCTTTCAGTCAGCTGGCATATTTTATTAATAATAAATAGATGGTCAAACTAGCCATCACACTATCTATGCGAGTTAGTATCGATTGGTTTCTTACCGAGTTGGTGTACAACTCATCGTTGTACAAAACTGTCTACGCTCAGTCGCTATTGATCGTTTCATGCTGTAAGAAGTGTTTACAAATAATATCCGTACACGTTTGTTGGTGAAAATTAGATACGGTGTTGGCTACTCGAGGCATCTAATTTTGAATAATTTCAAGATAAATTATAATAACGAAGCGATGGAAAGCAGAAAGGATTTAGTTAGGTATACACTTTTTCATGCTTGCCAAAGATATATTTTTAAACGATCGTTTCTTTAGCATTAAAGAGGAGCCTCGTGACAATTGGGAAGATGTTGCCAACGAGAGTGTCGATCCGGGGGTCTCGGTCAAAACCGAAAACTCTGATGAATCATCGGTAAGATCTATCTTTTGATATTATGATCAGAATTTCTCCATAAAAGAACTATAACACAATTTTAATTTTAGGCAAATCCCACCAATGACTGTATTTCGTCGCAGCAGAAGAAAGATGAGGATATTCTGATAGATTGCGAGAGCGTATTGGTAAAACAGGAACATAAGCCCTCATTGACGACCATCTGCCAACCTACTGTAAAGGAAGAAGATCCGACAAATGACTCGAATGGAAAAAGGCTTACAATTTTAAATAAAAAAGGATCCGATTGCGATAATAACAGTCAATTTACGGTGGGAGAAGAATCGAGTTCAACAAGACAAATAGAAACGACGAATAAGGACGATGGATCACATGAATTAGAAATTTGCAAAACCGAAAACTCTGATGAATCATCGACGAATGAATCATCGGTAAGATCTATCTTTTGAAATTATGTTCTGATTTGCTCCATAAAATAACTATAACACAATTTTAATTTTAGGCAAATCCCACCAATGACTGTATTTCGTCGCAGCAGAAGGAAGATGAGGATATTCTGATAGATTGCGAGAGCGTATTGGTAAAACAGGAACATAAGCCCTCATTGACGACCATCTGCCAACCTACTGTAAAGGAAGAAAATCCAGCAAATGACTCGAATGGAAAGAAGCTTACAATTTTAATTAAAAAAGACTTCAATTACGATAGTAATCGTAAATTTACCAGAGAAGAAGCAACTTCAGCCCGACAAAAGAAAACGACACGCAAGGGCAGTAGACCACTTGAATGTGAAATTTGTCACAAATCGTTTAGATACCCATCTATTCTTAAAGGGCACGTGAATCAAGTACATGATAAAAACAAACCCTTCCAGTGTAACATTTGTCACAAATCATTTTCATGCAAGCGTAATCTAAATAGACATACAAGCACAGTACACGATCGTAGCAAACCTTTTGAGTGTGAGATTTGTCACAAATCATTTGGACAAAAAGATCACCTCACTACACATGTAAATACAGTACATAATCGGAGCAAACTCTTTGAGTGTGAGATTTGTCATAAATCATTTGCAGAAAAAGGTAACCTGAATAAACACATGAATTCAGTACATAATCGGAGCAAACCCTTTCAGTGTAACATTTGTCACAAATCATTTTCAAACAAGGGTGATCTAAATAAACATACAAGGACAGTACACGATCGTAGCAAACCTTTTGAGTGTGAGATTTGTCACAAATCATTTGGACAAAAAAATACCCTCACTACACATGTAAATACAGTACATAATCGGAGCAAACCTTTTGAGTGTGAGATTTGTCACAAATCATTTGGACTAAAAGGTCACCTCACTAAACATTTAAATGAAGTACATTTGCGGAGGAAACCCTTTGAGTGTGACATTTGTAAAAAATCATTTGCAGCAAAAGGTAACCTCACATTTCACATAAATTCAGTACATAATCAGAGCAAACCCTTTGAGTGTGAGATTTGTCACAAATCATTTGCAGAAAAAACTAAGCTCACTAGACATGTAAATATAGTACATTATCAGAGCAAACCTTTTGAGTGTGAGATTTGTCACAAATCATTTGGACTTAAACAACACCTCAAATCTCACACGAGTGCAGTACATTTGCGGAGGAAGCCCTTTGAGTGTGACATTTGTCAAAAATCATTTGCAGAAAAAGGTAACCTCACATTTCACATAAATTCAGTACATAATCAGAGCAAACCCATGTGATCCTATTTGAGTGTACTCAAATATCACTTAAAATCAACTCATGAACGGAGAAAATTTGAATGTAAGACTTGTCACAAGTCATTTAGTACCAAGAAGAGTCTCGAAAATCACATTAATGCAGTACATATGGAAAGCAAATCTTAGAAATATGGAATTTATTTAAAATATCCGCTATGTAATTTTAGACAATCATTGTCATGAACAATGAAGCTTTTTAACCTGTTATTCATTTCGACGTGCCAGTGCTGAAAGATGCCACTTCACTGAGCAAACAAGAAAAATGCCATGTCGCGCTCCGGGTAGAAAGATGCCATTTCCCCGCTCGATTCTGAAGGATGGTTTTTTCTGCGTTCGAAGTTACACCATATTCATGTTTCATGTTTTAGAAGTAAAATTGGATGCTATTCCAGAATCTGTCGCTAGAATGAAAATAATAGTTAAAGTTGAAGCTTCAAACGCAGAAATACCGAATGCCGAAGCGGCATATTTCAGCCCTGGCACGTCGATTTGGTCGTAACTGTAAAAATCTTTTATTCTTTCAAACACGAATTAAAATATCAATACGGTTTCGCGTGAATTTGTTCTTTGAAATAGGGTAGTCACACCAATCAATGACCGGGTACCAGTGAATGACCATTTTGGAATAATCATATGAAAAACAATTAAAAATACATTTGTATGGACGTTATTTAATTCTATAGTGAATGATGCATCTTGTTTTCTATATTCGAACATAATTTAACAAGGAAAAACAATAATTATTGCTCATCCAAAAGTGGTCATTTACTGGTCGAAAGCGGTCAATCACTGGTATAAGTACCCTACCGTTGTTTTCAAAAAACGAACTTTCAACATCCTATTTAATAGCTGAATTTTTTTTCCAAGTCACTGATTATCAGAAAATCTGGAATTATTTTGACCGGCCTCCCAAAATCAATTATATATATCAATTATATTATACCTTTGTGTATCGTATTCTTTGTTAATTGAATGACGAAAGATTTTTTTCAACTAAAATCGTATTCGACACGTACTTATATTCGTTGATAATTAAATCTAGTATAGAAATAAAATAAAGAAAGTTTCGAAATATAATACAAGTTCCGACATAAATTATGAAAAATGTTTAATCAAAAAGAAAAATTATGTAACAGAAAAAATGTACAAATTTTTGAATCGTTCGATAAATTTTGGTCTACAGATCTGCTGCTCAAACTTATTGTCAATTGTTTATTTTTATCATTAATACGTTGAAACAAAACCTACTTTGCATTTGATCACTTCATGTTTTAGTTTTTCTTATATTTTCACGTTGCTTCGAATGAAATATCATAACGGAATGTTGATCCTTGATAGTTTGAACTGCAACCTACTTTATCGTAGAAAAATTACGAAAATCATCAAAAGCGAATATCTTTAGCCTAACTTGAGCTTGAATGAACAGCAAGTTCGAATAGCTTCGAATCTATTTCAGTTGAGTGACAATTACGCGCCATTCGCATAAATTGGCCAGTGCGCAGCGCCGTCCTGCATCGCTGACCGATGAAAAAAGCGTCAGATTCAGCATGAAATTAATTCCGCAAAAAAATAAATATCAAACGTTAGTCAACTCAAAACGTTACACATGGTGTTGTGTTGTGTTTACATGATTGCTCAGGCGCTTGGCTCTACTCATTTCGGGAACGTGACGGGTATAAGAGAAAGACGCAAGTAGTAATTTTAGTTTTGTTCAGTACACGATATGATCTTGTAAGGATCACAAGTGGTAAAATCATCAGGGATTGTAAATTTGTGTGGGCGGTTTAATCATTGATAACGATCAATATAGCATCAGTATAGCTATGTTCGCCCATCGTTTCTTTGAAACGTCAACGGATCCCGAAGACATGGAAGAGTTAAGCCAAGTCTATTTGGCAAAACTGAAGAGTTTACAAGAAGAGTTTAATTGAGAGAACGAACAGGACAGATATTCATTTTACTTCCGTCTTACACTGTTGCTGCAAGATTGGAAAGGCAACCTTCCGAATCTACGAGACTTTTTTCGAGGCGAAGAAATCGATTATTTTCTCTTGGAGGCCGTAAAAAACAGGAAGGAAGAATCAGTATATTTCGCGGTCCGCAGTGGTTACACGGACGAGCCAGAGGTAGACGAGGACGGCAAGCCTCAGTTGCGTTGTACTACTGCAGTGCACTGGGCAGCTCGAAAAGACTGCAACTCCATCATTCCTAAACTTTTTAAAATATACAACAGATTCGACGTGAATTACACCGTCGAATCTGGATACACACATTTCCACGTGGCCAGCAAGTACGGCCTCGACGATGTAATTAAGAAATTCCTCGAGCTCGGACAGGATCCCAATTGCATCGTACCAGAAACAGGTGACTCGTCACTACACTTGGTTCTAAATCAGGACTTTCGGGTCAAGAAGCTGATGGAGTTGCTGCTGAGACACGGTGCCGACCCGAATTCGGCCAATAAGGAGGGATTGACACCTTTGCACATAATTAGCGACAATTCTCGATTGATAAAGACATTTTTCGAAATCACCGATGCGAATCATCTAACGATAGAGATCGACGCAAAAGACAAGTTGGGTCGGACACCCCTTCAATTGGCCGTAGTGAGGCTCTTTCCCGATATTGTCGACGTAATCTTGGATCGTGGCGCTGATCTATCGAGCTTCGTTTTCCCAAAAGAGAATTATTTCGGCCTGCGATATGAAAATGTTAGTTGGCCATATTTGATTTTTATGCTGGTGTTTCCCGCTCTGACCATCGTCGAACTTCTCGAGAAAAGAGGATACGAACTGAAACGAAGGGACGCCTTGACGATCATAAAATTTTTCGACAAGAACGAAATTTTCAAAAAGCTAGTGCATCATGTTGAAGGTTTGCGCGAGAAGGAAAAATTCATGGAATTGGCCAAAAAATATAGGTTCAATTCAAACCTGTTGTTGCACGAGTTGATTTAGCTACCGCCCGAAGAGATTAAAAAAGTACTCACGAGTATGAACTTGGGCAGTTCCAACATTGGCATTTTTCCTTCTTTTGCTGAAAATGGCGAGGCGTGTGCAATGCACCTTTCCGACATGATGTAGAGAAGATTTTTCCGACGTTGGGCCCTGGAACCTGTGCTGGAGTTGACGCGCCACTACCAAATGCCGATTCTCTGCTGCGAGATAATCGTGAAAAAATTGTCGAACAAAGATTTAATGAATATTTGCTTCGCCGTCGCGGATCAAGGCGAAGCCTAGAAAACATAGGTGAAGACATGGACTCCATTGTTTTACTAATTCTTTTATGTGCAACGAGTCAAGATAAATGTACACGGTGTGGACGAAAGCTAAAAATGATGAACACATAAGCTTGATCTCATTGTTTTAAAATTCTAATAAATTAAGAATTTCTCCATGAAATAGCGCTGAATACAATTCATGAATTAATTGAACAAAAGTCTTATTTGTAAAAAATTGGTTCAACGGCTAGATTGGGCTTGATTTTTATTTTAAATAATAGTAATTATATGTATTCTATAAATTTTATGTTTTCGCGACAAAATTCTGGAACTTCAAATGCCTTTATTAATAATCTTTCAACATTTTTAAAAAACTTTTTTATGAAATTGGATGAAATAAAGTAAGTCATGCATGAAAGTACAGAGCATTGTAACAATAGATTAAAGTATAATATGAGTATCAATTCGTCTTTGTAAAATTCACATTCTCTATTTTCTTGTATCGTTTAATGTTACTTATTTTTTGTCATTCGAATAAATAAATTGAAAAAAATTAATTAATTAATTTACTTTGATTATAATTATTTTGTGTTTTAGTTCGATTTTTTAGCCTTTCACGTACGATATTTAATTCACGACTTTTTACCCAACTTTCTAACATAAAATCGAGTACCTACATATGATATTCTTGATTTCTGTCATCCGCATTATAGGTATCAGAGGATCATGGAAACGTAGCAAAATTTATTATCGTCTAACTGCCATTTTACGTTCTAAAACGATCCAATATCGTGTAACAGCCGAGCTCGCAACAAAAATAACTGAAATTCAATTGATCGTTGTAAAATTTAATAACCCCCCTCGCTCCGTACCTGTCGCTCTACGACCTGACCCGATTACGACCCAAAGAGGCCGAAAAACTACTTATACGTACTCGGACTATTACAAGTTCACGCTCGAGCAGGATTTAAAGTCGCTCCCCGCGGCGCATTACGTGGCGTGTGTTGCACACGAGGTACCGACTACCCATTCTCTGCTGCCGAGCGATCATCGAGAATCTCGAGAGCGAGGATTTATTGAAAATATGCTTGGCAACGGAGATCGATGAATTCAAGTGAACTGAGCAAAAATTTATGATACTTTTTACAAAGATATTTTGGGTAAATTTTTGTAGAATTTTCTAAATCATAATTTTTCTTTTTTATCTTTAAACTATATTTATTTTTTTATGCATGATTATTAACATGTATCAAATAAAAATGTATTACATTTGGAAATAAAATAAATGAGATAAATTGTACACCTGACAGCATTGAAGCAAGCTTTTGTATTCAACTTTTTATTTAAGAAAACCTAGCCCTAAATTGTAGATGCGTTGGGGTACGTTAAAAAAAATTAAGTAACGATATGATTATGAATAAACGTTTCAATAACAAGAAAAAAAATTTAATAACATAAAGGTAGGAGAATGTTCTAGATGACAGATAAACTTGATTTATCGGTCTGTCAAATTATGAATTCAAAATTTTTTCGTAATTCTCAACATATTTTCATTTGTAATGAGTAAAAAATATGGAACAATCAAGTAAATACAATCTCTTTTTCAATTATAAAAAAGAAATTTATTTTTTTGTTGATGTATTTTAATGAAATTCATTTTTTATATAAATTAGAATTTATTATTAAAATTACTTGCAAGTGTTATTGCTCGATCAAGAAAAAGAGCCTAACTATTATGGCTTTTAAAAATGAAAAAAGGTGAACGTATTGAGGGAATATAATAAAGTAAAATATGCTTGTCTTGCGGTCATTAGCGTAGCGGAAGAAAATATTTAAATGAGTATTAAATTTTTTCATTGTGCATATTTAACATGAATCTATTCACTCGATTTTTTGTCGAATTCAATTTTGTCCGTCGGAAGTTTTTTTGAAGTAATTATGTTTTAGATGACCAAAACATTCCGAGGAGAAATCGTCGTCAAGTTAGAGTTTTTCTAATATTGTAAAAATGATGTATAAACAGATAAATCGATACCTTAATGTAAATAATATAATTATTAACGACTTTAACATAATCCCTCGACACAATGATCATGTTTATAGTAAAAACAAATTAGTTTGAATATTGTCTTTCTCGATGAAACAACCCAACAATATACCAAAAGATAAAATTAACTTATTCAATTTCTGTTGTACTACATAGAAGAATCCATAGTTTAATTTTGACATCAAAATGGATAAAAGTGAGGAGAAATCCGAGGAAGTTACCTGTCAAGATCATTCACGTGAGCACGACATTGTTGTTCCAGACGACAAAAAATTTATTAGTGATATTTGTCAGGAGACATTTACTTTAGAATCAAGCCTTATAACACACCAAGACACAATTCATAATTATCAGAAAAATTACGCATGCGACAAGTGCGAAAAAAAATTTGAGTTTCGAAGTCATTTGAGTAGACACCAAATATCAGAACACAAAAGCCGCAAAGAGTTTGCATGCGACCAGTGCGACAAGAAATTTATTAAAAAATCGACTTTGTTCACACACCAAAAATTAATGCACAAAGATCGTGAAGACTTGACATGCAACAAGTGCGAAAGAAAATTTGAAAATAAATCAACTTTACTTAAGCATAAGAAAATATTCCACGAAGTTTTCAAAGATTATTTATGTGAAATTTGTGCGAAAAGATTTGAAAACAAAAAGAGTTTGCTCTTGCACATCAGGAGAGTCCACAAGTATACAGCAGATTTTGAAAGTGAAAAGGGCGAGAAATTCCATCTGAAAACAGTACACGAAGACCGCAAAGATGTCGCCTTCAAAGTCTACAAAGAATACGTATGTGAAAATTACGGAAAGAAATTGGGAAATAAGTCGAATTTACTCTTGCATATAAGAACTATCCACGGGGATCGCAAAGACTTTGCGTGCAACAATTGTGAGAAGGCATTTGGTCGCAAAGGGCATTTGTTACAGCACCAAAAGACAGTACACGAAGGTCGCAAGGATTATGCATGTGACAAATGCGAGAAAAAATTTACACGAAAACTGACCTTGCTCACCCACTTGAAGACAGTACACGAAGGTCGGAAAGATTTCGCATGTGGTGAGTGCGAGAAGAAATTTGCACAAAAGTCGAGTTTGCTTTACCATCAAACGACAGTACACGACGGTCGCAAAGATTACGTATGTGACAAGTGCGAAAAGAAATTTGGATATAAATGCTTTTTGCTCTACCACCAAAGAAAGGTACACGAGGGTCGCAGAAATTATGCATGCGATAAGTGCGAATGGAAATTCATATGTAAATCAGATTTGTTGAAGCACCAAAAAATAGTCCACGAAGGTTGCAAAGATTACGCGTGCGACAAGTGCGAGACGAAATTTGTGAGTAAAGCAGATTTTTTGAGGCACGAAACAACAGTACACGAGGGTCGCAAAGATTTCGCATGCGACAAGTGCGAAAAAAAATTTGGAAGAAAATCGACTTTGCTTATCCACCAGAAGGCAGTACACGATGGTCGCAAAGATTATGCATGCGACAAATGCGAAAAAAAATTTGGACAAAAATCAGTTTTGGTAAAGCACATAAAGACAGTTCATGAGGGTCGCAGAGATTTCGCATGCGATAATTGTGAAAAGAAATTTGGATATAAAGCGCATTTGCTCTACCACCAAAAAGCATTCCACGAAGGTCGTAAGAAACGTGGTTGAGACAAATGCGACAAATAGTGATAATTATTAATTGACAATTGTAAATATGTTGATAATTATATATACGTTTATCTATAAAATTTCAATAAAAATTGTGTCAACATGATTGTGCTCTAAGTGGAACTAATTTTAATTTCTATAAATGCTTATTAAATTTTTATTTATTTGGTTCCTACAGCTATTCATGCAACCATAAACGATAGTTTTTTTCACATCTTGTTTAGAGCTGTGACACGGTCAAACTTTTAGTTGATTACTGAACTTTTGATAAACCTCGCGTGATCATATACGACCTCCTATTGATCAAGCATGCACTAGTGGAAGATTTCGATGAACTTACTGACGGACTTAATTTAATTTAAACCAAAAAATGTTATCTGTATTTCTTCAAAGTTAATTGAAGCTCTAGTAATTGTTTTATCCTCATCTCTGTGCAAAGTTTTATATTGAAGCTCTTCGAAATGCGTGAGCGGTGAATGAAAATTTACGTGAAGGTGACACTTCTTCTAAAAATCTTAACTGAGAGAACGAACTAGAACGATGCAAATTTTACCGTGTTTTTAACTTTTTAATCTTCAGATGGTACTATTATTATATTCCAAATATCTCAGAAATTTTTCGGAAGGAAGAAATTGATTGGCTCCTAGTGGAGTGTGTGAGGACCGCAGCAAATCCATGGCGATTCATTAATTTTGTGATCAGCACCGGCTGCAGAAACAAACCCGGCGTAGATAAACGTAGATAATAAAAATGGTTGTTTTTGGTGAATTAAGGCATTTTGGGCCTATTTTCCACCTTTTTTGCACGTTTTTGGACACATATTGTTGTCGACATTGCGTTAAACTTTATGACACATCACAAAACTTTATCAGGCACATCTTTAGGAAGCTTTTCACATAGTTTTGGAAAAAAAAGTCTGGTTCGAACTCGATTAGATTTCTTGTTTTTATCAAGTGGCTTACGCTCTATAACCTCACAGGTTACTCCAATCACTTTAGAATGAATTTGTTCTGAAAATTTAGACAATTTCCAACAAAAAAGCTCTCGGGCACTTTTACTTTTGAATCATTCTACACTGATCCAGGAATTATTTGAATATTTGCGATTTTTCATGAATTTAAAAAAAAACGCTAAAATTGCCAACTTTGGGTCTCTGAAAAGTGTCATAGAAGACCCCAATTTTTCTTAAAATTTTTTGGAACAAATCTGACATTCGAAACAATAAGTTTTTCATATTCCCAGGAAAAAAATTTTTTTGGGACTTTTCTCTTTTTCCTAGCCTAATACAGTAATATACTAATTTTTAGATGTCGATTTGGTTTAGAATCGGTCATAATTAATAAAAACTTACTTGTTTATATTATTATGTTATCAGCGTTACCGAGGAAACAACAATCGATATACGTAAGCAGTAGTTTGTGAAATAACCGCTAGGCGGCAAGCTTACCAAAAGCTCCTTACTCATAAATAAACTATGGCTGAAATTTCTTAAGAAGAGAGGAGACTGACAACGGCCTTGATTTAAGTTTAATTTAAAAAATGTTTATTTTTTCCATAATCTCAAAATAATATCATCAATGTGAATAAATTCAAAACTAGCCACAGCAAGGCTAAAGCAAATATACATCAACAATTACGGCTAGTGGAAACATGGGCGCCTACATTGTCTACAAAAAATTTTGTACATTGATTTAATTCGTGCTGAGCACGCAAATGTATTACACCATCATAATAAAAACATATATAAAAACTAAAACTAACGGCCTAGCGTTATAAATGGCTTTAGGCGTAACTAATGATGGCCTTGCTACCGCTTTTGGTGAATCCTGCGGGGCTTCGCTTACATGTTCTGTTGCTTGTGCGCAATGTATACATATACTTACGTCGTAACTGTAGTTGTGTCAGTAGGAGTAGCAGTAAACTTTGAACCATAGCAAAATAGTTTAAAGTTAACCTTAATGACCCTTAACCCGATTGAAAATTAAGTAAAACAATAAAGTTGAGTGTGATTCTACTAAAAGTTCACAAGTTTTATTCATATAGCTATAAAAGATCAACAATTTTATTCATTACTGCAGTATATTATCGAGGCCAATAATCGATCTATACACACGTCATAAGTATGAAAATATTATAAATAGTATATTAAAAAAATTATACTACAGCGTCATTATTAATTACTTTTCTTAGTCCAATTGAAATGATATATGAGCAAGTTTCAAGACACACAACAGCTCAAGAATAGAAAACAGAAAACGAAGTAACAGAAATTTGCTTGTAAAACCTATTAATTTAACTCAAAAAAATTAATGAAAATATGGTTTCGTTAGGAAATGTTCTCAGCTTTCTCATGTTGCAGTCAGAACACACATAATATCTAAATATTGCATGTGGGTTGTACTTCTTTCAAAGGCCAATGCAAGATCGAACCAAACCATGTTATATCTAGGTGTACAAAGTACCCTCAAAAAGTTTGGAGCAAATCCATGAGGCGCAGGTGGGGCGGTTTCCTTGTTTAAGTAGTACGCAAAATCTGAAATCACCACAACTTCAGTGTACAAAGCTGTAATGATATTTGATATCAGGTAAGACACAATCGTTTTGGCACAATGTTTATTGAAATTTCGTACTTGAACAAGTGTGTAAGTGTTTACAATCGTCAAATATCATTTGTTTTTCGAATTTGTGGCTATAAAAATTTTTTGCAATTTTCGTGTCCTGTCCTTTAATGCTTTAACAAATCCGATTAACTTCTCAAATGCTATTCGTTTTTGTCCTGTGCTTGATCTTTGCGAGCTTCATGGACTGACTTTAGGTGAGAGAGCAAGCCCCATTTATGTGCAAAATTCTTCTTGCACTTGTTACACAAATGATCTTTCCGACCCTCATGGACTGTCTTTTGGTGTCTGGTCAATTTCGATTTTTCTCCAAATTTCTTTTCACACGTATCGCATGTGAAATCTTTGCGACCTTCGTGTACTATCCTCTTGTGTCTAATCAAGATACGTTCTTCCGTGAATTTCTTCTCACACTTGTCGCACCCATAATCTTTGCGACCTTCGTGTACAATCATTTTGTGGATGATTAATTTCCCTTTTACTCCAAATTTCTTATCGCAAACATCGCACGTGTGATCTTTACGACCTTCGTGTACTATCTTTTGGTGAGAGGACAAATGCGATTTGTGTCCAAATTTCTTTTCACACGTGTTGCACGTGAAATCTTTACGACCTTCGTGGACTGTTTTTTGGTGGATGAGCATCTCCCTTTTTGTTCCAAATTTCTTTTCGCACTTGTCGCATTCGTGATCTTTCCGACCTTCATGGACTGCTTTATGGTGCATTATCAAATTGCTTTGAGTCCCAAATTTCTTTTCGCATTGGTCACATGCAAAATCTTTAAGACCTTCATGAATTGTTTTTTGGTGTCTCAGCAAACTCTCTTTCTGTCCAAATTTTTTCTCGCATTTCTCGCATTGAAAATCTTTACGATCTTCGTGGACTGCCTTGCGGTGAGTGAGCAAATGTGACATTTGTCCAAATTTCTTCTCACAATTGTTGCACGCGTAATCTTTGCGACCTTCATGGACTGTTTTTTGGTGTCTTGACAAGTCTGATTTACATGCAAATTTCTTTTCACACGTGTTGCATGTGGAATCTTTACGACCTTCGTGTATTGTCTGTTGGTGGATGAGCATATCCCTTTTTGCTCCAAATTTCTTCTCGCACTTGTCGCATCGGTAATCTTTTCGACCTTCGTGGACTGCTATTTGGTGCTTGAGCAAATTGGGTTTTTGTCCAAATTTCTTCTCACAATTGTCGCACGCGTAATCTTTACGACTTTCGTGGACTGTTTTTTGGTGGACAAGTAAATGCTCTTTACGTCCAAATCTCTTCTCGCACTTGTCGCATTGAAAATCTTTACGATCTTCGTGGACTACCTTGCGGTGAGTGAGCAAATGTGATATTTGTCCAAATTTCTTCTCACAATTGTTGCACGCGTAATCTTTTTTACCTTCATGGACTGTTTTTTGGTGTCTTGACAAATCTGATTTACATGCAAATTTCTTTTCGCATTTGTCGCATGCGAAAATTTTGCGACCTTTGTGTACTATTTTTTTATGCAAAAGCAAATTTGATTTTTGTTCAAATGTTTTTTCACACTTGTCGCATGGGTAATCTTTATGACCTTTTTTTTGAGTCTTCAGGTGAAATGATAAATGTGATTTTTTCCTAAATTTCTTCTCGCACTTGTTGCTTGTTGCGAAATCTTCGCGATCCTCATGCGCTTTCGTGATGTGCAAGAACAAACTCCTTTTGTTTTCAAATCTCTTCGCACAAATTTCACATAAGTAATTCTTGAATACTTCGTGGAATATTTTTTTGTGCTTAAGTAAATTTGATTTATTTTCAAATTTCCTCTCGCACTTGTTGCACGAGTAATCTTCGCGATCTTTATGTACCAGTTTTTGGTGAGTAAACAAACTTGATTTCTTTACAAATTTCTTATCGCACTTGTCGCATGAAAAATCTTTGCGGTTTTTGTGTACTGATATTTGGTGTCTACTCATATGACTTCGGAACTCGAATTTCTCGTCACACTTGTCACACGCGTAATTTTTCCGATTATTGTGAATTGTGTCTTGGTGTGTTATCATGTTTGATTCTAGTGTAAATGCGTCCTGGCAAGTATCACAAATGAATTGTTTGTTGTCTAAAAAAACAATTTCATGTTCACTTAAATTATCCTTTGATATAACTTTTTCGATTTTCTCCTCACTTTTGTACATTTTGGTATATGAATTAGACCATGGATCTTTCTATTTAGTACCACCGAAATTGAACTAGTAAAAGGTATCTTGGGACTATGACTTGTTTCATCAAGAAAGACAACATTCAAACTATTTTGTTTTTACTTCAAACATGACCAGCGTTTCTAGAGATAGGTCTACAATATAGGTTTGTAATTTATTTACAATTAAATTATCGATTCAACTGTGTGTACATAATCTTTACAATATTAGAAAGAATTTTAACTTGACGCCAATTTTTTGTCCTTCTAAAACCAAATACTTCAAAAAAATTCCTGCAGACAACATCAAGTTCCCTTAAAAAACATTGAGTAAATAGATATTGTGTAAAATAATATTGTGTAAAATAAAATATTTTGATATTCATTCCAAAATTTGCCGCCCTCGCGCCATGACGCGATTTTCATGCTGCATAACCCGCCGCCACTCGTTTTCATCAAGGTAAACTACTTTTTCCGTGAGATCGCAGTGGATATTAAAAAGTACCATCCCTACGTAAACTTCCATTTGCCGCTAAGTGGAGGCAGTTGATTTTTGAAAATTCGGAAAATTAGATTGGAAGAGACATTGAAATAAGATTTTGGGTTACAATCTTGAGAACTTTACATTATGATCATGATAAGACTTAATTAAGACACCTTCCAGTAATTTTGAAGAATGTAGAAAACATTTTTGGGTTTTAGTTAAAAACTTTTATATAATTATTATACATAAATATTTACAATCGTCAGAATAAAATGAATGAAATTCACAATATTATCTGAGAAACTATACGTAGAATGGAACTACAATTAGTTCAAGCTATTGATATTAACAATAAGTTAATAACAAAAACTTAATTATTATTTGATTATCGATGCCCATATTTGCGATTATGAGAAAAAACTGTTGATTTTTGTTTGAAAAGTTGTTTTATAATGTAAAAACATTAGTTTCAATAAAAATACTGAACTCGATTCAAAATATTCCGAGATTTAGAATATTCGAAGAAATTTTAAAAGTGATACTGATGTAAGTATGACATTCACGAATGTACTTTTTTCGAATTTTTATTAAGCAAGTTTTTTCACTATCCGAAATCATGAAATTTTATGTAAACAACTCGTTGATGATCTTTCAAATTGATTCTCATGTCGTGCTTCTTATCACCGATTCACACGAAAAAACTTTGTCCTTGTGAGCAATCAAATGTTGGGAATAAAATTATGTCTTCATGCAAAAATTTTATCACATTCGTTACAAACGTAATCTTGACGAAATTCAAGGATTGTCCAATAGGTAGGTGTCTGTCAATCCAACGAATTTTTTTCGATGTCAACTTAAATTCGATGTAGTCTCATAATTATTTTCAGACTTATTTAACCCGTCATCTTTACTAACTTCGTGTATTTTTTTTGGAGTCTGATGCCATTTCATTGCTGACCAAATGTCTATACGTCATCTTTGCGACAGTCGTGTATTGCCCTTTGGTGCCTGAACAAGTTCGATTTGAATCCAAATCTTTTTGCGCATTTGTCGCACGCATAATCTTTTCGACCATCGTGTACAGCCTTTTGGTGTAATAGCAAATGTGCTTTTTGTCCGAATTTCTTCTCGCATTTGTCGCATGCATAATTTTTGAAACCATCGTGAAAGGTATTTTGGTGTCTGATCAAGTATGACCTTATTCCAAATTTCATTTCACACTTGTCGCATGAAAAATCCTTGGGACCTTCGTGCACTGTCTGTTGATGCACAAGCAAAAGCGATTTTCGTCTAAACGTTTTCTCGCATCTGTTGCACGTGTAATCTTTGCGTCCCTGATGAACTTCCTTCTGGTGGATAAGCAAAGTCTGTTTAAATCCGAATTTCTTCTTGCAATTGTCGCATGCGTAGTCTTTCCTACCTTCGTGGACCGTTTTTTGGTGTCTATTCAATTGGCTTTTATCCACAAATTTCTTTTCGCACATGGGACATGCAAAATCTTTGCGACCCTCGTGTACTGTCTTTCGGTGGGTAAGAAAATTTCCTTTTTGTGTAAATTTCTTCTCGCACTTGTCACATGCGTAGTCCTTGCGACCCTCGTGGACTGTTTTTTGGTGCAACAGTAATTGCCGTTTATATCCAAATTTCTTTGCACACTTGTCGCATACGTAATCTTTTCGACCTTCGTGGACTATTTTTTGGTGTTGTATCAAAGTGCCTCTTTCTCCAAATTTTTTCAGGCACTTGTCGCACGAGTAATCTTTGCGATTTTCATGTACTATCTTTTGATGTTTCAACGAATCTGCTTTGGTTCCAAATTTCCTCTCGCACACGTCGCACGCAAAATCTTTGCGGCCTTCGTGGACTATTTTGATGTGCTTGAACAAACTCGATTTTTGTCCAAATTTCTGTTCGCACTTGTCGCATGCAAAATCTTTGTGACCATCGTGTACCGTCTTTATGTGTAAAAGTACACTATGTTTATTGTCAAATCTTTTTGCACAATTATCACAAAAGTAATTTTTCAAAATTGAGTGAAATATTTTTTCGTGCTTGAGTAAAGTTGATTTATTTTCAAATTTCCTCTCGCACTTGTTGCATACATTATCTTCGCGATCTTTGTGCATTAATTTTTGGTGTGTTAACAAAGTCGATTGTTTCAAAAATTTTTTCTCGCACTTGTCACAAGCGAAATATTTTTTTTCATTGTGCATTGTTTCTCGGTGTATTATCATGTTTGATTCTGAAGTAAATGTCTCCTGACAAATATCACAAATATATTTTTTTTCGTGTAGAACAACAATGTCGTGCTCACGTGAATGATCTTGACAGCTAACTTCCTCGGATTTCTCCTCACTTTTATCCATTTTGATGTCTAAATTAAACTATGGATTCTTCTATGTAGTACAACAAATAAGTTAAATTTATCTTTTGGTATTCAGACTTATTTCATCGGAAAAGACAACATTCAAACTAATTTGTTTTTACTACAAACATGATTAGTATTCTACAAACGTTGTCAAAATTGTTTATGATTTCATTGTGTATAATTAAATTACCGACTTATCTGTAGTCTTTATTACAATATTCTTTTTACTAGGTACATTTATGTAATAATACAAAATTTCCAAATTTATTACAAAATTTGCTGACGCTGTTCGTTGCCGCCCCAAGCTATGGCGGAGTTAACGTACTCCATAACCCCCCACCAGAAATAATATCCTTTGTTTGTGGAACATCTTTACGTCATTTGGACATTTTATATTCTGTTAAAGTCAAGTAAAATTCGAGATGGATTGATTTCACAAATTTGTTGCATTTATTGATATTGATATGATATCTAAATTCCAAACCAATTATGAGAAGTTGAGTTCAATGATGTGGACCCAACTTTTGTGTCGTATTATTTGTTAGTTGTTGTTAAATTTTTATCGTTTTTGCGACAAAATGCTGAAACTTTAAAAGATTCTCATTTCGTATCAAATTAAACTCTTCATACTCTGAAATTGAATGTAATTTTAAATGAACAAAAATTTTACATGAAAGTATAATGTGATTATAAATTTGTCTTTGTAAAGTAGTTCCAAATATAATTAATAAACTGATTGCGTCACAGCTTCACTATCAAAAAGAAATTGAAATACATTATAAACCATCAGTCAATTCCAACATCGAATATAAAATACACTTAGACGGACAGCATATTAACTAACAGTCAACTCAACTTCTTACTTTGTATGTTAACGATTCTCTACACAATTATGTCGAATCTCGCTTAATGTCATGCTCTCAATTTGGCGAGTATTATTATTAAGGTGTTCACGCCAAGTCCCAAAATTTTGCCTCGCCAAAGTGTAATCTACGCAAAAAATACGTCTCCGGAAAGGCGTATTGATGAAAAATGTGATATCGCGAAAGTTACACTTTGGCGAGGCATGATTTACACGCGCCACGGCAGTGCACTGGTCATCCAGACACGATAACGACGTTATTGTCCCTTTTCTTTTTCAAAATATGTGGCATTTCACGTCAACTCTCCCAGTGCCGCGCGGCCCGGCAAAATTAGGTCAAATCACTAAATTTGTAAATCACTGTAAAAGTACTAAAATGTTACTTTTTCCTTAATCGGCGTGAGATTGTCGTGGCGATGATGAAGAAAGGTCGATGTTTTTTTTTTCTATTTTCGTTCGTTGTTGTCCATTGTCGCGCTATCGGAGAAAAAGATTCGGAAGATTAATCGATTTCAGAGCGAAAAACTCCGCCTCCAAAAAAAAGAGCGACATTGTATGGGCCAGAGATTGTTTGTCCATATATGACTCATCATTAAATTGGTTACCGCGATGATTTCGTGTCTTTTTCCCTTTTTCTTTATGGTTGCATATAACTGATTGGTTTGACGAAATTACGTTTTTATTTTAGGATTGTTTCATTGAATGCAAAATGCATTTGAGAAATTTGAAATCTCTCGATATATATCTCTAAATGTGTATTGAAATTATGTAATCGTTAAAATTTCGCCCACAAAGTAATACACATCTTGATAAAAAACTTGGTATGTCTCGTCTTAGTACATATAATATAATCTTTGATCCAACATCGCGATTCATACACGATATAATCTACGAAGCCATCCCAGAGTTGATGTCTTACTTTACAGCCCCATTGACTGCAGCATTTACGATTTGTATACCCACGTACTCGTAGCGGGACAAAAAAAAATGTTAAAAGTCAATAGTCCGAAATATAGTTATTGGAGCAGTATGCACACGGTAGTGTCCCGTCGGCACGATTAGCTTATATGTATTATAGCGATCGTATAGTACGCACACACAAACTTCTGTACATGATCCGCGTGTGTAACAAGTCCGCGCGACAAAGGATCGACGTGTACCTTTATATTTATAATGCGCGAGGTTCTCATTACATCGCAAGACGCGACAAACATGCCGATGATTCTCTCTGTATCCTCCTTTTCAGTGTGTACATACTTTTGTTGGTGGAAAGAGAGAGAAACAGAGAGCGAGTAACACTGGTAACGAAAATAACTTTAGTCTACATCCTCGTACACGCTGCCGATATTATGTAGATTTCTAATATACAGAATAATGATTTGTGAAAGTTAAATTATAATAAACCAAGTGCCTTTATATTTATCAATCTTATCCATTTTGATCGCGTGATTGGCATTCGCTCAATCATCGCCACCTGGCGTTTCACGCAGTAACAGCGTAAGCAACGGCAAATATTATCAACGCACATTAAAAGGATACGTGAAAAGTAATATTGAAAAAATATTCATTTATTTGAGCATCGTTGTATTAAACATTATCGTTAGATTTCATAAAAGAATCGTAAGATCTTTTAGAAAATAAACTGCTACGAAAATGACAGGACTACAATGAGTTCACCCATTTTAGAAAATTTGCGTATATATACTCAGTGGCGTGCTCGAATAATTGCCGCCCCACACGAACTATTATTTGACATCCAATTAAAGAAGTTGATTTCTGAAAACTCGTAAAATTAAAGTCGAGGCTTTGATATAAGATTGTGAATTTATGTTTATATTTATGAATTTATATTTATGAATTTAAAAGGTTGGAAATACTTGCTGATTCAAATCAAATTATTAAATGGCTTCCACGTTGGTTTTTTTAGTATAAATATTTTTATTTTCGACCATGGCTATCTTGGTAGCCCATAAACGTCATTTCATGACGTTTATAAAAGGTCCAATAGTCAACCAGACCAAAAAAGGAAATCAAAAAAAGGTAAAATGATAGTTGATGGCATGAAGTTCAAATAAAATACAATCGTATACTAGCATGATTTTTATTCAAACATATCTCGATAGGTATATATATTTACAATTGTCAAGAATTGAAAATCAGCACTTTTCATTATTTCAATGACGAAATGCACTCTATTCTGTCAAGGGCTATTACTAATAAGCTTGAGACATTCGTATAATTTTCTGAACTTAATCCAAAATAATTTAAGAGTCAATATATTCTTGAATTTACTACTCGACACTTCCCACGGAGAGTAACACGTTTTCATTTAAATTAATACACAAACGTGTTACTCTTCATGGGGAGTGTCGTATTGGTACTCACTACGTAGAATACCTCATATTTTTCGATAAGTTTGAAATTTATGTTTTCACACATTTGTCGCGAGCAAAATCTTAATCATCTTTTTGTGTCGTCCTTTGGTGCATAAACAAGTTCGACTTTAATCAAAATTTTTTATCAAACTCGTCGCATTCGAAATCTTTGCGGCCTTCGTGTACCGTCTTTTGATGGCGGAGAAAACTTGATTTCTGTCTAAATATCTTCTCGCAATTTCTGCGATCCTCATGTACTGTCATGGGTGAGCAAATTACATTTATGTGCAAATTTCCGATCGCACTTGTCGCACGCGTAATCTCTGCGACCTCCGTGAATGACTGTTTGGTGTCTTCTTAAATTGTGTTGAAGCCCAAATTTTTTCTCACACTTATTACATTCGAAGTCTTTGTGACCTTCGTGCACTATTTTTTGGTGGAAGATTAAATGCTGTAACATTCCAAATTTCTTCTTGCACTTGTCGCACGTGTAATCTTTTCGACCTTCGTGTACTAGCCTTAGGTGCTTGAACAAATCTGATTTTTGTCCGAATTTTTTGTCGCAATTATCGCATGTATAATCTTTGCGACCCTCGTGGACTGTCTTTTGGTGGTAAAGCAAACTCGGTTTTTGTGTAAATGTTTTCTCACACCTGTCACATGCAAAATCTTGGCGACCTTCGTGGACTGTGTTTTTATGCCTAATCAATTTATACTTGACTCCAAATTTCTTGTCACACTTGTCGCATGTGTAATCCTTGCGACCTTCGTGTACTGTTTTTTGGTGGATGAGTAAACTCGGTTTTTGTGTAAATTTCTTCTCGCACTTGTCGCAAGCAAAATCTTTGCGACCTTCATGAACTGACCTTCGATGGGAAAGCAAATGTGACATTTGTCCAAACTTCTTCTCGCATTTGTCGCATGCGAAATATTTGCGATATTCGTGAACTGTATTTTGGTGTCTGAGAAAATGCGAATTTCGTCCAAATTTTTTCTCGCATTTTTGACAGGCAAAAACTTTTCGACCTTCATGGACTGTTTTTTGGTGGATGAACAAATGCGGTTCATATCCAAATTTCTTCTCACACTGATCATATGCGAAATCTTTACGATGCTCTTGGACTGCCACCGTGTGCATGAACAAATGGGATTTTTTTCCAAATTTGTTTTCCGATTTGTCGTATATGTGATCTTTGAGACTCTCATGTTCTGTCTTGACATGTTTGAGCAAACTCCGTTTATTACCAAATCTCTTCGCGCACTTTTCACATAAGTAATCTTTAAAAACTTCATGGAATATTTTTTTGTGCTTGAGTAAACTTGATTTATTTTCAAATTTTCTCTTGCAATTTTTACATGAGTAATCTTCGCGATCTTTGTGTACTAATTTTTGGTGCGTAAACAAACTCGATTTTTCAACAAATTTCTTTTTACACTGATTACATGCAAAATCTGTGCGGCTTTTGTGTTCTGATATTTGGTGTCTACTCAAATTACTTCGGAATTTAAATTTCTTTTCACACTTGTCGCACGAGTAATTTTTTTTATCGTTGGGACTTGTGTCTCGTTGAGTTATCATGCTCGATTCTAGTGTAAATGCTGCCTGGCAAATGTCACTAACGTATTGTTTTTCATCTGAAACAACAATGTCATGTTCACTTAAATTATTTCCCGAGACAACATCAGCAGATTTCTTTTCACTTTCATACATTTTGGTACGTAAATGAAACGACGGATCTTTCTATGTAGTGTTTCATTTGGAAAGACAACATTCAAACTAATTTGATTTTACTGTAAACACGATCAGTGTGTCGAGGAACTGTGTCAAAGTCGTTTCTAATCATATTATTTACAATCAAGTTTCCGATTCATCTGTTTATACATTGCCTTCCAAATTTGAACCAGTAATAATTTGAGTTAAAGCGATATAGAAGAGAATTTATTTTTAAGTTTTATGTCACTTTTCCAAAGCGTTTGGATCTGTAAGAATTAAAGTTATGTTGGAATTTTACATTTAAAAATAACAAAACATGTAGTTATCAAATCTTACTGAATTTTTTCGTGGAAATGGCGAAAGTTGAAAGTGTATCAAATCGGGTTACTCGTCAACTGTCTCCTAATCAATTTCAATAAACGACTCGTCCCCAGGCCCCTTTTTAATACCCTGAAATCAATCAAGACGTTTATAAAAAGTTCAGTGGTCAACTACTGACTCTCGTAAGGGTGAGCAAATTACGTTTATAAACACTTTTTAGATCGCATTTTTCTCATAGGTAATCGTTGCGACCTTCGTAAACCATTTGTTGATGTCTTCTCAAATTTTTTTTATCCCCAAATTTCATCTCACATTTATCGCATGCAACATCTTTGCGACCTTCGTGTACTGGTGCTGAATCATAATCCATTTTTTTCCAAATATCTTCTCGCACTTGTCGAACTTGTAATCTTTGAGAGCTTCGTGTCCGATTCGTGTAGCGATTTTGCCCAATTTGGTCAATGCGCATGCGCGAGCCTTATAAACCGGAAATGGAATATTTTGAATCTGAAAAATTGTGTTCTTTCGCCATAACTTTGTCAATTTCCATCCAATCTGCACGAAATTTAGCCTGAATACGAACAACTACACTAGAAATCTATGACATATGCTATGCAGGGATTTAGCCGCCAGTAGCAAGTACAACAATTTAAAAAACCTTCAATTTCCGCCTAAAAATATTGCGATTTTGCCTAATTTGGTCAATCTGCATGCGCGGTCTAAATTTACCAGAAATTGACTATTTCAAGTTTGGAGAATTTTTTCTTTCGTCATTACTTTGCCACTTTCTATCCGTCTAACAATTATTATCCGATACAACATTTTCAAAAATAAATTCCAGCGTATTAATATATTACCTTATTCGCTTTATTCCAGCCACTATAATTAAACGTACTCTAGTACTAATTCTTTGTGAATGAAAAATTACATTTATGTACAAATTGACCTGTGTATGTTAACGTTTTACATCATTTCAGAATACAAAAACTTTATTATGGCACTGAGATAATCTTGGCCATAGCTCACGCGAGCAAATGTTCTTTTTTCAGGCTCTCTTAAACGGCCTTGTTCTGATTTTCCGTCAAAATCTAAATTTTTTTCGATACACTTTAATTGAAACACTACTTTTACACGTTTATTTCAAAGCTAGCTGCATAAATAATAGTAATTTTCGATACAAGTGCCATAAGTAGCACTTTATGGCTCGTGTATCGAACGCTATTTTATAGTATTAGTGACATAAATCCGCCATGATACTGATTAAATGATATCGCCCGAGCGTAGCGAGGGCGATATTGATGACGAAGAAACGTGGGGCTGAATGAGGGTGTAGGGCGTCAGTACGGGTTCAGGGCGGCAGCCCTGGTCGGGGTGCAGGGGGGGGGCGGAGCCCCCCCGCTATAAAAAATGCAATTCATAGTTTTTTTTATTAAAAACTTTAAAATATATAAAATAAGTTTATTTTTTGACAACTGCGTATACAACGGGCGGGCATAGAAAACATTATTTACGCGCCATCTACCAGAAATAAAAGATATGAGTGCTGCCGCTCGGACAGTTCAAAGCGCGATCATTTGTTTTTTTACGTCGGCAGTATTTATCCGCAAGAATTTGTTAAACAGTTAAAGTGAGGTTATTAATAATTGTCGTAACATGATTTCGAGTGATGATTCTGGTGATGAGGGTTACGAAATCGTATCAAAGGAAATACGAGAAATTGCCAAAAATGTTACTTTTAATTTGTTACCGGACGTTTCAAAACGACTCTACACTAAAGCGTATAACAAATTCAAGACATGGCGAAGAGAACATGGATCAAATTCGTTTTGTCAAGATGTCTTATTAGCATACTTTGATTATTTGTCTAATGACTATGCTCCTTCTAGTCTATGGTCGCATTATTCAATGCTAAAAGCCACTATAAATACTTTTGATCAAGTAAATATAGGAAATTATGCGAGATTAACTTATTATTTAAAAAGAAAATCTGATGGATACGTCCCAAAAAAATCAGAAACTTTTACCACAGAGCAAGTGACTAAATTTTTAAATGAAGCACCAGATATTAAATTTTTAAGTACAAAGGTATATATATTTGTGTACTCAGTTGTTTATTTATTGTTTTTTTATTAATTTATTTTAATTTACAATATTTATCAGGTAGCTGTTATCTTTGGGTTTTCTGGCGCTATGAGGAGAGAAGAGTTCACTAAAATGGTAATAAGTGACATTACAGTAGCAAATGATTATCTTTTAGTCAGAGTACCTATAACAAAAAATAAGGTACGCAGATCCTTTACTGTGGGCCATGATTTGTATCCTATTTGCAAGAAATATATTGATGCTAGACCTAAACCATGCAAATGTGATAGATTCTTTTTAAAGTATACAGATGGGGTAATGTCTCAACAGCCAATAGGTATCAACTCGTTTGGTAAGATACCAAAAAAAGTGGCCAATTATTTAAATTTACCCAATGCTGAGTTATATACTGGTCACAGCTTTAGAAGAACATCAGCAACTATTTTGGCTGATGCTGGAGGTGATACATCTGTACTGATGCGCCATGGTGGATGGAAATCTGCAAAAGTAGCTCAAAGCTATGTTGCAGAATCCTTACAGAATAAAAAAAAAATATGCGAACAACTTACTACCTTACCTATGCCACCGAAGAGCGTGGCATAAGTGCGGATTTATGTCACTGAATGCTATAAATTTATATTAAATAGTCTCGGCCTTAACTATATAGATCGTCCAATAGTGAAAAAAAAATGTAGCTGATGTTGCTGAAATAGTTCTCGTGAAACCTTACGACAAGTAGCTTTAGTTACGGAAAAAGAAATAAACAGAAAAAAATGAAAGTGAAAGTATAAAAAAAAAGTCATTTTTCCTTGTCATGTGAAACGAACCCCGGATCCGTAAATCTCCATTTGAACACCGATTGCAAAAATTCTTACCCACGTTAAAATTGGTCACAGAGACAATGAGGTTAGTGCAAAATGAATAATTCGACCCGTTGGGAGAAAAACTTAGATCTCAGTGAACAAAAAAAAGAGGCCGAGGCTGCAAGTAATAAAGATCTCGTGAGTGAATTAAAAGTCAAAATTTCCGCCGCCAAATCAGAGATAAGAGTGTTAGATCAATTGAACATAGAGCACAACTTTGGAGAACATAGAGGACAAAAGAAAATTTGGCTGAATAGCACCATCGAAGAGGAAAGTGAGAAAGAGGGTGAGTCCACATTCATCAACGTAGAAGATTTTTCGGGAGCACCAACCGCACAAAGCACACCGCATCCAACCAAGGTAACGATCAGGCCAAGTAAGCTAAACGATAAGCTGCAAGATAAGCAAGCCACACCGGAACCCAAGGTAGTACAAGCATTTATTAATCAATTAGATAAAGAAGAATTAGACGAAGTAAATCTCACACCAGCAGAATTATACGAATCACTACTAAATAATACAACTGTTAAAAATCAAGAGCCTGGGTTTATCGAAAACTTATACGATAAATTCAAAATCTTTGTCAAAAACCCGCTCCAGCTTCTCAATCAAGTAGCGAAAGAACCCGAAGAGGAAGTATCAACAGAGAACGGTACACCAAAAGAGCACGACAACGAGTTAAAAACGCAACAAAAGGACGAGACTCAGGAAAAGCAGCAACCTCTAAGCAGCACCATGGGTACGGAAGATAACAAAAACAGCGCTATAAAAAAGGAGGAGCAAACTAAAGCAGCATTCAACGCCACGGTGGGTGAGTCGCTATCCTCACTATTTAAAAACCTACTCAGTGGTATTGCAGTATTCAACGGAGAGTCAAAACGAAATACGACACGGCTTATCAAGGACTTAAAACTAGCTAAGCTATCCATCTTGCCCTGCCAGGAAAGTGAATTTGTCAGAAGATTGAAGCCAAAACTCGTTGGCCCGAAGACAGATAACATCGACTTAACAGATTACAGTACCATTGATTCTTTATGCAATTTTCTAGATAAGACATTTGGATTTAACAAAACTCAAATTGCACTAATTACAGAACTTGCTCAATTCCATCAAAGAGAAGGTGAAACAATCTACGAATACTACAGCAGGCTAAAAGATCTCAGCGAGGAACTCGAAGCAGCTCAGAGGCGTAACAAGCCGGAGCACATATTCTTCTCGCAAAACATACAAAATTTATGTCTAAATGCTTTTACAGAGGGGCTTATCGAAAAGATAAGAATTCGGATGCCGAAAGTCGGTTGTATGACAGAAGCATACAACGAAGCTGCCCAAATAGAGCTAGAAGTCAATAATCAAAGAGATAGGAGAGAGGGCGGCCAGATATCAGTGTCGTGCGCATTATGCGGTAAGACATCTCATAAAATAACCGAATGCGATTTCTTTTTAGCAATTAAAGGGAAGACACAGGAGTCAACAACAAACGGATGTTCAGGCTGCGGAGATCGTGCTCACACGATTAGCAACTGTAAGGAAATGTATTTGAGCAACCAGACGTGCTCCCGCTGCAATACAGGAGGCCATGTGGCGGCCACTTGCAACGCTCAAATCGCAAAAGACACCAACGAGCCGGAGGTAATTGAGATTGCAGCCATGGGACACCCCATGAACGTAATCTGTCAAATATGCTCGACGAGAGGGCATACCGCCCGCAGCTGTCAGTTCCTTAATAATTGGCAGCCGAGTATCCACCCAGCGCAACTCGACAGAGGTAACATGTTTAATAATTACGATAACGGTCAGTCTTATCGAAACAGCCGCAGCTACAACGAGAACAACGGTAGAGGCTGGAACCACAATGGCAACAACGGCAACGGGTATGGAGGGCGACAAAACATTGTATGCTATAATTGCCGTAAACGCGGCCACATGGCACGCGACTGTTATTCAAAAAACGGGCAACGTCTCGGGGACGGGCGAACAGAGACGGATGCACAACGCCCGAATACAGCGAACGACCAGCAGAACTCCCAGTAGTTATCATGAATATCTCACCTAAAAATTCTCCAACAGTCATAGTAAGCAGCGAAGAATTCAAAAACAATAGCAGTTTCATGTTGGACACAGGAGCCAAAGTAAGCGTAATCAAGATAACGAAAATATCAGATAGTGCAGCAATAGACACCAAAAAGAAGATACTGCTGAAGGGCATAACAGACGAGATCATCCCGTCGCTCGGCGCGATATACGCACGCATCAACAACATACGCCGATAACGCTGCACTTGGTGAGTGGAGACTTCCCTATATTACAAGACGGTATCATTGGTAATGAATTTTTCATGCAAAATAAGGGAGATATTAGTTACCGAACAAAAAGTTTAAAATTGAACGATCAAACCATAAAATTCGAGGCAATAGATATCAATAATTACGATAGATCAACTCCTCCTCAAAGAAGCGAGCAAAAAACGTCGGGGATTTTTGCATTTAATGATAGTATCGAATTTGATAACAAAGAGCAATGTCAAATTATTGACGGATTGATAAAAGGCACAAATAGCCTAGTAGACTTCGAAAAAGAAAACGCGATTAAATTGCAGATAGCTACGAAAATTGATGATAGCATTGAAATTAACGACGAAGAGCAATGTAAAATTATTGATGGATTATTAAATGGTACAAATAGCTTACTGAATTTTGATAAAGAAACATTTGAAAATGATGAAATAAAAACGGCAGGCAAAGTAGATTCAAGAGAGAGCCTATACGAAATAGAAGCACGTAATGTGCCGAGCAATATATGTGAGATAACCGCGATTGACGATAACGAAACATCGTGCGTGTACGAACGGCTACTGTGTGTAGAACAAGCGTACGACGACATATTTTTAGATGAAGACGAGGGTACTACATTGAATAACTATAGCGATCGCGCGGATAAGCTTTTAAACATTTTGAAAGAGAATAACGGATTAACGCATGAAACGGAGGTAACTGATCTGATCGTTGAATATCAGGATATTTTTCATTTGAAAGGAGAAGTTTTAAGTACGACCGACATTATTGAGCATGAAATCCATACCACTGATAACGTTCCTGTAAACGCCAAGCCCTACAGATTCCCACAAGCGATACAGATTTCGCCAGCAGGGAGATCCCACGTTTCCGCATGACACACAGGACCCGCAAAATTAGAAGCAGGGAGGTGAAGACACATCAGCCCGGCTAAATCGTAGCCAACCCACTCCAAGTCGGGATCCACCTCGAGATACAGCAAGACCTGCATGATGGCCTGGCGCAGCGTTTCACAGCGAATCTAAGGGAGAAGAAAATAAAAACCCAGCACTCTTAATAGAAAAATGTAAACACACATAGACTAGCTTAAGAAATTGTAAAACTGGCTTACCTGCAGGGCGTCCATGGTAAAACTAATATCATACGCCTTAGCGCACTTGTATTTATACCATAAGATAACCATGTAGTAGTACTATCAAATGTCGCGCTACCTTGTAAGATACCTTGTAGCTCTATACAGAAGCGAGATAGATCCCAGGTGTGATCTAGACTTTTTTTAGGTAGGGAGGTTTGTCATGTCCGAAATTCACGACAACGACGAAATTACGCATCGCCGTGATTTTCCGACATGACGACTCTCACGATTACACGGAAGCCATATAAACATAGTTGACATAGCCATAAACGTATTTCGCAAGCAACCGCGATACCGGGCCGCGCGTGTAGAGTCACGGGTTGAACTACAAATACCCACGACCTCGGGTAATGTCATAAAACCCGATATAAAAACCGAGGAGTCAACGATAGACTCTCTCTCGTTATCGCACTCGCGCTAGCCCCGGGTCTTTAGTCTCCGATCGCCTCGCGGTAGTTTAGTTTAATTCTAACTAATTTTGATTGTACAGCGTCTCGCAACGCTACAGCGTAAGCCCCTTTAAGTTTCCTATATGTAAAAGATCTTTGTAAAATAAAACATTCTGTTCCAAGCTCTAGCCCTCTGTGACCTTACTCTTTCTCCCCCCCCCCCCCCCCCCCCCNCCCCCCCCCCCCCCCCCCTAGTGTGCGAGCCCGGACATAACATCCTCATGTCAGATACATTTCGTATAATTCGAAGAGAACAATTCCAATTGTATCAGCTACATTTCGTCAAACAGTTCAATTAGTAACCTGCCTTAGTAAATTTCAAGAATTTCATGAAAGATCTGTATGATATTCAAACTGGAAATTTATCTGCGCAATCTAATTAATGCTCTTGCAATTATATAAAACTGCACAATAGTATTTACATGAAACCAAAACACTTTGATTCTTGTATGAATTGCATACCGGTGAAACTATTGAATTTCATGAGAAAAAATCGAGGAGTTTTGAATGAAAACTTCCGAAGATTTGCATGCCATCGTGAGCTGTCAAGATGACATCGTACCTGCAGATATTTTTTTTACATGTCTTTCTAAATTATTATGTTATAAAAGCATTTTATACTTAAAATATATTTGATATCAATAGATAAAGATTAATTATAAAGTTACATCATTTTCTTAATGTTAGTAATCATTATTATGTAATTAAACATTATCATACATATAGCTTCATTATGTTGCAAAATTTTTTTATACTTATCATATTTTAATGATCTTTAACATGTAACGATTGAGTACAAAAATTGTTGCATCCAACTAATATTCTATATTCTGCATTCAAAGACGTGAAATATTATTCAAGTCTTTCGAATATTTAGAAAAAGTCGCAGATTATTCAAAAAAGTATTTGAGAAATAAAATTTGTATGTACAAAAAAAGATTAACCGAGACCAGAGCATTATGAAAAATACCCTACTAAATCTTCATAAACACAATCGAGATATTCCATTAGATCTTCGGTATTGCACTTTTTTTTACCATCGTTTTTTTCAGTCTCGGATTTAACTTCCCTGAAAATCAAATATGATTTCTCATCTTATGCAGGAAAAAATTTGCAAATGATATTCATTGATATTTACGGAATCGTCGTTTTTGGTATTGGGCTCGCGGTGGTGACGACTCCCTTATCCTCCCGGACCTTTTTTTCGTCTTTGGTGCGTTCAGCCGGAAAATAAGCTTCTATTTCCGCCTCGATCTCTGCTGCGATGGAATCTAGAAAATCCAGAACTACTCGCGTATTCGATTAGAACAACGTCACGCGAATCGAGAACATCTTTACGATGAAAAAAAAATAGTACGTACTCTTCTGCTCGTCGATCACCAATTCCTCCGAGTTTCTCGTATTTTCCGCGTCTAAACAATCAAAAACAGGCACAAAAATTGAAGTTGGTCGGAGTTTTTTCTCGAAAAATCGACCGTATGACTTACACGGCTTGGCGTCCACGACGACGATTGCCTGCAGAATGAAAAGCTCGAGAACGACGACGATGATATTTTTCACAAACATATCGCGATCGATTTTCTCGGCTCTGCAGCACGACAGTTTTTACGAGTGTACAACTGCACAACAGCAGCAGCAGCAGCAGCTCCGGCAAGTGTCTTCGACCAAATGACAATACCGTCTTCGCGCGACAATCTTCATCAATTGTCACACGAAGAAAAAAAAAAGGATAGAAAGAGAGAAAGACACACGACACTACAATTTGGTGTTGTAATTCAATTCGACTCGAGCTTTTTTTCTCGATTGTGTACTAGATACATATCGCTCGTTCGATATAAATTTTTTTATCGAGTTTATTATAAAAATTCCAGGTACCAGGCCATTGTCGAGCTTTATGCGCGACATATCTATTGGATCTATTTCGAGAATCTGAATTTTGTAATAAAAACAAAACGCGAGTTTTAGAAATTGCAACTGGCACGATGTAGGTCACCAAATAAATATTTGGAATATAAAATAATATCTAGACGAGGTTCGGATTGCGAGTTCGAAATGAATATTTTTTTGGCAGAAGCTGTATCAATATCCAGTGTAAATTAAAAAAATTGTTTCTATTTTAAACCGAATCCGAAGCGAAATAACCGGGAAGCAAAACGGTCCTGCTATGCATCTTCGGGCGAGCTCTTGAAACGAAAAACTTAATTATCGATAACAATGAATCCTTGCTCGTTGTTATCCTTTTTTTTTTCTAAAACGAAAATTCTATTTCTTGTTCCTTTACAATTTTTCAGCGCTTCTCTCGCGCTTTCTCTTTTCTTTTCCTCTTACAAAGCCGGGGGTATTGTCGATTGTAACTTCTTTCGCGCGCGCGTGCAGCCATAATGTTTACATTTAATTTTCACTTCGAAAACATGACAATCGATTTTCAATTCTGTTTGCCCGCGCGCGCGCGCGCGGTGAAGTATTTCGCGCCGTTTGAAAGCAGATAAGTTGACGGTGCATAGCTCTGCGCAAATATCTATAGCTGAAAAATAAAAGAGAAAAATTGCATGGTGACGGACGACACAATTCGTTTTATTAATTTGTATGAAAAGTAATAGGAAAATCAATGATCGGTCAGACGATTGCAGAAGTAAAAAAAAATACATTTTATTTGAAAGTGTATTTCACGAAGGTGGCGTACAAAAATAATTTCAACAAAACGAGCACACTTAATTGAGATAAAAGCTATTAAAATGATACGAATCCACGTTAAGGTATGAAACTTTTCAACAATTAATCACAACGCGCTTGTAAGTAAGCACACTTCACTTAGCAGTTACGCAGTGACGTTAATCTTTGTATGAGAGAAAAAAATACTAGTGCTTAATACTTAATGCAAACATTAATTATATCTGTGAAACAATATGCTCAGCATATTTTAAACTATCATCTTATAACACGATGATTTAATAACGTATAGCGATTAAAGTTTGATTATTAGAAGAAAGCTCGCTTCTTGTGGGAGCTGCTCGGCGGAGAATCCAGGTCGAGATTACGCTTTCTCGATTGAGCTTTTGGCGGAGAATCGTCGAGATCGTCCAAAGTTTGCCTCTGGGTCGGTGGAGAATCATCCAAGCGCGTGAATTCGCGTTTTTTCGACTGTCTGGTCGACCTGGGTGGAGAATCGTCGAGCAAATCGAGGGCGTGCTTCTTCACCTGTTTGCCGGTTTTTCTCGGCGGAGAATCGTCGATTACACTTCGTTTTCTCGTTATTTGTTTGCTGCTCTTCGCACTCATCTGCTCTTCGGAGTCGGGCAAACATTGAGTAGGACGTCGAACTTGCCTACTGACTCCTGCTCTCGGCGGCGAATCGTCGTCGTCGTCGTCGTCATCGCTAATTTGCGTAGGCACTTGAGATTGAGTTGATGGTCTTCTGAACGACGATATATCCAATTGTCTCGTGGGCATTGTTTTGGCAGGTTGTTTTTTCGCCGCTGCCGTCGTTCTTGCAGGCGCCTTCTTAGCAACTGGTTGTCGAGCGGGTGCTTTTTTGGCTGGCGCTGCCGCGACTCTAGCTCTATTACTCATGAGTTTTGCATTGATGTCCTCTTCGTCTGAATTTATCATAATTTCTTTTTTGATGGTATTTGGCTCTTGATTGTCATCTTCTTCGTCTTCGGTGAAATCGGGGTCACCTCCGTAGGTAGCACTCGCTTGAGTTTGAGAATGTTGTCTGAAATCAGTCATATCTCTGCGACGTACAAGACTGTAACCACTGAAAATAAAATAAAAGTTATATTGAAAACTCAAGTCGATCATTATGAAATTCAATTCACGCACGAAAATAACTTACTCGATATTGCGGTAGAGTTCATGGAACATTTGCTTTCCACTCAAATTCGACAAATGGCCGATGAATTTTTCATCGTGACTAATAACTATAAGCTGGAAATTTTTGGAATGTTGAGCGCGATGTTGAATAACTCTAAAAAAGAAAAAGTTTGATAAGTCACTTAATTGTCATAGCGTTCGAGTAACGCGAAATAAAACAAAATAAACTCACTTGGATAATGTCACGGCCAAGTTTGTGGCATTCTCATCATCAAGATTTGTTGTGGGTTCGTCCAACGCCAAGACAGAGCATTCAGCGCAAAACGTTTCCGCCAGGGCCATACGAATGATAATCGACGCCAAAACTTTCTGACCGGCACTGCACTTTCCTTTCATGTCCATTTCTTTCGAGTGCTTAATTTGGACCAACTTGTAATTATAAGATCTCTTCTTGTCGCCGATTCCCTCGGTTTTTTGAACGCGAATTTGAATGGATGTGGTATCGTTTCCACCGTAAACATGAGTCCAGAGTTTTTTCATCATTGTATTAACAGTAGCCATTCGTTCCTCGTGAAATTTGATCATGGCTCCGTCCAAGACCTGAGTGAAACTTTTTAAATTCGCAATAGCTTCTTCTCGTACCTACAATGGAATATTCATAATTTAGATAAAGATTTTAGAAACGAATGAAAAAGAATATTTGAAGTATTTACTTGTAATTCTAAAGTCAACGCTTTATAATTTTTTCGTGCCATTCTATAGTCCTCTTTATTCAGTGATCTTTTTATTTCCTTGATAGTTTTATCCAATTCTATTAAAGATCCTTGTTTAGTACTTATCTGAAAATCATTTTACAATGTAATATTCGGCTGTAAAAAATAGATTCAAATAAAAAATAACATACCTCTTTTTCCAAAATTTCTTTTTCTTCATACAAAGCATTATACTTTTTCTTGCGTTGCTCATATTTCAATTCTTCCAATTCATCTTGAAGTTCATTGTAATCTTTTTTCAATTCTTCCATTTTTTCTTGTTTTTTCAAAAGATCTAAATTATTTTCAAGATCTCTTTTACCAGATTCTTCAGACATACACAATTCCTTCAAAAACCTGACCTTTTCTTCTAAACTTTCTCGAGATTCTTTCAGTTTTTCCGATTCAGTTGACAATTTTTTAACAATAGATTCAACATTTTCTAAACTTTCTTCTACTTTGTTTTTTATAAATTTTTTTACTTCTTCTTGAACAATTTCTAACTCGTGATAAACCGTGTTGATTGTTGATTTAAAATTCATATCTTTATCTTGCTCTTCCCGATTTTTTTTCTGTAATGAATTAAAACCAGTTATTTAATGGATTAAATTGTAAAAATCAAAAGTGCAAATAAAAATACCTTTAAACTAGATAATTCATCAACTTTCAGTGACAAATCTTCTTCAGCTTTGACAAAATTTGATCGCAACACTTTTAAAGATTCTTCAAGAGATGTTTCTTTAGTGTATAAATCTTTAACTTTTGCTTTTATTTGATTGAGCGCTTGCATATCTTGTTTTACTCTGATGATTTCTTCATTGAGCTTATTTTTTTGCTCCCTAGCCTTTTGAACTTTCTCTTGACCAATTTGTATTTTGGACTGGATTTCCTCAGCTTTTGTTTCCACAGTGCTAAACCTTTTCTTTAAAGCTTGACGCTCGTTCTGAACTTCTTGCATACTTCTATCACCAATTTTACCTTTAAGAAAAATGAAAGAAATTTTTTTTCACCCATCACTCAAAGAAAAATTATCTATGGAGATGCAGTTTCTTACCTGCTTTTGACATTGAATCTTTTTTTTCATCAATAAGACTGTTTAATTTATCCAGTTCAGCAAGATGATTATCTAATAATGTTACATCACTGTACATGCTTTTATAGACCTCTAGTTTATTTTCTGGTTCTGATATCAAAATTTTCAAATTTTCAAGATCTGAGTCTAATTTCTGAATTTCGCTCTTTGTTTTACTTAATTGAGATCTGAACATAAAATTAGATTATATTAATTTTTAATTTGATTTGAAAAATAAAGAAAATTACCTCATTTGTGGAATTTTAATTCTTTGCATTTTATTAATTTCTTCCGTTACTGGTTTGAGTTGTTGTAAAGCATCATAATGAGCTTGTTCTTGTTTTAATTCAGCTTCACATTGCTTCAAGCTCTGAGGACTTTTTTTGATTTCTGCAAGCATTTTTTGTTCCAATTGTTTTTCTTCTGCACTGCCCAACCCTCTATCACACAGTGGACAACATGTTTTTTTCTTCATTTTCTTCAAAAATTCTTCATACATTAATTTTTGATTTGCGTAAATGCCTCTTTGGTCTTGAAGAGATTTTACTTTTCTTTCTTGAAGTAATAAAATTTCATCATAATCTTGTCCATCACACTTTTCTGAAACTTTCATCTCATTTTCTGAAAAAACATTTGTGTTAGATTGTATTTTATATCATAAGTTAATATTTTCAGCAACCTTATTAAATATTAAATGTTCAAACTATATACCGTTGAGTTCAGAAATGGCCTTTTCCAATTCAGCATCTTTATGCTTTTGTGTAGTAATTAAACTTGTCAGTTTTTGCTGTTTATTATCAATCTCTTTTGATAATTCATTTTTTTCTTTTAACTATAAGAAAACATTTAAATATAGTACATTTTTTGAAATAATGAATCTACAAAAAAATTGAAAAATTTTACCAAAGAAGAATGTATTTTTTCAATGTGCTTTTTTAATTGTTTTTCTGGAACTGTTTCAGATCCAAAAAATACCATCAGGTTATTGGAATGTTTTTTTTTCAGAGCTGAAATTTCAACTTCCTTATCTTTCAATTGATTCTGATGTAATTCCAATTCTGCTTGCATTGAACTTAATTTATGTAAAGAATTAATTTCTTGATCTAATAGTGTAATGCGACTGTCATATTCTTTTCTTTGTTTGTTGTACTTTTGTAACTCTTCTTTTAAAGATTCCTCATTGAAATCTTTTAACAAATTCTCATACTGCTGTGTGGCAGTTTGCAAATTAGACTCAAATATACTTAATTTAGTCCCAGCTTCACCTGTCTAAATTCATAAAAGTACATAATTTTAACGGAGAAAAAACAAAATGTTTTATAAATATTTTATCCTTCACCTCTTTAATCTTTTTTCTACATTCATTGATTTCGTGTTTAATTTCTTCTTTTTCTTTCTGCTTTAATGATATTTCAGACTCAATTCCTGTTTTATGAGCTCTTGACTCATCAACTACACTTTGCAAATATCTCTCTTCTTGTTCATTTTCTTTAAGTTTATCCTTCATGGATAATTTGAATTCATCCAATTTGTTTTTTATAAGATTCATATTACTTGTTACCTCTATCAATAGAAAGTTAATGAATTAAATTCTCATCATTTTAATCTTAAGTCCAATAAACTAGTATAAATGCATACCTGTTTCAGAGAATTCTGAATCATGTGTTATTTCCCAAGTATCCAGAGCTTTGGATAACAATTCATTTCTTTTACCAACTTTTTCATGATATTCTATTTGCTTTTGTTTTAAGGCACCTAATTGAGTTCTAGCATCATCAAGCTTATTTTTTATTTTGCGTTCATTTCGATCCAAAGTTTCAAGTTCCTCAATATACTGCATAAAAAAAATATGTTAGTTTAAAGTTAATATAAAAGGTTTTCGAAAACTCAAATATTTACTATGTTCTGTTCATCCTTTTTCTGAGTAAGATTTGTATCAAACGTTTCAATTTTTGAAATTAATTCCTCTAGGGTTCCTTTATGTATATGTTTAATATGTTGTTTTAAGTTCTCAATATAATTTTTGGACATTTTGTAATTACTTTCAACCATTCCTGTAAATTAGCAAATATTTAATGAATTTTATTATTGGATAAAATTAATCATTACTAACAATAAAACAGTTTGATGGTAAACAAAGTACTTACTTAATTTTTCTTCTATTTTTTTATGTTCTTTTTGAACATCAAGAAAATCAATCATTTGCTCATCGATAGGTTTGATTTTGTCTTCAATATCTTTTATTTTTTGCGTTGCCTCTTCCTCTCTCGTTTGACAATTTCTCAAATGTTCTTCTTTATCTTTGACTTCTTCAACAATTTTAGCTAAACCCTTTTCTCTTTCTCTCAATGTATTTAGCTTGCCAGTTGAATCCTTAATTAATTTTGTAGCAGCTTCCATTGCCTTATTGTATTTAGAAGTATCAAAAATTTCATCGAATCTCTCCTTCAATTTTTTACCATCTTCGAGTGGCCAATTTGATTCTTCCTGATGGCAAAATATGACATAGTTGAGGATTGGTTTGGAAACACCCATAGCATTCAGCATTTCTCTGTCGATATCTGCGCATCTGCTAGTTATAGTAGCTTCCTAAACAGGAATCATTCGACATTTTTAAATATTCAATAAAGTACAGTACTTTTCTCTTCTTTGAAAATTTCTACCTGTTGAGTTTTTGGATTGAACCGTTTTAATGTGTTGTCCAGCGCTTGAAATTTTAAGGTGCCACTTTTTATTCTTGACACTTGACACGTCCTGACAACAATTATTTCATTGCCATGCTTGTCAATGATTTTGGCTTTAACTTGACCGCGTACCTTGTGTAGCAAATAAATTGAATCGTCAAAAAAAAAAAAAATTTACAACGAACTTGGCCTAATAAATAAACGATGAAATATTCACTCACCGAGTGAGTCGAGGTCAGCTTGGGCTCGTGAACGAAGGCCTTGCCGCGTTCCGAGTCCGGCGGATATTCCCCGGAGGTGACATACTTGAGGGCCTCGATGATGGTCGTTTTGCCGGTGCCGTTCGGGCCGAGGATCAGGGTGAGCGGCGTCGAGAAGTGGATGCGATTTTTCGACGTCTCATCGCCGAAATTTCTGATGCCTCGAATCTCGAGGTCCTTGACTTTGGACATCTTCCTCGCGCACAGCAAACAACGACAGGAGATGGACGAACGACAACAAACACACTCCGAAAATCAGGATAACGTATTGCGCGAGGTTCGTTAATTTAGCAAAATATAGAAGGTTAGGGATGTCGGCGAATTTATGCGCCCAAACCGCTCCGATTTATCTCCTGATTCGGCTGCAGCAGGAATATTATTTCGACGAGAGATTTTATAATCAATTTCAAAAAATCCGCGACCTAGCCACGATCGCGCACTAAGCACAACAAAGCACACCGAGCCAGTGATAAGATGATAATCAAAACAAGTTCTATCACGTTCGACTTTTTCACGTATATAATATCCCCACCCACTTGTATAATTTTTGCAGCCGCCGCAGGGTTTTAAATTTCAACGCAGCTGCGGGCAATACCTAGAATCTCGTCGCCTGTCGAATGAGCAAAAACATTCACATCGTAATATAATATAACGTATGACACACGTTCGAATTACTACGAACGTCTCTTCGCTGGAACGATAACTTTTTACTTCGTAATTGGCGCCAAAACGCCTCGCGCCCGCCTCTCTTCTGCGCTAAAACTCCGCGATTTGCGCTCGACTTCGCGTCGCTGCCGCTGCTGCTGCTGTGGTGTGTTTTGTGTGATAAGAACTTACAAGAGTCGTCGTCGTCGTCGAAAACCACGAAGTCTCCAGTGCAGGCGATTGGTGTAGTGATGGAGCTGTAGCTTTTTTAGCTCCTTTCGGCTGGCTGCTATCTACATCTATATCTCCGTCTCGCCTCCCCAGCTACATAAATGGTGTGATATTTGTAACCCATAGTCCAGTGACCGTATGTGTGTGTGTGCGTGCGCGCGTGTGTGTGTGTTGGTTGGTGCGAATATACTCCAAGATATACACAGAAAAAAAGAGCCCAAACATATAGTTCACGCGCCACGGCAATAAAATCGTTTCTCAAACTTTTTATTGTTATCGTCGCTCGTCGTCTTCGAAAAGGAGGCTTATCTTTCTTCGATTAGCTAGAGTTAATATAGAGAGAGTCAACTATACTCTACGTGTGTGTCAGCCCGTGCGTAATATCACGATCGTCGAGAGAGATTGCACCGAGCGAAAAATTCATTTCGCAGTCTTGCAGGATATAAATCTGCGATTGGACGTTCTCGATAGGTCGCCTATATTATATTATATTATTGATACGGGAGCCGCGCACGCACCTTACGATTGCAACGCTGTGCATACCATATACACAACGGTGCGTGTGTTGATTTTCGTCTATACGATAATATCGTATGCGTGTATTGGTGTATCTGTCCAAACTCGGCCGTCAAAACGAAGCCAAAAATGCCAATGGTGAGTCAATGTTTCCTGCAGTTTCACGAAGACTAATAATGAGCGTCGATTTCAATTGCTTTTCTTACCTATGTTTTATAATATCGCTCCGAATGGAGAACCTTGCGTGACTTGGCGCTCGTGTGTGTGTGCGTGCGTGTGTATGCATGTGTGACAAGTCTGTGTATATAATGCGCTCGCGAGTGCGTGTTGCTCTGGCTGCGGCTGCGAATTGTAAGATTCAGTGCATACACACACTCGGTCGAGCACTAATTATTTCCGCTTGCAAATTTCTCTCTCCCCCCCTCTCTACCTTTATTACTGTCTCACTTTTGCCATACTTTTTTAACTCATGCTGCATAACGTGAGAGAGATTAACGGTGCTTTTCTCGTTTTATGCACGGCCGCAGAGTAACCATACACCCCTGGAGGACATGTCGAGCTCTCGAGGTCAGGCCAGCAATGGCCCGCCTCCGAACTGTCAAAAAGTGTTCATTCAACGAGATTACAGCGACGGCACTATGGTCAAATTCCAGACTAGATTTCCCACCGAACTCGGCGACAGGGTGAGTGGACGCTGCAATGTTTTTCTTTCTGTTAAGAACAATATCAAAATTGATTGACAACGCTGTTCATTTGAAAGACTCTAGGATATTTAAATTGATTACGTGGTTCAAAATGTATTGAAAAAAATTTGTATCGCAACAATGTTTATGTAATTCCAATGACACATGTTAATCTTAGAAGTATACTATAAACTCCAAGAAGTTTCTTTATATGGACATTGCATATCTCTTTGAGATGTAAATGAATCAGTGGTGAATATAAATTATTATGCATGAAATTGTGTAATTTTTAAGTAAGCTTGGGCATTGATTTGGAATTGTAATAATTTTTATGATATTTTTCAATTTGCAGCTGGATCGTCCAACTTTTGAGTACACAATCAACCAGTTGAACAATTATTTTGCAGAGGCCGAAAGAGCAAGTTGTTCCACATACTGCGAAGGTTGCCTAGCATGTCTTACTGGTTACCTTATATACATTTGCACTGAGACTCATTACGAGAAGTGTTTACGCAAGGTTGCTAAATTTGTGAGTGAACAAAATGACAGAGTGTACAGGCCGCGTGGTTTACTATTGACTGACCCAACCACGCGAGGGCTTAGACTAATAGAAATCTCGGTGCTAGACAGACCTGCATCGTGACTGCATGTGAGCCAATCTACTGAAATCTTCATGTGACCTTAGTAAGCATCTGTTGTTTATAAGAAAAACTAAACGAGAAAAAGGAAGAAAAGAAAAATCACATGTTTGCGCCTAGTTTTTGAGTGGTGTTAAGTATTTTATTTTTCATTTTATATACACCAAAAATATCATGATACAAAATTGTTAATATCATCTGTACAGATTGTCAGTATCTAATATTCTAATATGTATGTGAGAGAATTCAAACGAACTTGTAAATGGTTTCGTTTGAAATTTCTTTGACACGGTGGCCACTTTTTAAAAAGGTCCATGATGAATGTAGGTAACCAAAGATTTTTTTTGCTCCAGCAGAAAACGAGAAATGTTATATTTGCCTCGAATAGTTAAAACTGCAATGTGTAATTGATGTAAGAGAGAAAGACAAATTTATGAAATTTTATTGTTCATGGCCACCTTGTTGATATCACAGATTATTTATAAACAAAAACATCGAGAGCTTCTTGTGTATATATTTATACCATTATCAACCAGTTTATAGGTTCAATACACAGTTACAAACGTATAAAAAAAACAAACAAAAAAATAAACGAGACATATAAAACTGTAAAAAAGATATTCTATCGGAGACTTTTATAGTTTATCTTACAATTTTATACTTTGTGTGAATTATTATTTTACAATTATATATATAAAAGAAAAAGAAATCTTTGTTCGAAACTAAATTACTAGTCTTTAAGGAAAACACTTTAGTTTTTAAACAAAACCGCAATGAATTACTGAAATTTTATAAATGACATTACGTTTAAATGTGCTCTCAAAAGTTCAACCATTGTATAAGATGTTATTATTATTATTTTTTTTATTAGTTAAGCGACCGTTGAACTTTTTGATCAAATTCTTTTTAAGAAAATTAAACATTAAACATTTTTATCAATGGCTCAATGTACAAATCGATCGATTTTTTTTTCTGTCTCACGATCATCATTATCATCTAGACTTATTGTACGACAATTTCGATCTGACCAGATCCCACGTTATGGTGGATTTATCGTCCTTGTAGCACAGATCCATGATTATCTGGGTGTTTCTTCGGCGACCGAGGGCGCCGAGACAGGTGCCCGTGGCCAGATTGTAGATCGGCACCGACCTCGAGCCGACGTGCTTCCACTCCTGGGTGCCGCCCATCTCGTGGCACTTGCCCAGCCGCGGCATTTTCTCGCTGCCCTCGAGGCAGAGCATCTGGCCGAGCACGAGCTCGTGCCTGTCGCTCTCGTACCACATCTGCGTCTTAATACGCATGCACGGCGCCAGTATCAGCTTGGCGCCCCGCGTCTTTACGTCTTTCTCGCTCTGTATGCAGAGAGTCGTGTTGCTCAGCCGCACCTGGTACTCGTCGGTGTAGTTGCGCTTTCTCAGATGCCAGGGCTGCATGACCTTCTGATCGACCTTGCTCCACTTGCTCCTGAGGTGCTTCTCGTCGTCGTCGGGCAGCGCCAGCTCCGGATAGACGTTCTCCAGGTACCAGGCGAAGTCCTTGCATTGCAGCCGGTGGCGCAGCTCCTGCCTCTCCGTTATGTCGCCGTAATCAATCTTGTGCACGTTCTTCAGAAAGTAATCCTTGTACTTGTCCATCCAGACGTAGGCGACTCTCAAGGAATTTCTCAGCATCGTGTCGGCCTCTGTCAGTCCGCCGTAGGGCCGCCTCCTGCGGAACACGTGGCCCACCCTCGAGCACGGGATCAGCTCCAGGCTGCCGCCGCACATCCATATCCTGAAGGATATCTCGAGATTCTCGCCGCCCCAGACGTCCATGCCCGCGTCGTACTCGCCCAGCCGAAAAAAGTACTCACGGTCCATGGCGAACAGTCCGCCGGCCATCGTCGGCGACCTGATGGGCTTGACGAAGTCCTCGTCCTTGGCTATTGTGTTGACCGGCAGACTGTCCCACTTGAAGTGCAGGCCCCAATTGAAGCCACCTCGCACCAGCGGACTCGAGGTGTACTGAAACGTGTCCGCGTTGATGATGTCGATCACGGGCATCGTCACGATCGTCTTCTCTCCAGCTATCCTCTCCAGGAGCGGCTCGAGCCACTGCCGATTCACCTCGATGTGGCTGTCCAGAAACACGAGCACGCCACCCGTGGCCTTTCTCGCTCCGAACATCCTCGCCCTTATCAGGCCCTCTCTCTTCTCGGTCTTGTGATACTTGATCTTACCGTCGAAGTGCTCACTCGCAAATTTGGCCACCTGCTCGTGCAGCTCCGAGCTGTCGCTGTAATCGTTCACCAGGACGATCTCGTGCAGCAGACTCGCCGGGCTGCGCTCGACTATGGAGTGCAGCGATCTCAGCAGGGTCGCGTAGTGCTCGTTGTAGAAGCATATGATGACGCTGGCGTTGGGCAGCTTGTCGAGGTCGTAGCGCTTGCCGTCGCGGCACAGCTTGTGCCTGGTGTCGGGCACCGGCCGACTCAGGCTCAGACTGTCCGAGATGAAGGTGTTGAAGGCGTGATTCTTGTAGCCCTCCTCGCGTCGGCGATGCTCTTCGTTATTCCTCACCAGGCCGATCTCGTCCAGGCCCTGGCCTATCGTGGACGACGAGTTGTCGTGCTGTTGTTGTCGTCGTTTGATCGGAATGGCCTGCATCCTTTGCAGCAGCTGCGGACTGTTCTTGTACAGGCCCCGCGAGCCCGAGTCGTATCTGCCATCGAGCTCGTTGTAGTAGTTGCTGGCTATCGTTGGATTCGAACCGGTGGCGGTGGCCGCCGCCGCCGCCACGTCGTGCCGCGAGAGACGCGAGTACAGGTAGAGACTGAACGCCCAGGTTAACGACGCTATCACGATCCCGAACAGGAACGAGGCGTATCTCGTCGATATCATGTTCACTCTTTTTTTTTTTTATTTTTGAAATTACACTAACGACTGGATTCTTTCATTTTAAGTGTGCTTCACGCGCGATTTGACTTGATTTTTGACAGCTGCATTGCACTGACAGTATTTATCCGTACGGTTCGATCTATACTCTTCTGCTGCGGCTTTGACGTATCCTCCGCTGCTCCTACTCCGACACAGACACACACACGGCTTTTAGGATTCGCCTACAGTTATGTAGTTGCGTTCATTGAATTCGTCGACTCTCTATATACAATCCTTCCTTCTTTTTCATTTCGAAAGGCAGGTGTGGTGCTCTTGGGTTTTAACTCTTCCGTACGACAGCTAAACAATGTGCAATATAAACAAAAGATGACGATGCATTATTACATACATTCCAAATTTGTTTGTCTAAACGAAAAATACCGCTGAATCGCTTGCATTTACGAATTGATTCCACTCGTGACCCACTTGTTGATCGATCTACAGTCACTCGTCGTTATTTTTTCTATACGCCGAGATCATTCATCTTCCCGAATCGTCATACTTCCATGAGACATTTTATGTAGTAAAGAGAATTAAGTTTACGATAGAATAAAGAAGAAAAAAAATGATTGTAATTACGTGTGTGCAAATCAAAGTCATTGAATTATTTATCGCAAGTGCTAGCGTGTATACAGTGTGTGTGTGTTGTGTGAATGCATGATGAACTCGTTATCGAGTCTGGAACTATACAACAATACCAATCAGAGAGACTAAACTCGATCGAATCAGCCTATGTACATGTTTGTGTGTGTGCGTACTCTACCTGATTTATAATTATCGTATATTTTTGTACAAAGCCGTTGATTTTCGATCTCTCGGACTCGGCGGGGAATATTAATATAATAATCCGATTATACATCTACAAAGTAGTATAGTTCGATCGACTGACCCCGCGAGTCTGTAATTATCGAGTCCGAGCGCAGTCCGTTTCATTTTTGGTGTGTGTGTATGTGTATGTAAAATATTAATGAAAATACGACGATGACACGGTATATGTAGGGTGGATTTAATGTAGTCTAAGAAATTTTCAATAATTGTAATGCTATGCTGTATTATACATTATTACGTAGACGTGCTACACGACTTGTCTAGTATACACGCGAGGCGAAACTATACTTTTTACATTAAACATTTAACGAAGAGACTAAATTCGCGCTACACAGGGTCTCGGGCGCTTAAGAGGAATTCATGTATATTAATGGTTCTTTTTCTACTTGCTCACTTTTTCCATGTAAATAATAACGTTTCTTGGCTATAACAGAAAAGAAAGTACAGAAGAAAAAAATCTTTCTTACGCATACGCTACGGGATCTATTGTACGAAATGTCGAACACATTTTTTCATTCGGAAAAACGTCGATCGATGTTTAGAGCCGTCTATCGCGTACAGGTAAAACAATGCAACTTTGGTGAAAGAAAAATCACACACACACACACATACGGGCTCGTAAAAATCGCAACAATGCGTCACTGCCGTTAAACTGCGAGTTATGAGATGAATTTCGCGCGAATAAATCGATTTCTTTTACCTTTTTTTATCCTTCTCGTTCGCGTGTCGGGTGCATTGGCATTTGGCTATTTTTCTTTCTATACTTCCCCAGCTCCAAGTAATCCAAGCCTGTAGTATACTACACCATATATACGCTCCGATAACGAGTGATGATGATGATGATTATGTATTGCTTTGCCCGCCGTTCGCGCATTGAATCTTGCGCGCGCGCGGATTGATTCGCCGAGTGCACTATGTGGATTTAGTACAAAATAAGGATCACGTTGATTTATACAGGACCAAACGATGAGAAATTGAAAAGAGAGAGAGAGAAAAAAAAAACACTCACGATTTAAGAGTCGTCGAGTTTCGATGTAATTTCTAAGTGTTTCATTAATAAAAAAAATAAGCGAGTGCTGTTGACTCGTGGAAAATTAAAATAATTTTTCTTACACTTACCTGTACAATTACTGCGTACATTAAAAATAAAAGGGTTTCGATCCTTTTTATAATTTTTAAGAAATGAATTGAAAATGTATTTTTTTTTTTTGGAATTTTGCAATCTTTTTAAAGACGTTTATCACTTTATTCGCTTCACTTTGTCTTTATTTAGAAAATACATGTATTGTATTCATCGTATAATATATATACCCCATTCGATCGTGTATATGTATATTTCAAAGGTATGTATATTGCTATTATAGACTCAGAAATAGAGAAAGTACTTGTCGATACAAGAAGTTACAGAGATGCGTGCGTGGGACAGACGTTTTTTTTTTGGTTATCGATCAGAGATTTATAAACATTCAGATATATTTTCTAATTTATTTATTTTTTTTTATTTTTTTCGTACTCGTTACATTACACCTAGAGTTTGCAATTTTTATTCCTCAAGTTTCACTGTGTATTATATACTTTCTGCTTTCTTTCTATAAATATATTTTTTTTTAATTGACTAAGCGGTATGTAATTTTTCTTCTTTCCAAGTGCGGTGGTCTCTTTTTCTTACGCTCGCCCGTCGCCGAGGGTTTTTTTTTCTTTATTTTATTTTTTTTTATTTTTTTTTGTTTTTTATTCTTCAAGTACAAAAGACGAAGCGCATCCTTCGGGGTGTAATCGTTTTTTTGCTGCCCTTTGTCTCTTCTTTATACCGTTGAGCAAGACTGAGATAGTGAGTGAAAGGGAGAGAGAGAGATAAAGAGAAAGGAAGAAAAAGAAAAAAAGATGCGAAAGCTGCAATATGTTAGACGAGATGCGCGCAATCATGTTATACGTTACATTGCATTATGTACTCACCAGAGGCTGATTTTATATTTATTTATTTTTACTTTTATCTTTATTCACTATTATCATTGTTGCAAAGTAATTGCGATGCATCAAATAATTTAGCTTTACATTCTTTTCCCCATTTTAATATCGTACAAAAAGATTGTCGGAATTTTAGCGAAGCTTTTTTTCAGCGTTATATCTAGCAGTTTTTTTTTATTGAGTTTTCATCTCGCGCTGCACGGAATTTTTGACGTTCCCGTCTAACATCACTTTTTTGTTGTTGTTGCTATCCTCTCGTACACGTTCATTGCTCTATTTTTTATTTCATTTTTGCCGTTGCAGCTGCCCCCGTTGTTGCACTTGTTGTTTCACGATCGAGAAAGGGAGAGAGAGAGAGCGAGAGAAAAACAGTGGGAAAACCATCCATCTTTTCTAGAGAAAACATGTACATACAGCAAACATATCGCTACGGTAGGGTTTCTTATACTTTTTTTTCTTTTACTCGTCTATTTTTTTGATTTATAACGATACCTCATAGCGATAAATGTATTATAGATCCGACAACCTAAAATTACGACGATAAATGCATTACTCTCTATCGTTCGCACTAGAGCCTCCGATACCTTTAACAATTTTCTTCCTTTTTTATTTTTTATTTTTTTTTTTTAGAACGGATTTCGGCAGGTAATTTTATTATGTACACCACACTGTGACATGCGCACGTAAATGCTTTGGTAAAAGTGCAGAATTTTGAAATAAAAAAAAAAATATTGTACTAGGTGTTACTTCAGTTACTCTCGATCCATTTGCATGTTTACAGATTCAGTGAAAGATTTACGAAGCACATAATGACACGTCGAGAATGCTAATTCTTATTATTAATCTTATTAATTCTTTTTGTTCAGTAAAAATACACTTATTCAATCGTATTTGTATCTCGTGTAACACCGACGTAGAATTCCGCCAAAAAAAATTGCGATCGATTATATTAAATATTTTCCTTTTCGGTATGTTATAGCCAATTAAAATTCCTGGATAAGCTTGTCGATCATATAGTATCCATTGTATAATCTCTGCTCAGAGGAAAAGAGGACAAAAATTTACGAGAAAAAAAAAATTTCATACAACCATTATCTACCTTGGTGATCGATATTTTCGTGAAAGGGGATACGGTAATAATTGACATGCATAACTTTTACGAGGCCGTATTTTTCATTACACATCTATGTCCACATTTTTTTTCGTTGATGAATACTAAAAATATTACAAACACGCGGAGTGCAGTATAATTATTATTCTCAACACTTTTTCTCTTTTGGATTCTCTTTTTTTTATAATAAAATAAAACCTATTTAAAACCGCAAAATTCAATGGTGTAAAATATACACACGATACTTGGGTCCGCGCGTCTCAAGCTGTACAATTCATAATCATATACAATCGATCAATTTCGAAAAACGAAGCGTTTTGATTTCACACACATTTTTACTTTTTATATTTTTAATAAATGCCTGGCGAACCTTAAATTACACTGAGACTTTACAAATACGGTTTTTTTATCATCATCAAATTGGTTGTTTTCTTCTTTTGCTTTCGCTTTTATATATAATAACGTTTATGTACAATAAAACACAGCTATAGACGGTATAATATATATTACACGTATCGATTTTTCAATGTTTTTTTTTTTGTTTAAATGTAAAAAAATAAAAACCGATGGAAATCATGTACATTCCACATTTATATTTTTTCGTTTTACAATATACTTTGATATTATTTTTTTTTTTTTTTCATAAAACTTTGTATCGTCAACAATGATAAATGAATTAGCTACGTTATTCATATATTAATTTATAATTTATCTACTTTCGCCACTCTAAATTATAAAACATTTAGAGTGAAATTGTGTGTGTATTATTATTATTAATTTTACTAATTTATTCGCGCACGCACAGACACACACCAATACGGAGCAAAAGCGGCGCACACATGCATGTCTATAATAATAATAATAATGAATATGGCCATATTCGCGCGCGCCTATGATTGTATGCGTTTTTTTAAGTACTATAGTTGAGTAATAAAAAGATCTATTTTAGGTTTTCACGATCTACGTACAATTTGTCCCTAAATCATTCATTCGGGTATGCTCTCGAGGGTCGAGGACGTTAGCCGTCATATGAGCTGACAGAGTTTGTTTTTCTTTCCGCTGCCCGCGGAAGATCCTCGCGACGTCGTCGTCGTCGTCGTCGCTTCCGTCGTCGCAGCAGCAGCAGCAGTCGCGGAAGGTCCCGGACCACCAGTACCAGCGGCAGACTCGACGTTCCCACCGGATTGCAGACTGTTGTTGCTGTTGGCCGCCGCAGCCGCAGCCGCACCGAGATTCGAATTGTCCGGCTCGGAGTTGCTGCGCGAGTGCAGCGAGCGATTGAAGCGTTGGCGCATGCCCTTGCCGAGGCGCTGGCCACCCTTGCGCAGGGAGGCGAACTTGCCGAGGGCCGACGACGCCGCGGACGACGACGACTTGCCGCCGGTACTACCTCCTGCCGTACTGGTGGCCTCCTGCTTGTTGACGTGCTGCTGACAGTTGAGCGTCGTCACCGTGAACTCGATGTCTCTGGGCTCCTGCGACACGAACTCCTCGACGGGCTCCTCGATGGTGTCGCGATCGATCCACGTCAGGCCCATCTCGACCTTCTCCGCGAGATCCTGCCAGTGTCGGCGATTCTCGGCGGTTCCTTGGTAGAGCGGCTCGATCCAGGGAAAAGTGTCCGCAAGCACGCGATACAGGGGCAGACAGATGACGTCGATGAAGCCGACCTGCATCTGGGGCAGCTCGTCGCGTCGCTCGCGATCCATCATCGCCACGGGCTGTTGATTGAGCTGGAGGCGCTCGAGGTCGCCCTGGTCGAAGAACTCGTCGGCCACGAGCTTGGCCACCCGGTGCTGGATCTCCCAGGGCTTGGCGATGGCGCTCACGTCGCACGCCGTCATCATCATGCCGCACAGTACTGCAAATAATGCGCGTGAAAAATTTCGCCTTGAAAATCTGGTAGAAATGCTCGATATTAATAATGGCTTAATGGGCCACAAAACTGTTATTTAACTTGTTTTTCTATTGCAATTATTTTATTTGCAAGTATTGTCCGCATTTTAAATGACCTCAAAAAGTTTGTACCAGTTTTTTTCAATTACTTCAAGTAATCATACAATCACTTGAAATGTACACTACTAGATGGCGTGTACACCTTTATCTGTGAATCTACAAGTGTCAAAGTCCAAACAATCGTATAAGTCAAACTCATGTTTAATACGCACTTAGTTTCTTTGGGGTTTTGAGGCGTTATTTTTTTACTCCGCAAAATTCGGAATCAATCGCGTTGAATAACGCTTCTAATGTATGAGTTAATTTCGTACGCTTCCATACGCGATAATTTTCATGGGCGAAGAAACAATTTGGACCTTTTTTCAATGACATAGGAGATCTGTACCCCACAGAGTCGAAAAATTTGTTTAATTTATATCTTTTTTTCTAAATCGAATATCGAAAAAGGGCTCTGTGAGAGTATTCATTTTGTTGCTCTGAATAGATGGTAAAAATTTTAGCTAATTCCACCGACCAGATTTTTCGGAAAACGTGCTTGAAATTTTCACATGTTTCCCCGGCTTGAAATTTTCAAACACGTTTTCCGAAAAATCTGGTCCGTGGAATTAGCTAAAATTTTTACCAGCTATTCAGAGCAACAAAATGAATGCTCTCACAGAGCCGTTTTTCGATATTCGATTTGGAAAAAAAGATATAAATAAAACAAATTTTTTCGACTTTGTAGGTTAATAAGTGGGATAAAGACCTCCTTGCGGTATTGCACAGTGATGTACGCCAGAAAACAAAGATAATAATGACAATAAGGTTATAAGTAAACGCCGTCGACGCTAGGTGGCGAGCACACGAACGAAGGTAAACACATAAACGAATTAATCAGTAGGCCGTATAAGTAAACGAAGATAATATGAGAATTTAATATCCATATTTAATAATGTCTTATCTATCAGACAACTGGCTATGGATCCGATCAAGCCCGCCGAGCAGTACAATCTCTACAGCTTCAACTTCATCGACTTCGATCTATCGAATTCTATCATATCAGACGCTTAAGCAACAGATCACTGTTTTTACAAATAAAATTTTTCCCCGAGAAATGTAATTTTACCGCGCGCACGGCTGGTTTATTGCTCGATTCGCATACACAAGCTCGGAGTAACAATCTGGCACACGCGAAGCTCTGCAGCCCGCGAGTAAATAAATAAATAAACGAAATTAACTCGACCTCGAAGTCGCACACGTATGCACACGTAACACACATATACATGTGTAAAATATAATATAGGCTAGCCTCGCGAAATCGATATCGCGTATCATCATATACACGTAAAACAAACTTTTGTACTTACGCTCCTTCTTCTCGGCGCTCTGCCAGTCGAACTCGCCCTCGTCGATCAGCTGCGTGAACACGATCTTCTTCTTGAAGTAGCCCGCCAGATCCGTCGACAGTATCGCGCTCTCGACGACTCGCATCACTCGCCGGTAATCCTCCATGGCGAGATTCTGAAAGATGTTGTTGCTGTCGCTGCTCAGTATCATCACGCACTGGTCGAAGTGATGGTGCTCCATGGTGCTGGTGGAGTAGAGTATCGCCAGGGGCGACTCGGTCTTCATCTGGAAGGCGTTGTTGGTGCCGCGATGATCGAGATCGTGACACAGGCAGGCCACCAGTAGCCCGAGAATCTCGATGTCCGTCATGAACTGCTCCATCTTGCCGGTCTTGAGCATGGCGAACATGGTCTGGGCGACATTGAGCGCGTGCCGCCAGTTGTGATACTTGACGGGCCGATAGTTCTTCTTGACGCTGAGTATCCAGCGGCAGAGCACGTCGTAGGGTATGTGGAAGCGATCGATCAGGTCGCAGGTCTGGAACATCCTCAGGCAGGCGCGACACGTGTCCTCGTCCGACAGATCGAAGTCGATGAAGTTGAAGCTGTAGAGATTGTACTGCTCGGCGGGCTTGATCGGATCCATGGCGAGTTTCACGGCGTCGTCGTTGGCCGCAGTGGCGTGATAGCTCAGACACTCCAGGGCCACCTTCTGCTTGGCCATGAGCTTGCACGCGGACTCGTACATCTGCGTGTTGTGTATGCCCAGGCCGCAGAAGATGGCGAAGGCCTCGAAGATGGTGACGTCCGAGTCGGCGAAGGCGCTGCTGCCGCAGCTTGCGGAGCAGCAGCCCGCGGCGGTGTCCTTGTTGATGGTCTGGGCGACGCCGATAATGGCGCGCTGACCGTTGACGATGGGCATGCAGAGTATGCTGCGGGTGGGCGTGCTCGAGGCGCCCGACGAGCTCTGGAACACGTGCTTGCCCGACGACCAGCTCGCCACGTCGCCGATGTTGAGGATCTGGCCCGTCGCAGCGACGTAGCGTGCTATCTGGCCCAGCGGGCTCTTGAGCTGCTCGCTCGTCGGGCGGTACGTCTTGGCGTTCTGCTCGCCGTGCTCCAGCTCGAACACCATCGTGAATTGACTCTCCTCGCCGGCCTTACGAGATCGTACAACCAATTATTTCTCAATTTTTTTTTTGGGGGGTAAAATCAAATCGCTAAAATTAATTATTATCGAGCTGAAATGCGACCGACAAACAAGGAAAAAGTATATGTTCAAGCAAGTATTAATCTATATAATTTCCAATCTCTGTTACTTTACATGGGAGCTTCTTAAAAACTAGGATAAAGCCATCTAGCGATCTGTCGTGGTACTTTGCGTATGCATTGGTCAAAGTGAATGGACTTATAAGGGTACGTATTTAAGGTATATGCCCCTATTTTCGATCAATAATTAATATTAACAACTTAATAGTACGTAAGAAAATTTTTTTTATTAATTGGCTGAATGAATCGAACATCTTCAACAGAAGTACATTATTCAAAATCAGATATCAAGTTTCAATCCTATATAAAAAATTGATTCAAATTTGATCGAAATTAGAACCTAACTGATCGAAAATAGGGGCGTATACCTTACTTATTTTATAAATTTATAAATAAATGTAATAAATATTTTCTTTGAATTTTTTAAATTACGAGCGTAATAACCTCTTACACGATGCAATATTTTTTTATCGTGAATATCAAATTATACATTTCTAAATTCAATTTAAAAAAGGTAAATAATAATATCACATAATTTTGACAATTACTTAAAGGTAAAGCTTTGAAGGTCAATCGCAATTCAACAATATACTCACGTGCTGTCGGAGAATGTCGTCCATGTCGATGTTGTTGCTCTCGCGCCTCAGCAGGGGCCGCCTCGACTCCTGTATGCTCTTGCTCGGACGCTGCACGATCTTCTCGAGGTGGCCGGCCTCGCCGCAGTCGAGATCCAGCAGATAGACGGCGCAGCGCTCGCACTTGAGCAGATCCTTGGCCTCGGTCATGATCTTGGTGACGAGGCACTCGAGATTGTTCTGCTCCTCGAATATGCTGCGCGCCAGATTCAGCAGTATCTGATTGCGCCGATACTCGAGAATGGAGAGCTCGAACAGCTGGGCGTTCTGGATGCCGATGCCGCAGAACGTGAGGTAGCGCTCGAACAGCTTGACGTCGTGCTCGCTGAAGCCTTCCTCCGCCTCTTCGTCGTCCTCCTCCTTCTTTTTCTGCTTGATCCCGTCGCCGTCGTCGTCGTCGTCCTCGATTTTATTGATTATCTGAGCGACGCCGATCACGTCGCCCTCGTAATTGCGTATGGGCACGGCGAGGATGAACTTGGTCCTGTAGCCGGTGCGCTGGTCGATCTCCGGATTGAAGCGAGGATCCTGTTCATAAATCATCGCGTCAAATCTAATGTAACAATTTGATATAATATTTGTACTTGAAAATAAATCTAATTACACTGACTATTTATTAACTTACAAACACTTTTAAAAACCTTAAAAATGGTTGTTAAAAAATTTCAATTAGTTCATTTTTTACTCAACTACGTAACTTTTGAATTTGATCATTTTTTGTTCGTGTATGGCAAAAGTGATTGATTCTTCGTTTCTTCAATTCTTTTTTTTTAGTTTTTATATGTTTTTATTATGGTGGTTTAATACATTTGAGTGCTCAGCACGACTTGTTAAGCAATGTACAAGTTTTTGTAGATAGTGTAGGCGCCCATGTTACCACTAGCCGTAATTGTTAATGTAGATTTGCTTTAGCCTTGCTGTGGCTAGTTTTTGAATTTATTAACATTTGTCTATATTATTTTTAAATTTTGGAAAAAATAAACAAATATTTCCTAATTTTGCTCTAACTTTCAAAATTTTGCTCTAACTTATACAATTATTTTCACTTTTCCACTTGCAGATTTACAACCGAAGGCCTTCGCCACCTAGCGGTGAATGCTGGTTTTAATCGCGATTAAGTCTTCGTAAATTTATCGAGCGTTTAAACTTCAATACCGAATCAAATCTTTTCCGTCTCTTTTCGCATTAAAAATTACGTTGCACGATTGCATTTCATAAATTTTTTGTTTACTCAACGCAATGAAATGAATCGCCCCCCGCACACAAAATCTTTACAACGTTTATATAATATATCCGCTCGGACGCGGCCTGACCACACAGCCGCTTGTACTACTGCCATTAATACTACTTATATACACACGACGCTGTACGCTTGTACATATACTTGCACAAAGTAAGATAATCGCCAATTTGTATGCTCAAGGAGTATAATGTCCAACTTTTTTAATTCTCCTTCGGTGCGTCCATTATGTATCGTTATATACCTATATTACAAAGTAAATCTCATCGACACCCTCGGGGCAACTTTTTTTTTCCTCCTAGCTCGAAACTCGATCTCGCGCGCGCAGAGATATATACGGTACAAGCGGAAAGAACAACACAACCCGTTATATTATCGCGCGCTAGAAAAAAGAAAAGAAAAAAAAACAACCCCTCGACTCTATATATTTTCCTTGCGTAACGTATAGCGCGCGTTATATTACGCAACTCAACGTACCGTGTAAGCATCCTTGATATTGATGATCTGCTTGTTCTGGGCGACGCAGCCGACGATGCCGACGCCGAACGGCACCCTGATCTCCTCGCGGTGCTGGGCCTCGGCCACCGCATCCTCGAACTCCGTGTCCTGCCTGACGTCGAACAGCTTGGCGACGAGGTAGCGATCGTCCGAGGAGCCCCGGGCCAGAAACAGACTCGCCCGATCGGCCCGCGTCAGTATGCCCACGTTCACGAGGATCTTGTGGCACAGTGCGTTGATGTCGAGCTCGTTGGCCACGTCGCGTATCAGCTCCATCAGCAGCTCGTTCTCGGTCATGCGGCGCAGCTCACGGCGACGCTGCGTCAACGGCAGTTGCTGCTGCTGCTGCTGGCCGCCCTCTCCGCCGGATGATCTTTATATATTATATAAAAAGCAGGTGGTTAATAATAAAATGTACCCGCGTGCTTAAAATCCGAGTCGAATCGCGTCTCTTCTTCTTCTTCTAAAGCTTTTAAAAGCTGCCCCGGCTCCTCCGCGAGACTCTAATTTTCCTTTTCTACGCTCCTTTCTCCATCCCGCAAGCCTAAATCGATTTTCCGATACTTTTCCATCTCTTCGTCGTCGTCGCGCGCGTTCCTTTATCTCGGGCGTCCCCCGGTAATTTTACTCTTGAATATTTCATCGCGAGCCGCGCGCGCATTTCTCAAGTCTAAAGCCAATCGGATGGAAAGACGACTATATACCGCGCGCGCGCGGTTTAGTAAAAAGAAGAAGAAGACAGGCTAGCGAGGTAAAGCCGCGTGTATAACGAAATACATATATTTCTTCGTCGTCGATTCAGGACGCGCGAGAAACGGACACAAGTATAAACGATATCACTTTTTCGGGTTGAAGGAAAAACAGATAGATCGTCTATACGCGGGTGTTACCGTATCTATACATACAAAGTAAACATCCTCTCCATCCGCGGGGTTTGTATTTGCGCCGCGCGGCTAATCGAGTTTTCAGCGTCGCAAAGGAAAACGTCGTTTCGTTCGGTTCGTTCGAGCGAGAGCCTCGAGCGTGATTATCTATGCAGTTAAGGCGCGTATATATAGTTTATACACAAAACGTCGTCGACCGCGCGCGGGCAGATCGCGGGGCGCGCTTTAATTCAATCGAGTCGTAAGGCGCACAGAAACACGTAGTTTACGGGCTAACGTAATGCAATTAGAGTATATAGTGGATAGATATAGATGTATATAATGTACCTGCTGGGACTCCTCGCGCGCTTGATCGGCGAATTCGAGGCCAGCCAGGCTTGAAAGAGATCCGACGTAATGCTGTTACGCTTGTTGCGCTGACTGACCGTCGACGAAGTGGCTGCCGCTGCGGTGCTGCAAGCTTCTTCGCCCCCACCTCCACCTGCACTAACTCCTCCGGCACTAACAGCTCCTTCGTCTTCCTCCTCCTCATCCTTCTCGTTCTGCCTTCTGGCCGCTTCCTCCCGATCGGGCTTTTTATCGGCCATCAAGGACGTCTCTAAGCGCCGCCTGATCTCGGGACTGGCCTTGTCCCTGAGCCAGGCCAGGAACTGCGGCCCGTTGCTCTCTATGTACCTGCCGACGGCTTCCATGTCCATCTGCTGCTGCTGCTGCTGCTGCTGTTGCTTCGCCGCTGCCGCAGGTGTCGTGGGCGCCGGACGCTTCAGTGGCTTATTAACGTTAGTCCTCGCGATTGCCGACGAACTCATGTGATTACTGATATTCGTCGTCGTCGTCGACGTCGTCGCTGCGGCGGCGGCCTCCATCGTCGCCGACGTCGTCGCCCGCGTCCTCCTCCCGGAGGCCCGAGGTGAGTCGTCGTCGTTGTTGACGACGTCGTCGCTGCTGCCGCTGCTCGAGGCAGCGGCGACTCCACCACCACCACCACCACCAGCGCGGACCGCCCCGGCGGAGTCCATATCATCTGTGCGCCTTTGACCACTGCCACAGTCTCGCCATTACCTCGTCCTTATCTACCCTTTCTTTTTTTTCCTTTTAGCTCGTGGACTCTCGCGTAGGTCGGAAATCACTTTGTTTTCTTTTCGCTCTCTATTCGCTCGCTAGAAACTCTCGACTTGTCTTTTCACTACACTGTATATTTCACGTGCGCTTAAATCCCAGCAGCAGCGGCCCTTGCTCTTCTGGGTCTGCTAAGTAAGGTTAGTGGCTGCGGCCGCCGACGCCAGTGCCATTGTTCGTAGCGCTTCATTATTCAAAATCTTCGACGCGCCAGCTTCTATACTTTTTTTTATGAATAATATATATCTAGCAAAAAAGGACCAAGTTCTCTATTCTTCCTCTCGTTGCTTATTAATATCCGCCGATGACTTGGAGACTGCAACAGAAAGAAGACCGAAAAAGAGAATAATTAATAACTTTTGTAACCATAATGAAACAAGTATGTAGTATGCAAATGAGTTACAGCTACGTATGACGTATTGTCAATCGCGAATCAATGCGCCCATATATACAGAGTAGAGCCGATGACGCGCCCTTGCGACAGCGTCGAGCTTCTCTCGCCGATTGATCTACCGCAAGGGAATATATATACGTGCTTACCTCGTCGGGGCGCAACACTATATACTACTGCATCGAGATGCAGAGAGCGCGAGAAGCGTTTCCCAATTTGAATGTAGATTATTTGCTTGATTACATACGCGCATTCGATAATAATAATATAGCTGCGCGCTCGTAGGTGGGTACACAATAGCGAGGAGGGCGTATAGCGCGAGAGTAAGCGCTTATAATATATACGCACACTCTAATTGCTAAATACTAAATTCATTAGAATATGATTAATTTAAGCTTCGTATTATAGTTTCGAAAGCTTCCGAGAGAGAGAGATTTGCTCGTGTCGCGTCGTATCGTACACTTTCAAGCCTCTACACGTTCGCTGCGCAGTTCTGCGCTCCTATCGTTATTATTATTATTATTATTATTATTATTGTTATTATATAAATTTCGTAGCGAAACTCCGAGAGGGAGAGAGAGAGAGAGAGAGCTGTCTTCTTGTCTATCGGGACGGGGTATATATCCCATCCAGCGCAGCGAACAGCCAACCCGGAGAGTCGCAGCAAACGAGGAGGAGGGTAAATCTCGCTCGGCTCGCAATTTATTCCGCGAAACCTGCTCTTCATTAACGCGCGCGCGAATCGACCTCTATATTATACATGCAGTATATGTACGCGAGTGTGTTACATATGTGTGCACGTGAACTTCCACACTATTTCTATACTTTACCGTACTGCTGCTGCAGCAGCAGAGGTGGGTTTTAAAAAATTCAACGTTAGTTTTTTTTTCTATCTAGCGCACAGTGGCACATATGGCTCAGAAAAATGTGTATATATGTGTAGTATAGATGTTGGCAATTTATGTATATGCGCGCACGATCTCTCGTGCTCCTGCTCTCGTTTTTTTCGTTATAAGCACGTGTATATTATAATATCAAGTTCTCTCGCGCGTTATATAGTTATATGATATAATGTATTATATGTACGTGTTTATTATTGTGTCGTGTGTCGCGTGCTGTACGCCGGGAGCTGCAGCGGCACATATTTACAATTGGCGCACTGCTCTACTGTAATATAAGTATAATAATCTCGACGAAGCGATCTTCGTCGTTTTCGATCTTGTTATGTGCTGCGCGCGCCCGAGCGTGCACGGGTAATTTCGGAATTTCGCGCTCGAGCTGCTGATAAAAAATATGAAAAAAAAAAAAAGTATACGACCCCGCGCGCCGTCGACAAACAAACTCGCGCGCCGACCCATTAATGTGTTGTATATGCACTTTTATTACTCGTCGCGTACACGCTATTGTACACGCCGTTGTTGAAAAGAAAAATCTTTAATTTAAGGCAGATTTAATGTACAATCAGACATCGAAATTAGAGTAATCGATATTGAATTTTTGTTCAAGGTACTCTTACATGAAAATTTTCGTTGGCAATTGATGCATGAAAAAGCAATCGCATGAATTATTTTTGATGCAAAAATTAATTATAGCGAAGAGGATTCGATTCTGTGCTATTGAAAATTAATGTTGCAATATTGATTCGGTATCCGCGTTAATTCTACAGAAATGTACATGATAATTCGATTGTAATTAAAACCGGTCTTCGCCGCTAGATGGCGAGTACTACTTATCTGTAAATCTGCAAGCAGCAAAGTCAAGGTAATTGTATATAAGTAAAAGGTATAAGTAAATTTGAATCTTCAATAGAATACATATTGCTACGCTCTAAAAATTTTAATGTAAATATTTCCAACAGCGTTTCGTTGGTCCTTATACACACTCATTCGTGAAACGATTTCGCGTCCACGAGCTTTTTCATTCGCTCGCGATACGTTTGCCTTTTTGATCATTTTTATTTTTTATTTTTATACTACTCTCGTTCGAGAGTGAGAGAGTCGAAAAATCACTGCGTGAACTACTACTGCTACGCAAAGCTCGGGAGCGCCCAAACGCGATTGTCATATGTACGAATATATACACACGTACATAGCAGGAACATCTATTATCGGAAGGCGAAGTGTATCGGGGGCCGATATTATAAGGCCAGCGCAGGGTATATAATAGATACAAGCGCCTAATGGGATTGAGATTCGGGCGCGGGGAAACGAGCTTGCGGTCATGCTTGATTACTCGCCCGATGTCGATAGCTACTACTGTGTGTCTATACAAGTACGCGTACACACACACACACACACACACACACACACACACAGTACTGCACAGATAAGCCCGCGAGTACATCATGCGATCTTATTAATAAAAAATATCGCTTCGGGCGTCTGGAATACGAGGGCAGCGAGAAAAAAAAAGATACGTCAGTTTCGTTTGAAAAAAAAAGAGAGAGAGAAATATTTTTATGTATATAAATCCAATCTCCAGCCGAAATTTCAACTGTAAAATACACGCGACTGCAGAGAGCGACGTGGACGAAAGTGCAGCGCGCGCGCGTGCCATTTGGCAAATGGCATTTCGTTCTTATTTATTTATTTTTTTTACTTTTTTTCTATCTATGAATAAAAATTGTATCAGTGAAGAAAAATGAGGTCGAAAATAAAAAAAGAAAGTAGGAAACAAAACTAAGCACAAAGAGCTTACGATATATACCCAAAAACATTATGCGAGAAGCAATTAATTCACAGCGTGTACCCTTTGTTATCCTCTCAAAAATTCTTGACGTTTAATAATAATGAAAGCTGAATTACGATCGAGAGCGAGCTGCAGCACACACACACGCGTATTATAATAGCCAAAAGATAGAGAGCGAGGCGCATGTAGCTTCAGCGCGACACGTTATTATAAGGAGGACTATATAAATATACAAGGCTTGTGCAGCGCTTAGTATCAGCAGCAGCAGCAGCAAACTCGCTAACGATATACACGCGATATATGTATATTACCATTATATATTATTATGTATGTATATACCTTATACACGAGGAGAAGCCGCTGCCGCGTCAGGAGCAAGTGTCGTCGCTTTAATAACTCCGATATCGGGCGAGCGCGTCTGTGTGTACCAGACCCCGTGTGCGTTATATTATGTATTATATTTATGTAGCGTGAATTTCTCCCTCCACCCTCGCGACTCCGGGTACACATAAACACGGCTACATGTGTGCGAGCTTACGGCGTGGTGTAAAAAAAAAAAAAATTATCGGCGAGATAAGATATAGGTTTTGTATTATGGAGGAGATAGCTGGGCGCGTTTTTGAAAACGTCGATTATAGTGGAAAATCGCTTGTGTCGAGTATAATTAGTTTCTTCGTAGTGCACGTATATGTCGAGCCGTTATCGCGAGCTTTTACGGATTTATTATATAGGTCTTTTTGTCAATGTATGAAATGACATGATTTTTTTTCGTATTATTACCTACAGGACATCTGTGCGACGACGCGTGTATATCTTTGACCGAATGCGCAGAAAAAACAACACATATTGTATCGAGCATGCCATACCGTCGGAGGCGCTCTCTCTCTGTTTCTCTTTTATCTATCTGTCTCTTTGGCTTTTTGCGCGACGTCTTTCGCATTCCTCAAAAATGTCGCCGCGTCTCAACTGCTGCCGCTTCCTGCGCTGCCACCGAGAGTAGCACTACTACCTATATAGTATATGATATTTACGTTATGCAGCTCGCGCAGAAAGAGAAGTATAAAGTCGAGTCGAGAAAATGAAAAAAATACCCCCCGCCGCTACGAGCATCGCACGTCGGAACATCCAATCGGCTGGAAAAGCGTCGTCCTGCTTTCCGCTATTCCTTTTTTTTCCTGTATACCTTCTCTCTCGCCTGCCTTCTTCTGTTTTTATAAATGGCTTTTAATTTATAAACGAGCCGAGGAGCAAATAAGAGAAATAATGTATTGCCTTCGAATACTTTATTTCTACCTGTGCTGCTTTTTTTTTTATTCGTTGCACTTTTCCAAGCGGCGGCACACCAGCACGTACCAAGGTCTGCGTGATACAATTTTTTTCTCTCTCTCCGCCGGTGTTTTTAACTTCTGTACTATCGATTACACGACGTGTGTACTTTATAATTAAAAGTTGTGCATAGTCAGTGCAATGCGCAAAAAAAAAGGAGGCGGAAGAGGTGGAGAAAATGTTAGGTTTACTCTAGTAACTCTCGGCCAGACAGATGTACACACATAGAACTTACACACAACGCACACAGACATATTTAAATTATGATAAATCGCAAAAACGAGAAAACGTTAAATAAATGAAAGCTAGAGCGTAAGCTCGCGCGATGATGGATTATTTTCACGAGTTCCTTTTATTTCTTTTTTTTTTTACTTACTTACTTACTTTACCGACTTTGTTCAAAACCGCAGTGTCGCGAGAAAACTAAGCCCTTTCTGCCTCTCTCTCGAGCTCAAAAGTACCTACTCCAACACACACACAGAGACACAAGCCCAGGAAAGCTACATAAGTATAAGAGAAAGAAGAGATAAGGAGAGTCTACGGAGCTAATTAGGGGCGCGCGACGCAAAAATGCACACCACCACCAACCGCACTAGAGAGAAGCAGCATCGGTTCGCGCCAACATCATCATATAGCTCCGCAGCTCTGCCGTCGCTGCGCAGTGTCTCTTCATTATAATAGCCCTTTTTTTTCGTCAAGAGGGACGCGCGCGCACAAAATAAAGTTTTGTGTGTGTGTTTGTGTGTGTGTGTGTCTAGCAGCGGTCGAGGGATCGATACCCGCGTAATATGGTATATATATATTTTATAGTACGTTGGCTCCTACGCGTCGACGACGACGACGACACTTTGTGTGTCGACCACTGACCCTATATTATAATACAACGCGACGCTCGATTTTTTTTTTTTTTA